GAGTCTCTTTTCCCCAAAGCACTGTGCACCTTTCTTTCTGGTGATTTTAGGTTGCTTTCTGAAACAGGTGAGTTTGCGCATGGGTCCTGTAAGAGCCAGTTTTAATTTCTTTGTGAAGCAGCTTTTCTGGGGGTGCTCTCCAATGTTTTAGTAGCAGGCAAAGTCAGATATTATGCCACTTGTCTCGATTGTGCTGGGTCCACGAAATGCCCACTGTAGGGGCGCTCCCGGCTCAGGGCCCCGCTCCTCCAGCGAGGGTGCGGACCTTGGGCTGCTCCCGGGCGGCTATGAAGCTGGCAGCTTGTGAAGGCGGCATTTTTCCTCTCTAGAAGGGAGTCTCTGCCTCTTCCACCTCGATTAGGGTTGTCTTTTGTTGCGGGAGTTCCTCTTATCCAGTTTTTGGTTCTCTCTCAGGGGTAATTTTTTCCACGAGTAGTTGTAAATTGGCTGTGTCCGTGGGAGGAGGTGAGTTCAGAGTGTGCTTATCCCGCCATCTTGACTTCTCTATCTACATGGCTGTTTTATGACAGAGCCAAGACTAACCTCTAGGTCTCCTAACCACTAGTAGATGTCTTCTGTTTGTTTTGACACAGAACTCCTTTCATTTTTAATGATTGCTTATCTCCATGAAAAAAAAATTAGACTCATTTTTCTTCCTGACTGATTTTTTTTTCTTTTTCCTCTCTATATTGAGTTAGGCTTTATTTGTTTATATTCTTAGATCAGTTTGATTGGGAGTTTATCTCTTTAATGACCTTTTTGTTTTGTTAATTAACCTATTCCATAGCCAATTTGGCATGTTATAAACAGATTTTTTTATGAATACAAAAGTAATATGCTCATGGCAGAGAATATTTTTAAAAAACACAGAAAGCAAAATAAGAAGAAAACAAAGTTAGCTGCATTTCTACCATTTTTACACACACACACACACACACACAGTGGGGAGACATGCACACCAGAATTGGTTTTGTTTTGTGGAATTAGTTTTATACTATATTTGAAGTTCTGAATCTTGTTCTTTTATTATTTCTATGCTTGTACAGTCCATCTTCATCAAGCAAATAAATGACTGTTTACCCATAATTTCTTCTAGGTGTTTAAAGGTTTTCTTGTTTACAGTTGCCTTTTTAATCCACCTGAAATAAATTTTATCATATTGTGAAACACAGGAACTGTTATTTCCAAGTAGCCAAAATTTTCAACACGATTTGTTGAGAAATTTACCTGTTTCCCGTTGATTTTCAATGATTCTTCTACTGTATAGAAAGATATTATGTATACTGTTTCAAGGCCTGCTCTTTTGTTCCTTAGATTTGCCTACTTATTCCTGTGCCAGTACCGTATTATTCTAAACATAAAAGATCTGTAATACACTTTAATATTTTACAGGCAAGTTCTTCCTCATCACTCCTCTTCAAAATTTTCTTGTTCCTTCTCACCTATTCTTAGTTCTAGATGAATAACTGAATCATCTGTGTTAGTTAAAAATAAAAATCCCCTAAGTATTTTTATCAGTGTTGGACTAAAACTATAAATTATTTTGGAAATTACTGGAATACTAGAACATTGACCATATTGAGTCTTCTCATCCGGAAACGAGTTATCTCCCTTCATCCAGGCAAACGTTCTTTGATATGTTTCTGTCAAGTTTGCAGTCTTCTTCATGTAAGTTGAGCACACTTATTAAGTCCAGTTCTAGGCAGTTCGTTTTTATGAAATCATTGTGAATAGACTCTTTTCCTTCCATTGTATCTTCTCATTGGTTACTGATGATAAATAGGAAAGCTATTTTTTGGTATAATTTTCTTTTATCTGGCTTCTTTCTTGAATTCAATTATTCTAAAAATTTTTCAATTCTTTGGGCTTTTAAAGACTATAATTATATCTTTCACTAATGATGATAATTTTGTTCTTTCTTTTTCAGTAATTATTCTTTTTATTTTTGCTTTATTCCCCATTGGTTTGGCCAGAATAATATTAAATATAATGATGCTTATAAGAATCCTTGTCTTGTATATTTTATCAATATCAACTGCCCATACTGTCCTTTCTAATGCTTCTTGCCTTGAATTCATCTTTCTTTGAAATTATAGTCACTTCTGCTTTTTTCCTTACATGAAAACTTTGGATCATCCTGTTACTTTTAATCTTTTATATGATTTTATTTTATTTTATTTTTTTTTGAGGAAGATTGGCCCTGAGCTAATATCTGTTACCAATCTTCCTCTTTTTTTATTTTTTCCTTTTTCCTCCCTATAGTCCCCAGTACATAGTTATATATCCTAGTTGTAGGTCCTTCTAATTCTTCTATGTTGGACGCCAGCTCAGCTTGGCTTGAAGAGCGGTGATTAGGTCCAAGCCCAGGATCCAAACCGGTGAAACCCAGGCTGCAAAGCAGAACGCATGAACCTAACTGCTGCACCACCGGGCCAGCCCCTGATTTTATTTTAAATGCCTCTCTTATAAGGCAGATGTAATTGGATATTTAATTTTAGAATATTTGTCTTTAACAAGGGAATATAAGCAATATTTTTGTAATGGATATGTGTGGTTTTTTTCTATCATCTTGTTTTATGCTTTCTTGCAAATTAAAAAAATTTGTCTTGCAATACAGGTTATACTTTCTTTGCCTTTTTTTTTGCTTATTTGAAAGTCCTTCATCCCTCTGTATGTTTTACTAGGATTTAGTTCTAAATTTAACAAAATTCTTTAACTTATATTTTTAATATTTAAATCAAGAAGTGAAATAGAGTCCCTTGGCTCCTTCCTTTATATGATGAGGATTGATCCTGTTCGTCCTTTCTCCTGGAAATTGCCCACTGCCCAGGCTTTGTTTATGTAATCTGCAATTTCAGTTCTAGCATATGATTGTTATACCTTATTATTTCTTACATCATCTAACTTTTATTTCGAGTAAGCTCTTTTGACATTTGTGTCCATTTTGTTAACATGTTAAAAAAACATTTATTTAGGCTTAACTCCAGGCTTAATTGGTCTTATTGTTCAGCATCTTGAGTTTTCAAATTACGAATTTTCAATTAATTTCTTTTACTGGCATGTGAAGAATAGATACGTACTCTAAACCCTGGCATGTCTCAGCACATTGTTCATTTGTCTTCATAAACCATGCAGTGGGAGAGGGGAGGGACTGGTTGTCGTCTTCTCTGTTTCCCTCTTGCGCTTCTCTCTTCTTCTGAGCTTTGCTGGCTAGTTTCTGAACTTCCAGTCAGGGGGTGGGTGGTTTGTGGGGAGTGTTGGAGAGAGAGGTCTTATTTGAACGGGTACTGGTTGAATATGACTTCATGCTCTCTGAGTCTGGCGGATGTTTCAAGCTGCTTCTTTGTCTTGCGGGTAATTTCAGGGTTCCTCTGGAGATCCCGCATCACAGAGGCCTCTCACCCATAGATCTCTCGTGTTGGGATGTTGTGTTTCTATCCGGAGTGGTCACTTGCAATTCCTCCCACAGCTCCTAGTATATGGTTTGCACCTCTAGCTTCTTGCTGCTGGGATTGTTTGGCTTTTCACAGATGTACCCTAAAGGTTGAGGTCCAGGATGATCCCAGACCAACACTCTGTCCCACTTGGCCCATATCTGGGAGCACTCCTATGTTCCTTCCTGCCACAAACAGGGACTAGAGGCTGATCCCAGCACAGCTACCATGACTCTTCTGCCTCTGGCCACTTAGCTTCCTTGGGTGTGAGCCCTGCATCAGCCCTCTGTGTGCTCCACTTGGAAAAGACACATTTTAAGGCTGGTCTCAGGGAAACTTCTCTCCCGATACCTGAGACGAGGGGTGTAGCATTGCCCCACCTTTCCTCTTTATAGGGTGTGTCGTGTTGGAGGTCAAGAAAGTGACTCAACACCACCCCGCACTCTCTCCAAGTAAATCTCTGACCTCTCTCAACCTTTTTATATTCTTATAGTGGGCAAGAGTATTCTAGAGTCTGGAACTGGTTCCAGACAATTTACTTTGTAAATTCTTCCTACAGTATTTGTCTCACATTCACTTTGAAATCTGATATGTCTTTTATTGGAACTTCAGTTGAGACTGAGCCAAGAAGAATCCTATTTTTAACATTCTGTTGTATATAGATTACAACTCCTAGTCCAATATCCAGTGTTCAGCAATATTGAACTAATGTGACTTGGATCATTAAGCTGGTTCTCTTGACAATGGGATACATCAAATCCTATGATAACCAGCATCTCCTGCTATGAGGTTCTTCCTGCCCACAGCACTTTTCGAGACCTCAGACCCCATGGTGCAGTTTCATGGTTTCTCTGGAGATCCCCATCACGGGAGCCTCTTCTCTGTAGCTCTTTCACTTGAGGAAAGAGCCTGAGTGGTCACTCGTAATTTCAATTACCTACTCGTCACTTGGAGACCCAGGATCTTAACTAACTAGACAACTGGGAAACCATTCTTCCATTGCATGAGTTCCAAGTTATAAAGACATTCTCCTTAATCCTGCCCTTGCCTCCTTTAAAACCACAAGAAGGAGTGGGCAGGGTGGCCAGAGGAGGTGAGTGGTGTGTGCCAGACACTGCTAAGTGCTTTACTTGGGCTATCTCATTTAATCCTCAACACTTGGAGGTCTAGTATTTCCATTTTACAGATGAAGTAAAATAAGATTTAGGAGTTAAATAACTTGTCTACAGTCACACAAATCATAAGTGCTGGAGATAGAATCAAAAGCACAGTTCCTTCTGATGCCAAAATTGGTGCCGCTTCTCAACCCTGGCTACATATTAGAGTCACCAGAGAGCTTTAAAAATACCAGTTTTCTGGTCCCCTCCTTGGAATAATTAAATTAGAACCTCCGAGGTGGAGCTTGGGCAACAGTATGTGTCAAAAACTCTCCAAATGATTCTAATGTGCAGCCAGGTTTCAGATCACTGCTGGATACACCCTCTAGGCCGTGGCTTACTATTAACCCTGCATGTTATAGCTTCATTCATATTGTTTTCTTCTTTATATTTTCTTTCTCCTTCAAAGTCAGAGAGTGCGTGGTTGCCCGTCTACATCAGAGCTGGCATTCCTAATCAGATTCCAAGAGCTGCATTCATGGCCATGTTTATTCTGGAAGTGGATCAGTTCATCCTGACCTCTTTGACGACCTCGGTTCTGGACTGTGAAGAGGATGAGACCCCCAAGCCCTTGCTGGTGTTCAACATTACGAAAGCCCCGCTCCAGGGCTATGTGACTCACCTGTGGGATCACACCAGACCAGTCTCTTCATTCACCTGGAAAGATCTAAGTGACATGCAGATTGCCTATCAGCCACCAAACAGCAGCCATTCTGAGAGGAGACATTATGAGGTAAGAAGAAAGAGAGACAAAGCTTCTAGTCTATTCCGTATTCAGTTATTTCAGAGGCCACTTCCCCTAGCTTTCAAGTTAGTTGGTACATTCATTGCCTCAGGAGAGAATCAGTCACTGTAAATCAGGATGCAAACTACAGTGCCTAGGGGAGCCAGGCAGGTGATGCCAATGAGCAAACCCGCCCTGAGGGAGACCGTGAGGAACTGAAGATCTGGTGCCATAGAAAGCAGCCGTTAACTCAGCTCCCAGCTGATTGTTGGCATGTGGAATACAGACCCACCCAGTGTCACTATAGCTCTCGTTTGTCAAGAGGAGTTGGAAATCTATACTTCTTTTGTGAAAATATTTCAATTTTTAAATATAGAAAACATACTAAAAATTTTAAAACATATTGTGCCAACTACAAAACATATCTGAGGGCCACACTTGGCCCAGGGTTCACCAGTTTGAGAACTCTGGTGCCCTCGACAGCCTTCCTGCATTACATAGACCACTGGAGTTAGAGATGACTTTCTTTACCCTTCTTTCCTTAATAAATTCTTTTATTCTTTTTTGTTTGGGAGGCTTTTTTACTGGGATCCTTAATTTTAATTAGTAACATTGATTCAGGATAAGAGATTCCATAATCTCATTGGATGACTAATTTCACTATCAAACACTTTCCACCAGGAAAGTCCTTTTTCTATCGAATTGAAATCGCTTCTGCTGCAGTTTTAGCCTCTTTCTTCTTGTTTTGTATTTGATGGGAGTGGAGAACAGCTGGTTACAGACTTGCACATAATAACCCTTCACAAAGTTACAGACCTACCAGCAAGCTGATTCAAATAGGATGGAAAATTTAAATGAGCAGATTGATACAGACTTGATTTCAGGTTTATTAAGGAAAATGAGTATCCCTGGGGTTACCAAATTGTCCTACATCCAATTTAGGCCATTTCAGCATTTAGCCTCAAGGGCAGACAAAAGACTTCAGACAATAAATGCAATGCTTTGCCCTTTGCTTTTATTTTCCTCGTGTCATAATAGTAAGTGGCAGCTGTTTTTTTCTTTCCTGCCCTCGCCTCTCATTCCTTCCGTATTATGAAGTAATTTCTCATTAGATGTCTGGTTTTACCTCGAGTTCACAAAAAAGGCACGGCGGGTCTGCTGCTTCCTATGTGTATTTTCTGGCATCGTATAATGTAATCTTAAGGCAGAACCTGTCCAAATGTGTGATATATTTGTTAGAAGGTAACTCTCAGTTTTCTCATTGGAGATTATGCGCTTTTCAGATTATGTGGGCTGGAAGCCCTGGGCCTCTACAGAACTTTCTTCATTCAGCCACCTGGGGTGGGACTGCTGAGAGCAGAGCAACGGCAGTGCTCCTAAAGCTGGCTGACCCTTCCCTGGGCTGTAGCACTAAGGCGGTCCGTTCTTTCGGGCATGAAAATTCACACTCATTTTATTAGGTACGACATTTATTTGAGAAGAAAGTTCTTTAGTGAGAGCATAACATACAACTTTGTATGGCTCAACCTAATAAATATGTACCTTACACCCCCGAAAAGACTTCCCCTGCCTCAGTATAGTTACATTTTTGGTCTGTTCCTTTGGCCACCTTGAATCTGTTTCTTTTGTTGTGTAGTATTTGCTGATATGTTGTTGTCTGATAATTTCTCTTATCCTCTCAAATGGAGCACACATTCTTCAAAAGTAGGCAGTGTGCCTTCCATGTCTGTGTTATAGCTCAGCCTTCTCTCAGCGCCTGGTGCAATACATACACAGCACATCATAAGGTTCAAAACTTACCTTATAGCCCCACTTATTAGTTATGAATTTCATGGGAGCAAATAAAATCTGGATATTTAAAAATATGTCTAGTGGGATAGATGCCTCTAGATCAGGGTCTCTTAATAGCAGCACCATTGGTGTTTTGGACTGGATAATTCCTTGTTGTGGGGGCTGTCCTGTGTGTGGTAGGATGTTAGCAGCATCCCTGGCCTCTATCTACTAGACACCAGTAGCACCCCTCCACACACATACCCATTTGTGTGGCCAGAAATGTCTCCAGACATTCCCATATGTCCCCTGGGGGGACAAAATCACCCCCAGTTGAAAACCACTACTCTAGACCCCATATGTGTGAGAGAGGCTCAAGTGGTCTGATGCTGGACTGACATAGTCTCCCGAGCAAATGCTCAGACACTCCCCCAGCATATTAGCTTATTTCAGGTTAAGAAATTCTTTTATGGAGGGGAAAATTTAAAAATACTGATCAACTAAGGAACAAGATCTAGAGCCTGAAAAAGTGAGATCAGGTTGTCAAAAATTAGATCAGGCAGCAGCAGAAACCTGAATCCATTTTGCCATCATCTGTAGTCCATACCCCAGAAATAATGGTATTTTATACTATGAATTGTCAATGTGTGGTTCACATGCAACTGTTTGTTTACAGGTGGAGTTGGAGGCATATGACTTCTTCTTTGAAAAGAGTGCACCTATTACAGTACACATCTCCATCAGAACAGCAGATACAAATGCCCCGCGTGTGTCCTGGAACACAGGTGAAGCTCATTGTAGGGTGTCAAGCAACGTAGCCCTGAAGGGAAGATGAGAGAGTATATGGGTCAGGAGAGAAAGGTAGTTTCATTCCCGTTTCACACATGAGGTAACTGATAGCCAGGCACATTAAGGGGATCAGATAGTTGGTTTTTTGTTTTGTTTTGTTTTTCCTACTGACAGGGTGAGAAATTTAAATCTAGGATTCTTGTGTCCTGAAGCCAAGTTCTTTCCTCTGCAGGAGCTAAGCCAAAAGGACACCTTTCAACTGAATGAGGCAAAAAAGTGACTATTTGTGATATTGAGCTATAGTTGGACTGAGAGTAAAGGTCTCCACCTCAAATTATCAGAGGAATTGAAGGAAGGTAGAGACTGTAATCCATTGTCTTGTTTTTAAGTCAAAGTTGTGTGGAAACTGCAGTACATAAACAAGAGCTTAAACTGCTTTATTTGTTTTAAATGAAGGCTTTGCTCTGCCTCTGATTCCTGAGTGGACTGATCATGCAATGTACATATTTAGATCAGATATAAATGTTGAATGTAAATGAAGATATTTTCCTTTCCCACTAATCCCATCAATAGCATTCAAAACATACTTATAAGCAGTGGTGATAGTTTCTGTTAAGGGGAAAATATCTGATTTAAATCCTCAAGTAGCAGCTTACATGAGTTGTCTTGTGTGTGTGTGTGTGTTTGCACACGGGTACACACATGCACATGTATGTGTTTGTATGTATGTGAGTTTCAGTAGAGGTGGAGAACATAGGTTGAATAGACTTGATATATAATTCTGGCTCTATGTCTCATTCTACCACTGTTAGTGGGGTAATGAGAGAAAAGAAGGAATTGGTAACATAAGTTTAGTAATAATCACTTATTAAGTAGATTATCATTTAAGCATAGAGACTTAATAGTCTGTATGTATATATGTGATTTGTGAAACCCAGACTTGTGAAGAGAGCTCCAAATCTGGTTTTGGTAACTTTGAACATCAGAATCCTTTTTAAAATGAATTTTTACTTATTATGAACTTAATATATGTTCATTGTTGAAAACTTGGAGAGCACAATAAATAAAATAAGTAGTAATGAATAAATGAGTGAAATACTAACGAATAAATAAAATCATTCATTACTCCACCATGAAGACACAAGCACTGTTAATAATTTGCTACATAAATTTCTAGTCTTCTTGCTTGCTTTTCTGCATCCCATGATGCCTTGTCCGTGCTGTGCTGTACACTCTTGGCTTCAAAACCCTTATTACCAGTCACAGAGATTCTTTATATGTGCTTGTTCTCCCTCCCTCCCTTCTTCCTTCCTTCTTTCCTTTTTTTTTTTTTTTTTAATATACTATATGTCTTAGCCCAGGTGCCCTAGCAAACAGCTTCTGAGGCAGATCATATGCACTAACCCTAAACTGAAAACAAGAATAAGAGCAAAAGGGAAGTGAGGGAGGGAGAGGAGGAAGCAAATAAAAAGGTGGTATGACTGAGCTGGTCACAGCTTTACAAGAAAATAAAGCTGATTGCTTGATAGTGCTGCTGTCTCCAGGAGGAGATGGAACAACCGTGTGTTGGAAGACTCAGAGGTGAAGTCAGGAAAGAGTGAACGATCTACCTGTCAGCTCCTTCCCATCTCCTGTCTCACCTCGGTCAGTTTGCCTCGCTGGATGTTAACTCCTCACGTGTCCAGGTTGTGTTACCTGGCACCTCTTAGCAGCCACTACACAGACTCCCTGGCTCCCATGGTATAGGACCTGGCCATAGTCACGAAGGAAGTCATGCCAAAACCTGGCCCTTGCTCAAGAAGGCAGTTGAGGTAACCAGCCACATCAGAAGATGAGGCAACGGTGGCAGCCAGGGCTTTAGAATTGTGGTGACTAAAGGGAACCCTCGTGGGGCTGCTGCAGCTAGAAAGCAGACAAATGGTCACAGCCAGGGAGGTGGGTGGCTGGGTGGATTTGAGGAGGAGCATTAACCGGGTCCACCTGTACCCTGTCTTTACATTTTATCAACTTGTTTCTTTAAAAAGCTCTGCTCCCTTTCAAGATTCTCTGCACTCTGTTGGCTCCCAGCTCTACTGGGTAATGGGAATGGTTGATGATGCTGCAGCTCCCTGTCTCTCACTGGAGTGTTCTGGCCAGAATCTGTATTTTTCTTGCTCTGAGCAGCTCTCTCTCCCCAGATTTCCTCCAGCATGCTGGATCCGAGGAGAAGGCTTTATTTTAATTCCTTTAGTTACAAAAGTCCCTTCCTTATTAGAGTCTAGACTAAAATACAGCCCTCATTGCAAAGTGTCATGTGCTTCACGTCTAACACCATCAAACACTCCCCTAGCACAGTAGCTCTGTATTTGCATATTTAGCCATTTTATATTCTCTCTCCTGTGGGCTACTAATGCTTTCATAAATTACATGTAAAAGTACTTCTGACTCTTTTCCCCACTTAAAATACCTGAATGTAGCCTTTGAATAACTCCTTGTGGACATTTTTGAACTGGAGACCACCGTGAACCTAACATCTGTTCTTTCCTTTAGTATTTACTTTCTGGCACCATCATGCCTCTAAAGGATGTATCATAAGGAACCAGTTGTCATATTGGAGTTCACAGTACTACAAGTAAAAATATTACTGAAAATAAAAGCTAAATTCCAGTTTCTTGAAAAGCTTTTGAAGATACAATTTTCAGCTAGTTTTGTGAGTGAAAATTCATTAATCTTGTCTTAAAGTAGGCGTGTTGGCATGTCATAGATCCTTCCAGGATGCTTTTCTGTTTTCTCTTGTAGGTCTGAATCTCCTGGAGGGGCAGTCTCGGGCCATCACTTGGGAACAGTTTCAGATTGTTGACAATGATGACCTTCGTGCTGTCCGTCTAGTCACTGTGGATGGCCTGCAGCATGGCCGGCTTACACTAAGAGGTGAATGATCAACATTTGTAACCCAGAAAGGAACCCAAGAAGTATTTTCTCCAAAAGCAAATCATATTTCACAGGATATACATAGCATTTCTTGGGCTATCTCTAAATGAATTGTCATATCCTGAAATTCTAGAGATCTTGAAACCATCGGCTTTTGTATTAGGTGCTCACATCAGTGGATGACCATTTAAGAGTGGTACCATGTGCTTGGCTCATTATTCAAAGCTCAGATGCCATATAGGTCTCCTTCTAAATGTACTTCTTCACTGATTATCTTATCCCAGTTGGAAGACAAAATATTTCCCTCTCATTTCTCTGCTTCTGAGAAATGTATTGAAAAACAGAAAAACTTATGTTTTTTAATACTTTAGTAATAATTTTGTTATCATGTTATTAGTAGCAGCTACCACAGTTTAAAAGAAATGAATTTATACTTATAATTATAAGGATGGTAGTTAACAAAGTAATAGCCCTAATAAAAATAATATTTGTACTTTATGGTAATACAGTCCATTCCTTGTAATGAGCCTAGAGGTTTTAATTCAATTATCTTCTTGATTTGCCTAAATATAAAGCAGAAAGAGAGCTCTTATTTATCATCATTTGTGATTATGGAATTCTGGAATCAAAAATAAAATGGTAAGTTTGTCATAAATTTGCTTACCTAATCCAAGGACAGTGGAAAGTTAGCTTAAGCCTGGGTGTATCAGTTAGGGTGAGTGTTCAGCTGCATATAAGGGAAACCCAACTACAGTGGCTTAAGAATTCATTATTTTTGTCGTGTAACCAGTTGCCTAGAGGTAAGCATTCCATATCCATGATGCCAGCAGCTCTTTGATGGCGCCTACACCTGTAGGCTTCAAGTCTGCATTCGAAGAAACAAGAAAGAGAAGGGATAGTGAAAAAAACTATGCCACCTGAGCTACTCTCTTTAACCACTTTTCCCAGGAATCTGATATAACAACTTCATTTATGTCTCCTACCAACTCACATGCTACTCCAAAGTACAACAGAGTCTGGGGACCTGTTCTGGTTTTTGTTTTTTTTTTTTTTGGTGAGGAAAATTGGCCTTGAGCTAACATCTGTTGCCAATCCTCCTCTTTTTGCTGAGGAAGATTAGCCCTGAGCTAACATCTGTGGCAATGTTCCTCTATTTTTTTTTTGTATGTGGGCTGCCACCACAGCATGGCTTGACAAGTGATGTGTAGGTCTGTGCCAGGGATCTGAACCCGTGAACCCTGGGCTGCCGAAGCGAAGTGTACAAACTTAACCAGGCAGGTCCCCTGGAAACCTGTTTTTTTTAAATGGTCACTTTGCCATGCCAAATGGAACTAAGATTCTGGTATTGAGGAAGAAGCAGAAAGTGGTGATTGGGAAAGTAACTTGTAGTGTCCATTATACTAGTGTTTAATCATTATTCCAGTGAGGTCATTAATACAACCATATGATGTGGGGTGAGTAATGGGGCACCTTCCATCAAGAATTATAATAGTTTATGCAGAGTGAAGCAATGTTTATTAATACTGTAGAAATGAAGTGGAGAGTTGTAGCCCATCAGACAGTGATGTTCTGGGCTCAGAGGAAGTAGAAAATAGTAGGAACATTTATTAAGCATTTACTTTGTGCTAGATATGGTGCAAAGCATTCTACACACATTATCTTATACCAACTTCATGAAGTGAGATACTATGATTATTCCCAGTTTTTAAATGGGGGACCTGAGGCTTAGAGAAGTTGGCATGTCTAAGGTCTAGAAAGTGGTAGAGCTGGGATTTGAACTCAGACCATTTGATACTAGGGCTCTAGCTCTTTGCCTATAAGCTAGTGATTCTCAATCTTCAGCATGCTTTAGATTCTTCTGGAGGGCTTGATAAAACACTGATTGCTGGGCACCACCTCGAGAATTTCTGATTCAGTAGGTCTGGAGTAGGGCTCAAGAACTTGCATTTCTACAACTTCCCAGATGGTGCTGATGCTGCTGGGTCGAGACTGCTCCTCTAAGCAGTGCTGCCGTGTAGGATGATAACAACGAGTTGAAGAATAATTAACATTTATTGTAGGCGTACTGTTATTTAAGTTCTCTCATACTTACTAGGGAATATGAGGTAGATATTGTTGTCCTTGTTTTATAGATGAGTCTCAAGTAAATTAAATACCTTGCCCAAGTCCACAAAGCTAATAAGTATTACAGCGGGTATTCAAAACCAGATCTGTGGAGTTTCAGAGCCTACTAAACAATCTATTGTTTTTCCGGGCAAGAGAAGTATTGGCTGCATCACTTTCCTTAACGCCCTCTCCTCTAGTGCTGCTTTCACTGCAGCTGCTGCCTCTGCACCCACTGGTTCGATCAACTGCATCTCTGCTCTCTCCATCAGGGGAGAAAGGTTTTCTCTTCACCGTGGCTGACCTGCAGGCTGGGGTTGTTCGCTACCATCATGATGACAGCGACTCCACCAAAGACTTTGTGGTCTTCAGGATATTCGATGGCCATCACAGCATCCGCCATAAATTTCCCATCAACATCTTGCCCAAAGACGATAGTCCCCCGTTCCTCATAACCAATGTTGTGATTGAACTGGAGGAGGGGCAGACCATACTGATCCAGGGTTCCCTGCTGAGAGCTTCAGATGTGGACTCCAGTGATGACTACATCTTCTTTAATATCACGAAACCCCCGCAGGCTGGAGAGATCATGAAGAAGCCAGGGCCAGGACTGATAGGTAATTCTGGGCAGTTAAGATAGTTTGTGTTAGAATTTATGTGAAGGCAGACATCCAGTTTATGAGGTAAGATACTATTATTCTTCCCATTTTATGGATGGGAAGCCTGGGACTTAGAGAAGTTAAATTGATCTATCCAAGATTGTGCATCTAGAAAGTTCCAGAACTAGGCCTCAAGGTAACCATTACACTATGAAAACTTAAGTCTGCCAAGCAAGGTGATAGAACAAATAAGTCTGAAGGAAGATGTTTGGCCTATTCTAGATTATTGATAAAGTAATTTCATGCATAACATTCATTTACATTTTGTTAGAATAATTTCATAACTACTTCTTAAAATAGTCAAGAGTGACAAAATAGGGATCAAGTACTTAGTGTTACTTAAGACTACATGTCTTAAAAATATTTTTCTAATGCTAATTTTTCTACGTATTTTTAGACAGGTGTAGCAACTTTAATTTTTCTCCTTTATTATTTATAAACTGTGATAAAAGCATTTAATGAAGATTCCTTGAGCACATACAACATACTAGGCAGAGAAGACTTTTGGAGATAAGTCTAATATCTTAACACCCCAACACCTGGCAGATTGTTACAAAAGTATGTGGTGTTTTGTGGACCCGATAGGCTACCCTGTCCCTGGCTTCCTGCAGAGGGATCTATTTAATGGCATCATTTACTATCGTCACTTTGGTGGAGAAATCTTTGAAGATTCTTTTGAATTTGTCCTGTGGGACAGCCATGAACCTCCAAATCTCTCAGTGCCGCAGGTAAGAGGCTATCTCTGAACCCTTTCCCAAAGTCTTGTCCACAGATATCAGTTCTGGGAGGTGTTCTTAGAAACCACGTGAAAACAGGTTTCAAGGTTCAAAGTTTAAGAAGCAATGGATTAAGCAAAATTAAGTCAGTTTCTTTCTTTGCAACATGACTTCTCTACCCTTTACTTTTCTAAAGAGTTTTGTAAATTTCCACGTATGCAGTATTCCCAAAGTTATTTAACCATGGGACCCTTTTACACACAAACACCTCACGGAGTTTTCTGGCCTCATTACACTCAAGAAAACACCAACATTTTATGTGTAATGGTTAAAATATAGGCTCTGGAATTAGACTGCCTATGTTTCTCTCCTGTCCTTGACACTAGGTAACTGATTGACCCATGCCTCAGTTTCCTCATCTGTAAAATAGGTAGTAGTACAACTTCCATATAGAGCGATTGTGAAGGTAAGTGAGATAAATACATGTAAAGTACTGAGAACTTTCTGGCACATGGTAAGGACTCAATAAATAAATTAGCTATTATTTATTGTTGCTTTTGAAAAACTAAGAGTTTTATTACCACTCAAGGATATCATTTAGATATATAGAATGCAGAAATGGGTTTAAGGAGGCATTCTCATATAGAAATTACAGAAAATGGAATTAGTATAGAGTCTGGACAACTATAAAAGGGCAGACTCCTTGCAAAGAGAAGGTGGTTGGTGGTAGGGGTAGAAAAAAGACAGCAGAAAATGTGATCACCAACTATATATAGTTCTTTTTGCTAGGCATTTTATACCTATTATCTTGGAAGGTGGCATATATAGGGATCGAACCACTTCTAGAATGATTACTTAATGCACGTGTCCCTATTGGTTTTGAGAATGTCTTGAGACATATGAGAATATCTTCTCATAATGTCGCGGTCACTTACATTAGCCAGTACATAGATGGTCGAGCTATTCACCTGTTTGCTAAGATGAAGGTGACAAAAGGGAGTGATCAGGACAAATGTCAGAGAGCCCATGAACTGAAGGAAGTAGGTAATCTCTGTTAAGAGGGAAGGGAGAACGAATGAGAAAACTCTCAATTCATCTGCCTAACGAACAACAAATCAACTCCTTTACAAACAACAGCCCCCTCTTTTTATTTAATGTATTATATGCCATTTCTAGATTACATTTTTGCTTGAGACCTTAGTTGATTTGATAATCCAAAATGGCAACTATTAATAGGATTTATTTCTAAATCTTCTGTTGTATCTATTCAAACTAAGCTAGGTTTCTGACTAGAATACCATATCACTTTTAGCAGGCTACATGCCTTTTTAAAAATAGAAAGCGCAGAGCTTCTATTGTATATTGTATATTTTACAGATTGTATTTTTATTTATATCACATTTATAGATCAAATATAGATGTCAGATCCCTCTATAATACGGACCACAGTAATGAAAACTTTACTGGACAGAATTATGTCTAAATTTTGGCAAATAAATCAGACTAAACTCTGTAGATCCATTTATAAATTCATAAATTTATCCCTTATGATGGATAAGTTTCTAAAGAAGTCGTAATCATGTTTTTCTCTGCTTTAATCTTCTTAATCTACATCTTCGTGTACCACCTATTCTTTGGCTCCTAAATGTTCTCCAGCTCAGCCTTGTGTACCTACCTCTCTACCCGACATCTCTACATATATGTCTTACCGGCATTTTAAACTCACCATGTCCATAAGACATTTAGTATATTTCCCCCCAAACTTGCACAAAACCGCTGTAACTAGAATCTCTGAAGTCATCCCTAACCCCTTTCTCTCTCTAATATCTGTGTAACCAGTCATTCAGCAAGTCTTACTAAATCTATTTGATAAATTTCTCTCATCTATCTCTACTTCCCACCCCACTGCCATTGCTTTAGTTCCAATCTTCATCTTTTCAGGACTAGATTTTCCTCAGAATCCCTCACATGGTCTCTTAAGAATCAAAGTGATCAGCCACATCCTTGTAATTGAGGAAAATTGAAATCCATTGATACAGTAGCATTATGCTTAGTAGAATTCGTCTAGCATCCATTTTTTCCAAGTCTCTCACTTCTGATTTGTGGCAGCTTTAGCTTCGTTCTTCTCTGGACTATGGACCTCCTCTCGGCTATAACATCACCTGCTCCAGGAATCCTTCTTTGATGTCCCCATCCCACAACTCCCCAGACTGGGTCAGCTAGTTCTTTTATAGGATCCAATATCAAATCACTATAATTTGAGGCCATTATTTGTTTGATTGGATCAACTGTAAGCTCGCTGATGGCAGGAATCCTGAATTATTCATCTCTGTGTCTTCAGATCTTGGTTACTGACTCAGACTAGAACCTCAAGAACTGTTTGTTGGTCCCAAAATTGAAACTAGGAGGAAATAAGAAGACTGAAATATTTGATAGGAGCTAGGGAGGGAGTGATTGGGAAGATAATTAGTGTAAAGCTTTATTCTTCAGAGTTTCCAGGAATTAGTGTGTGCCTAAGAACCAAACAAGTATTTTGTGTGTGTGTGTGTGTGTGTGCTGGTAAGCATTTTTATGTTGTAAAACCCTGATATCATCATTAAAACTCCAACTTTTAAGGGATTTAAATAATTATCTAGTCTATTTGATGATCACATCTTTAATTTGGACAAGTATCTAGTCATGTCCTACCAATGAAAATGTATTTAAAATATTCAACAAAATCTGTAGCTTTCAACTATTCAATTGAAAGTCCAGATAAGATGGTTACTTATGGGAGCTTTGTGATCAGAAGGTTCCTTGGTCACTGAAGATTAAACTCAGGCCCAGGATTGTTTGGGCCATACTGCTAAAACACTTTTTATGGTAGAGGCAGAAACCAAGCATCTCCTCAGGTGAGAAACAATATAATTAAAGCAGGAAGTCACATAAGCAGGGACATCCCTTACCTCCTCTCATCCTTCCGAACTGGCTACTCCTACTAAGAGATCTCCTTATACGTCAACAAGGTGTCTACATGTCAGCAAGAAACCGCCTCCTTCTTTCTATCTCAGTTGTCATGACTGTCATCAAATAAAGCCTCACCCATCCAATTTGCTTTTGAAAGATATTTCCTTCTTTACTCGTGTCCACAGAGGACTTTATGGACATTAAGTCTTAAGAGATCTTAAACCAGGAGAAAGTAATATTAGAATTAAAATGGGAGTGCAAAATAAGGATAGAAGAGAGAAGCAGAAAGAGGACTAAGAAACAGAGGAAGAAAGGAAGCAGATGCCACCAAGGCCTGTGGGTGAAGTGGAAGGGAGCGATGAAATGTGACCAGGTGAGAGAGTGGACGCCCAGAGGTGGGCATTTATCAGAGTCAGACAAGAAAGTGAAGTGGGCAAAACCAACTCTGGAAGTAGTTCCTGGGGCTGAGAAATAGCCCTGGATAATCTCAAAGGAAAGCGCAAGATAAAGAATCAGGCAGGAATCAAAGTTCAGGGTAGAGAAAGGATCAAGAATTCAGGTGTATAAGACAGTCAGATACAGGTCGACAGGGTATCTTATTGTGAGCCTGATTCTGAGAGTCAATGTCAGGCTTTGTCATTTGGTATACTGATTTATCACTTTATATTCTGATGCCCTACAAATCTGTCTGTGAGTGCTTGTGGCCATAAGTAGGCTGGAGGGATGGAGGGGAAGCCAGCAAGCAAGAGCCCAGAGATTGGTCTGGGCACTAGTTTTCCGCTGTCTGGGAATGAGTGTTCCGTAATGTCTTCGTTACTACCGAATTTCACCACAATGAGAACACTTTATTTCTCTATGGCGTTTGTTAAAATAGGATTTTTCTCACCCACAGACACACACACAATAATTGTTTAAACATGCATAAATGTGTAAAGACACATCAACTTAGGTGATCATGAAGCATGTTGAAAAATGTGCCCACCAAGAATTACTACAGGAGTATAAAAAAGCATGCTTGTACGTTCTTTTTACACAAAGAACACACTGGAGAATAAATTAGCATGGAAAATGGTCTCTTTGAAGGCACAATAACTATTGTTTCCTTATTAAATCCAGTTTTTCAATTAAGCAGAGCCTTGATGATCCACACTATAGCTGTGATGTCCCATAGAGAATTTCTGAACTTTGGAGATTAGCAAAAAACTATAATTGGAAAAAAAAATTGTGGCAGACTTCAGGAAATGGGAGAAATGACTGTCATTGTGTTCCTTTATTTTGATAACTGGCTTTGGTTTTTAATTATTGAAATGCTTCATAATGGAGTAGTAAATATGCCATGTGCTTTTGTGAAAGTCATAAAGGATGGAAACAGGGAATTAATTTATTGATCACCTACTGCCAGGTACTCACTGTGCTATTAGCTATCTCATTTGATCTGGACAACACTTTACCATAATGGCCATCGTTTTTATTCCCAATGTACAGAGAGAAAAACTGAGCCCCAAAGGGGTTAAATGATTTGCCCCAGGGAGCACAGCTTATAAGTGGCTGAGCTGATGTTCCAATCTTTTCTATATCATAGCAAAAGCTTAACCATGTTTTATTTTTTGCTTTGTATGTTAATTTAAAAACGAATCTCTTCATTTTCAAGTTGGATGTTGTGAACACCATGATTGTAGACAAATTGGCATTGCCGATCTGTGCTTCAGTGACAGTATTAAAATAATTAAAAGCAGAGTAAGAATACGTTCGTGCATCAGGCTGTGCAAAGACTCACAATGCCAAGCAAACGTACCATTTCAAGAGAGAGTTAATAATTGCTTTTTTGTTACCAATCGTGGATTATTGTAAAAAAAAAATGTGATGATAAAAGCTATTTGGCAAAGCCTCCTTACCCTCTTGCATGATTCAAACCTGTAAATACGGTTTTAAAAATTCTTAAAATCACAAACAAGGCATGTTGATTCACTCATTTAGCAAACACTGATGAAGGGCCTCCTACCTACAAAATACTATACCAGAAGTTGTGAAGCTACAGAGAAGAACATAATATTTATTGAACACCTACTGTGTGCCAGACATTTTATCTACATAGTGATATTTGATCCTCATAACAACTGTGTGAGGTTGTTGGTATTATGGTTAACGTACAAATAAGAAAATTGACACTCAAAAAAGTTGAGTGACTTGCTCAAGATCAATAGCTACTAAGTGATATACGCAAGGCTTTAACTGTTCACTGTAAATTCCATGTGGTTTGCACTATACTATGATCCTCTTCTTGTGGAACTTTCAGTCTAGGAGAGACTGACATGTAAACTACTAGCTAATAATACAAGACAATGTGAATGGATAAGCAAAATTCAGGAACAATTAATTCCAACTGAGAAATTCAGGCAAGTTTCAAGAATAGACTTTAAGGGTAAGAAAGACTCAGGTTGCTGGAGAAAGCATTCCAGGTTGAAGAAACAACAGGATCCAAAGCATAGAGGCATGCTTAAGGACTAAGACCAGGTCTGTGGTGTGCAACTGCAGTGCTGGATTAATGTTGAAAGGTAGTAAGAAATGAAAAGTTGGAAAATAGTGTGTCTAAACTGTGGAGGGTCTTGGATGCCATGCTAAGGCGTTCGAATAATTCCATCTCTCCTAGGTGGTTAAGTTTCTTGAGGAGGTGAATAACCTGACTTGCCTTGTATTTTTTTTTAAAGATAACACTAGAGGTGTAAAAAGTCTAGATTAGCTGTTGGAGTTAGGGCTAACAGAAAGCTGTTGCAATAGTGTAAGGAAGAAATACTGAGAGCTGGTGCTAGGCCAGTAACAGTGGGAACGACGGCTGGGGTGGAAGTGGGGTGTGGTCAATGTATAGGAAATTTTGTAAGTAGGAACTTTGGGACTTGGTGATGTGCTATATGTGAGTGGAGAAGGAAGAACTGAAAGTTATGTCAAGGTTTCTAGGATCAATGACTGAGTAGAGGGAAGTTGGGAAAGCACAGGTGGACAGGAGATGTAGAAATAAAATCAGGAATATATTTTGTGTTTTATATGCCAATTCCATGGCCCTCATGACTTCATTAACTATAATTGTGGTAATTACATTCTTAAGATATAATATAAAATGGGTGGAGAATGTTCCGTTTTTTTGGCTCACGTTCTTAATAGCTCCTGAATCATTGTAATGGAAGTATATTAGAAATAATAGTTTTAGAAAATCATTGTAACTGTGATGAGGTGATGGTGGGGTGTTTTCTTTGGTGTCTTTTTGGTATTTCAAATTAATGGTACAGATAATTTCTTTCCAGGTGGTGACAATCCATATCACCCCAGTGGCTGACCAGGTTCCAAAAGAGGCTCCTGGAGTTTCTCGGCATTTGGTTGTCAAGGAAACTGAGGTGGCCTACTTAACTAAGAAACACCTACATTTCATAGATATGGAATCATATGACAGGGAGCTGCTCTACACAATAACGACTCCTCCATTTTTCTCCTTCAGCCACAGGTATTTCTATGAAAGTCATCACCCAGGCTATTCATTGAGGGTCGTGTTCTAGGATTGAGTCGAAAGTGTCAATATCTAGTATTGTGGTTTAGTTGCTTTGTGGGTCAATTCAGCATTTACTCTAATCTCAGATTTATCTCATCCCTCCCTTCAAAACCTGCAGCTTGTAGTGTCTTCAGCTTAGGTGGGCTTAAAACAGTCTTTAATTCCCTTTTCTAAATAGAATGCTTTTTTTTTCATTTCAGTAAAATTTATTGAGTCTTCATAACATTATTTTTAGGTATGAAATGGTCACATTCTATGATCTCAATCCAGAAAATTGGCATGAATATATCTCAGGCTCATGTCATGTACATGGTAGTGAGGAAACATTTTTAGGATGAGAATAATGATTTCCGTTCATGATGTCAAAGCAGAAAATTCTTTACATACTTTTTGCAGTCACGACGAGAATGGCATTGATGATACTGGGCTTAAGTCTAGAACTCCCAACATAGAGAGAGAAAATAGAGATGGAACATTTGATTTCTTCCTCCGATGAGCTCTTATAACTTTGGAAAATTTGGTTGTGGGCTATTTGGCTTAATTTTTCTTACCTGGAAAATTATCTGATGTGTTCTCCTGTATTTCTCTGTAGAAACTTGGATGCTGGGAAATTATTCATGGTAGACAGCATACCGAAGCTAACCAAAAATCCTGCAACCCCGGAGCTGAGGTCATTCACTCAGGTATGGTGCTATGCTGAAATGGCGACCAACATGATGGAGGCATCCTCTGAGCAGGTGTGGCACTCCTATTGTTGTACTTGAGACTATTGGCCTTTGACATCTGTCACAAGCATCAAATACTTGATGTCTATATTCTTTCTGCTTCCACATTTCCATTAATCATGTGACATCTGTTTGAAAATGCTTGATCAAGCTAGACATGATTTCAAAATCTTATAATTCAAACACAGCCTTTTGCATTGTTTTGCCAGCAGCAGGGCTCTGATTTAGGGACCTGGTGCATTTGTTTTTATTCCACCAAATTCAGTTCATCCCGTATTCCACTGTATTAGTTTCCTGGGGCTGCCATAGCAAAGTACCACAAACTGGGTGGCTTAAAACAAAAGAGATTTATTGTTTCACAGTTCTGGAAGCTAGAAGCCTGAAATCAAGGTGTCAGCAGGGCCACACTCCTCCGAAACCCTGTAGGGAAATCCTTCCTTGCTTCTTCCTGCTTCTAGTGGTTTGTTGGCAATCTGACATTCCTTGGCTTGTCAAGGCATCACTGCAGTCTCTGCCTCTGTCATCCCATGGCAATCTTCTCCTTGTGTGTCTCTCTGGTTTTATTATAAGGATACAAATTATGTTGGATTGAGGGCCCACCCTACTCCAGTATGACTTCACCTTAACTTAACTAATTACATCTGTAACAACCTCCTATTCCCAAATAAGGTCACATTTCGAGGTACTTGGGGTTAGGACTTCAACCTGTCGTTTTTGGGGAGGGACACAGTTCAACCCATAACATCTACTACCTTCCAAAATCCTTTATCCACCCTTTCCCTACTCCTGTGAACTCTACTCCAAAGACCCCACGAGGGTCACAATGATGGTGATGCTTAGGCAGCAGCCACCCCTGTGGTTTAGGACTAATTACGCCTAATCTCACTGTAGTTAGAGGTTGTAAATGAGTATGTCAACCCCATGTGCTAAGTACTATTATTTTATTCATTTTATAGATAAGGAAACAGAGGCCTAGCAGGTTTAAGTAGCTTGACCATAGCTACTTCATGGTGGAGCTGGATTGAAATTCAAGTTTCCTTTCTTTTACAGAGTTGGCTGGCTTCAAGAACTTGACATATTTACTTAATTTCTTTGTTCTTTTCCCTCCTGGTTTTAGAAAATGTAATTTATAAAATAGAGCTTTTTGGAATTTTCAGATTGATGATGGTGGCATTTACAATGTTCAATATCATTTAAGACGATGGTTCTCTTAGGCCTAGATCTCTAAAAATCTCTGATCCTCGCAGATCGGCACCCACGTGTCCATCTTGATTTGTTTTGCAGCATGCTGTGAACTATATGAAAGTGGCCTACATGCCACCCATGCAAGATATAGGCCCCCATCTACGACATGTCCAGTTTGCATTTTCCATCAGTAACCAACATGGCGGCACTTTGCATGGGATCTGCTTTAACATCACGATTCTTCCAGTGGACAATCAAGTTCCTGAGGTCAGTATAATGTTGGATATGAAGGATGAAAAGGAGGGAGGACCCAAGGAAAGAAAGGAAAGACTTTAAGACTTACTGGAAATGTTAACTTTTCTTTAGGTTATTTAAAAAACTTTTTTATTTTCCAGCTAGTGTAACAAAAAAGTGTGGGGAGGGAAGTCCTTCACCTCTCAGGGAATTTTCTAAAAGGTGAGGTTTTCCAGTTGCTGAGTTTGGCATTATTTCAAAGCTTTATCAAAATCTCTTTCATTTCCTGTTCTTTCTGCTGAGTTTCACGTGCTGATCAGGGGAAAGGGATTAAATTGTGGGTCTCTTAGCAACCAGAAGGACTTATTTGCTCTCACCACAGGTCAACTATGCTGCTCTGTAATCTAAAGAAGCTCTTCAATTTTCCAAATGAATTAAGATGGGCCCTTCCATCCTAGCCTATCCCATTCCCCAGTGTTTATACAAGCTTTAAAGCACTTGAGTCTCTCATTAAAGCTCAACTACAAAGGCAATACCACCTGTGCACCTTATCTGCAAGGTTGGGGTTCATATTGAGAGTTTGTTCCATACCTGCCCCTCCCCATCGGAGTGCTAGACTTAATTAGTGTGGCTATTCCTGGGCTCATTTTTTCCCTCAAAAGTGGAAAGACAAAGTAGGATTACCCATTTATTAGGAACCAGAAGGGACTAGAACCTACACATGTTTCATCTGTAAGGAAGAGGTCACCTTCTCAGGTACCTACCTGGAATATAGACAGGAAAGCACTGATGTTCCCTTTCCTGCTCACTCCTCATCATCTCTACACCTGCCCAAGGTTGAGACAGAGGTCTCATCCTGAGGGACCAAGGGACTTACCCTACCCACAGAACTTTTCTGATGGGTCTAAACGATATCTTTAAATAGTGAGTTGCCGACACTTAAACATCAGGAGGTTTCATGTAAAGTCTGGGTTTTTGGCTTCTCTTGAAAATCTGGACGCCCTGGCAACACTGAGTCCACTTTCCCTCAGCGGCAGTCGGAGAGGGCACACTCTCCAGTCACCAAAGTCCCCCCCAACTCACCACACGTGTACATCGCTGGCCTGACCCCTCAGGCTTCTGAGGTTGTAATTTCTGGTAGAAGATGCACCAGAGAGCTCACACAAAGGAATCTAAACTATATTTTTTGACTCCTTCAATCAGATCACATTCCATGTGGAGAAAATTAATCAAATGCCTGTTAATTTGATTATATATTATTCAGACCCTCCTTTTCTATGTATGAGATACAGGACCAGAGAAAGCCCAGCATCTAAAGAACTAAAGCTTTCTCTGGAACAATCATGGAGAAATAGTCTTTTATGCAAAGCAGTCCAAGCCTCTTGCTAGAGAAGGATGATCCGTGGAAAAAACTAAAAGGGGTGAAGAGTTACCTCCATCATTTGAAAATAGATACAACAGTCCTGGGGACTTGGGCCTCAAGTGGCATAGTGGTTTCTGTCTTTTTTCTACAGTGTACGGGTCAAATGAAATGGTACCTTAGAGAACTGAGAATATTAGAAATAAAATTAAATGAGTAGCTTCAGTGAAATCAGCCACAGAAGTGATTCCCTGGTGTGAAATACCTACAGATATCAGAGTTGAGTGATAACCACAAGGGGATCTTGACACCATGCTAACCTGAAGTCCCAGGAAGCTAAGCACTGGGTTTGGGCAGAAAAGCTAATGATTAACAAGTAGGGGCAAATTAGCCTTGTGCTTTGATTTTTTGAAAGTTACCCTAAAATACCTATATATTTAAAAATCATCTAATGTAGCAAAGTATATTCCTTGAAACATTAGCATCTTGGGATATTAATTGGCACAGCTCAGGAAAAAATGAGGCTGGCAGACATGGACCTTGTTTCAAAGATAATCCTCCTCTTTGAATAAGGGCTCGGTTTCTTTCTTTCTCCTACAAACAGTAAAAATGTAGCAAAATGAGAGTAAGGCACCTGGGAAGGATGGGGGTGAGGGCGGTTTTGTGGCGAGAAAGCTCTTGTTTTTATGTTTTTCTTTGCTGGTGGAGGTAGTTTATTAAAGAATAGAAGGCAACTGTCTCAGGAGTGTCAGTTTCATAATTTCCTCCATCCCGGGGGCTGCCCTTGGGACATCCATGGATGCCCCAGGCAGCTGCGACCTGGTGGGCATGAGGCTAGAGCGGGGCTCTGAGTGGAGGTGGTGACTTTTCCTTGCTCACTTCCCTTTCCTCTGCCCATTCCTTGTCCCCTGCTCTTTACCAGCTCTTTCCTCAGGGAAAGTTCTTTCTGGGAGCAGCAGCTGCTCTGAGGAGAGTAGCTTCTTCCTTGCAGAATACTGTGTCTTCCCATTGGCAGGTGCTCACTCCAGGCCGCCTGTGAGGGGCCCTCAGAGCCCATCGCTTGGTATCTGCTTGCTTTACCTTCTGTCTAGTAAAACAAATTTGGGGAAATGATAAGGTAAACAAAGTCAACAGGTTTTTCTACTTAAGGACCTCAGAGTGTTGAATATACTTATGTGCCTTAAAAATCTCCCAGGTGAAGATACTGTATGTAACAGTTTTCTAGGCTTATTTGACCATGGAACACTTCTTGCCAGCTCCCAATGTGGCAATAAAAATATCCCAAGCCCTTCAACTTGCATTTTACTTACAAATGAACTATTAGTCGGTTGAGTATTGAGTTTTTCTATTATAGAAAATTATCTTCATGGCTTAATATTTAAGTCTGTTTGAATAAATCTATTTCTTATGGAATCTGCAGTTTTCGGTCTTCAATTTCCCTCCTCTACTTCCATCTCTAAAATACTCACTACAGCTGTTGCTGAAGATCTCCAATCAATGTCTCAAGTCTTTAGGAATTTTTAGAGTGAAAAAAGAGATGGATTCCTTTCCCTAGGGGAATTTGATATAGATTTTGTTCGTTTTGTAGGTTAGGGTGTATATGTGTCGAGCCATGGCGGGTATGGACCTGATGATGAAAGTGATTATTTTCTCAATTTACGCTACAGATAGTAATCAGTTTGATTACTGCTTCTACTATACAGCCTCTGAGAGAAATGAGATGTAGTTACTTTCAGGTTTATAGATATACTTGCTTCTTGGTCTACACCAATGCTTAGAATCAGAAACATTTAGGAAAAATATTTTTCAGCCAAGATGTCTTATGAAGTTATCCCCTTTACCGCATTTTTGAAAAATTAATTGACATGTGAAGATGACACTGGAAGTTTTATGTTCATTTAATGAGCTCTGTCTTCAGGGCTACCTCAGGGAACAAGGCTTTGAATGTTTCCTTCCTTATTTCTAGGTATTTACCAACCCTCTGAGAGTGGCTGAGGGAGGCCAGTGTGTCATCAGCACAGAGCACGTCCTGGTTTCTGATATGGATACCCAGCTGGACAGCATCTGCCTCTCCCTGCAGAGACTGCCTCCACATGGAAGTGTGGAGCTGAACGGATTTCCTCTAAACGCAGGGGGCAGATTTTCTTGGGGAGACCTCCATACCTTCAAAGTTAGGTTAGGCCATTTCCTGGCTTTTTTCCTTTACATGCTTTGGCTCCTATCTGGATCAGTTGTGAGGCAGAGTAGGAGAAAGAAGTTCATCCAGTTCTTTCAGGAGTACCGATGTGCCACTTAATACTGTCAAGGGTCAGTTGAAAACTAGAGATGACATATTCTTCCAGACATTTTCTTTCCCTCTGGCTTGCTGTGCCGGTGGGAATGCCTTTATGAATATTTGAACAACAAAAGGTAATTGCCATGTATATTGAATTTGCTGCAACTGCACATATCACCAGAGGTAGAAGTCACACTAGATGAATATAGGCTGAAATAATCTGTAAGGCTAATCTACATTAGTCTTGGACTTATAGGCTTTAAGGAAAGCCAACTTCATGACCCTGGAAACTCTGGGATAGAATTCAGCTGACTGGTGTCTTTAGTGTAAGCTTTTATTCCATTCTCTTGGGGTGGGGATTTCCAGGCCAAACAGTAGGTGGGGTAGGTGGGGTATGGAGTACTACTTGGCTCTCTGACAGTCAGGGATAGAGCAATCCCTGACTCATGGTCCCACGGTAGTTTTCCTCACCATAAGATCTTACATTTCTTTTGCCTAATGCAGTTCTATAAGAAACTTTTCTGTAAAACCTAGTAAAGCAACTTCTCTGGAAAACAGTGCAAGCTACTCAAAAGCAATGGTCTGGTAGACAGACATACTGGTTAATTTCTTACTTACAAGTTTCAGTTATAAATGGGAATTTTGGCTCTTTTGATAAAGTATAGTAGAAGATATTAGGCATCAAATGCTTAGTTCCACACTTGACTAGGAAGTTGACTGGGAACTAAGCTTTGTGCACAGGGAGATCAGTTTAATCCGACGGTTTAGTTACATTGCTGATCCACAGTCTCTAATATCTTGACCACTTTTCACTACTCACTCCTATTCTCATTAAAATTTCCGTTTTTCTCCCAAGATCTCAGCTTTCAGCTACATGTTATAGAGAGAGCTCTGTTTAGATAATTCTTACTAAGGAGTGAATGATGGATAGAAAAAAAAGCACCAATATTTGTTAGCACATATAGTTCAAGCATTCTGCTAGAGACTTGCAATTTCGTTTTTTCATTTAATCTTCACAGCAATCAAGCCTGACAAGGTAGATGGTTCGATTCTCATATTATAGTTGAAGAAACTAAGGGCAAACTCAGCTAGTATGTGGGGGAGTCAGGTTTTTTTTTTTTTTTTTTGAGGAAGATCAGCCCTGAGCTAACATCCATGCCAATCCTCCATCTTTTTGCTGAGGAAGACTGGCCCTGAGCTAACATCCGTGCCTATTTTCCTCCACTTTGTGTGGGATGCCGCCACAGCATGGCCTGACAAGCAGTGCATTGGTGCTCACCTGGGATCTGAACCCGGGCCGCCAGCAGCTGAGCGCGCGCACTTAACCGCTACAACACAGGGCCAGCCCCGGGAGTCAGATTTTGAAAGAATTTCTTTTTCTACTTGACTCCAAGCCTTGTCTTTGGATGTGTAATCTTAGACCCACTTGGCCCTTCTCGGGGTACTAGCACGGCAAGAGAATATTAGCACATTGCCACATATCAATCTATTTTTGATAAAAAAATATCAAGGAGCATGACAAAATAAAGCATAGGAGGCAGTGTGTGGGAGGGATACTAGAGGCGGGAGGTAGACTTTCTCCACCATTGAAATGGAATTCCAACCTGAGTCTCTAGCCAAGTCGATGAGACTACTTCTGAGTAAAATACCTTTTAGCCCTGGAATTTTTTTCATATGTAAATATTATACATGTTCAAAATACTATACTATTTTTAATGCAACTTTTAGTTTCAATTCCTAGAACTATTTTCATTCTTGAGTGTCTTGAACAGATCATTGATAAGCTAAAAATTTGGCTCAATTCAACTCAACAACTATTTAGAACTCACTAGGTATCATTGCAGTGGGCTGGAGAGTAAATGGAGAGTCTAGAATTAGACAATTCCTTCAAGAAATTTCACTGAGAATTAAAGGAAAATAGAACCAAGGCTAGACCAAGAAAAAATCTTTTTAAGTCTGGGAGAAATTCGAGAATCTTTATAGATTGAGAGGAAGAGAGCTAGTAAATAGAAAAGGAAAAATGGCAGGGGAGAGGCAATAAATAATTCATAGATCAAAGTTTTAGAGAAGAGCTGAAGAGCTTCAGAGTACAAGCAGAAAGATTAGCCTTGAAAGTAGGGGAGGAGGAAGAATCATCAAAATGGTTTTACCTGTCTACAGTTCATTCAGCCTCAGTGTCCCCCTGGCCCTGGCCAGTGTTTTCTGTGAGTAGCAGAGCTATACCAACCGGTTCCCATTGTCACAGTGGCAACCTGAAGGGCTGCTTTTTGATTTGGAGACAAATTATGAACTCATATAACACATTTTTCCACGGTGGAGTCATTTTACATTCAGGGATACTTAAGTAGTTAAATATGTGACTTCATGATTGTGCTGGGTTTTTTTGTTGTTGTTGTTATTTATTTATTTATTGAACACATGGCCAAAGGCATGGAAAAGCTCTTGTGTCATGCATCTCAACATACTCTCACAGTGGCCTGGAGAGATTAGTGACAAATACTGACCCCACAGGTATCAGCATGATGGATCTGAGGTACTTCAGGATGACATCCACTTGGAGGTCACAGATGGCATGAATTCAGCAGAATTTGTTCTACACGTTGAGGTGGGTAGCAAGTTTACTTCCTGGTTCACATAGAAATAAAGCCTCTGGTTTGGAAGCCTCTTAGAGTCTCTGGTAGAACTTGAAACACATGGGCTCTAAAGCAAGAGGATGCCTGCTTACATCTGTGAATGTCTCAGGACAGGCAATAGAGAGCAAAGTTATATTGGAGAAATGGGCATGCTGTTTTCTCTCTCCAATCCAAGATAGAATGACTCTAACCTCAAGCCCAGATACTTACTTTAAAGAGCAATTGGTTCATGTATAAGTTATTTCTAATATTTTTGAGCTGTAACACTCAGAAATATTAATTTAGCAGCTGGGCAGGTTAGGCTGGCATCACTAGGGTTTTCCTTGTTGTGTGGAGGAAGCCATGTCTGTATGTGCATGGTGCCCCTTTGTGAAGTCCTGTACCATATACCCCTGGCCTGAGGTATGTTTGAGGTGATTATTTTTCTTCTTTTGACAAATGAAGAAACATCTGCACATAAAGGTTGAGTACATGCCCAAGGCCTGATGGGAACCTCGAGTTTCTCTGTTGAGTGACCACTCAAGTCCATAAGCATAACTTGTAGGATTTGTAGGTACTTATAGTTAGTGACAAAGGCAGGTCTACAGAAAGACTTATCATGTTCTCAGAAGAGCCACTATTATTCTCACTGTACCAAATTCTATTTCTGTTGGAATTTTGTCAGATTTTTGTGATATGAAATTGTTATTAGTGGTAATAATAATATGTTTGTAAGATATTTTACAATTAATAATTAACTAAGAATGATCACACTCATCTAGTGTTTTTAGACAGGAAAGGAATTATCCCCGTTTCATAGCTAAGGAAGCTTAAGCCCAAGAATGTTCAATGACTTGCTCAAAGTCATTAACTTGACTGTGTAGACCTAGGCTGGCATCTCCACTCTCTGGTACCTCTGGTTGTCTCTAGCCGGTATTCTTTCCCCCTCACTACTGCCATAGTTGTAAATTACCAGGTTATTATAAGTATCATGCTTGCTAACATTTCCTGAAAACACATCTGTGCCAGTCACAATGCAGAGACCCTTCCTTCTGTTTTCCCACTTAATCCTCATGATGGCTTTTGAGGTCTAGACGAAGAGCAGTGTGTTATTTCAGCTTCTAAAGGGAAAATTTTCTTTATTGACAGATTTTTACATACAGTAGTCTCCCCTTATCCACAGTTTAATTTTTGGCGGTTTCAGTTACCCACAGTCAACTGATGTCCAAAAATATTAAATGGAAAATTCCAGAAATAAACAACTGTTAAGTTTTAAATTGCACGCTGGACAGAGTAGCATGACAAAAATCTCATGCCATCCCACTAGGGATGTGAATCATCTCTTTGTCCGGTGTATCCATGCTGTGTACACTACCCACATGTCAGTCACTTAGTAGTTGTCTGGGTTATCAGATTGACTGTCCTGGTATCACAAATAACCCTTATTTTACTTCATGATGGCCCCAAAGTGCAAGAGTAGTGATGCTGGCAATTCGGATACACCAAAGAGAAGCCGTCAAGTGCTTCTTTTAAGTGAAAAGGTGAAAGATCTCAATTTAATAAGGAAAGAAAAAAATTGTATGCTGAAGTTGCTAAGACCTACAGGAAGAACAAATCTTCTGTCTGTGAAATTGTGAAGAAGGAAAAAGAAATTCATGCTAGTTTTGCTGTCACACCACAAATATGTATGTATAGGAAAAAACATAGCATATATAGGGTTTGGTATTATCCGCTGTTTCAGGCATCCACTGGGGGTCTTGGAACATATGCCCCATGGACGAGGGAGGACTTCTGTATAGAGAGAGATTTTCTAAGTTCCCTTTCTTCCTGAAGAGCAAATTTCAGGGCAAAAAGTACCCAACCATATCTTCCATCCATGACCATCTTATCGATGACAATAAGCAGTACATTTGAGAAAAACAATCGTTTATCGTTACTTTTTAGACAAAAGCCCATGACCTTTGAAAGCCAATCAGAGGTGCAGGCAATTTTGGACAATTATGTGTGCTTTTCTTTATCCAAGAGAATTGTTTTTAATTCTGTTGCTTTTGAGTTTTATTATACATTTGAATGCTGAGGCTCTTTTGTGAACTGCTGCAAAATGGTCATTCGGAGTTTATTGGTGAGGTTCCTCAGAGAAAATCAAGAACAGGAAGAAAGAAGGTCTTTAATGAATCCATTCAGAAGACTTGAAGAATGATATTGCTGCCTAATAAGCCAATAGGAAACAGAATAGAGGATTGTATACCTTTGTTTATACCCTTGATTAAATAACTAAGCCTGGGTTTTCATCACCCCATCCCTTTACCCATTAAAGGCAAGTGTCAACATAATTTCATGCATATTTGTTGTAGAGTTGTTATCCTATTTAACAACAAGCAGAGTAATCAGGGCATATATGCATAGTTAGATTCATTCATTCATTTATTCCATAAATATTTAATAAATGTCTTCTATATGCCAGGTCTTAGGTTAGATGCTTGGGGTATGATGATGAACAAGATAAAAATGTCCTTGTACTGGGGCCGGCCTGGTGGCGTACTGGTTAAGTTCACGCGCTCCGCTGTGGTGGCCCAGGGTTTGCAGGTTCAGATCCCGGGCATGGACCTACTCATCACTTATCAAGCCATGCTGTGGTGGCGTCCCATATAAAGTAGAGGAAGATAAGCACAGATGTTAGCCCAGGGCCAATCTTCCTCAGCAAAAAAGAGGAGGATTGGCAACAGATGTTAGCTCAGGGCTAATCTTCCTCACACACACAAAAAATGTCCCTGTACTTTTAGAGCTTCAGGGAAGGCATGAAAACAGGCATGAAACAGATTATCACTAAAATAATTATTTAAAATATGGATGTTCTACAAATAAACAGGTGCTAAAAGAGAGTAAACAATAGAAGTCCCTAAATGAGCCTGAGTTGCCAAGGATTTTCCTGAGGATTCCACATGTAACTGAAAGGAGGAGGTAGCCAAGCAAAGAGCTGAGGGGCAGAGCATAACAGGCAAGGGAGCAGGGAGACGATGCAAAGATGGTGCAAAGACCTGAGATGTGAGGAAAGCAGTCTTGGGGTGAAAATGGGGAGGGGTCACAAAGACACCCCATCACATGAGGTGAGACCGAAGACATCCTAGGAGAAGTGCTGGGAAGCCATTAAAGTTTCCTGTAGACAGTGACTTGATGAAAGCCACATTTTTTATTTTATTTTATTGATGTCATAATAGTTTATAACATTGTGAAATTTCAGTTGTGCATTATTATTTGTCAGTCACCATATAAGTGTTCCCCTTTACGCCTATGCCCACCCTCCAACTCCCTTCCCCTTAGGTAACCACTGATCAGTTCTCTTTGTCCATGTGTTAGTTTATCTTACACATATGAGTGAAATCATATGGTGTTTGTCTTTCTCTGTCTGGCTTATTTCACTTAACATAATACCCTCCAGGTCCATCCATGTTGTTGCAAATGGGATGATTTTGTCTTTTTTTATGGCTGAGTAGTATTCAGTTGTACATATGTACCACATCTTCTTCATCCATTCATTGGTTGATAGGCACTTATGTTGCTTCCACATCTTGGCTATTGTGAATAATGCTGCAATGAACATAGGGGTGCATAAGTGTCTTCAAATTGTTGATTTCAAGGTCTTTGGGTAAAAACCCAGTAGTGGGATAGCTCCTGATCATATGGTATTTCTGTTTTTAATTTTTTGAGAAATCTCCATACTGTTTTCCGTAATGGCTGCACCAGTGAAAGCCACATTTTTAAAAGATTACTTTGGCTGACTCGTGGGGGAAGGAAATTTAGGGTTGAGAGTGTTCACAGGCCAGACTTGATAAATGAACTTGCAGCACACACACCAGGTCAGGGCTGTGAACTCAGAGGGGGAATGTCCTTCATTCCTATTTAGAAGACACGTTTTTTCAAATTTCTATCTCTTTGTAAATTCAGAGAGCCAGTGTGATCCCGTGTTGCTTTTCCTTCCTTTCTTGGAGATTTATTTTCATGATAGTGAGAGAAAAATGTTTTACCAAGTTGAAAACTGGCACTGATTTAATGGTTATGGACTTGCAGATTGAACTTAAAATGTTTTGAAATGCAGCTGTGGCTTATTGTAAGTCCAGAGAAACTTCCTGGGTGGCAGGAAGTTGAGGGTGGAGGAGAGCTTTCTAATCACCAAATGATTTGAAATATAAATGACTTTGATGTGGTAAATGTAAATGCATCCGACCGCAAGGACCAGATTTCCTCTAGAATATGTGTACATTTAATGAAGGAGGATAGTGGCTTTGGTGAAGAATGCTTCATATTACATTTATATTTTGTCTGTTTCAAAACAAACGAGAGCTTTGAGTCCCAAATCATAACCGTACTTTCCCATTCCTAACTAAAATGTCTCTCGTGTGGGTCATTTCTTACAAGATGGTTCATACGGGGAAAGTTAAAAGATACAGACTGCTTGGCCAAATTCCATGGCTATTGTTTCATGTGTCTGGAAGATCGAAAATGCTAGTCATTCCGACTATGAGCTATGGGTTACCAGTTGAGCAGTCTGTCATGGCTTTCTTTTTCTTGAAAACATGCATTTTTTTTCCTGCTTAGATATTCCCCATAAATGATGAGCCACCAATCCTAAAGGCTGACCTCATCCCCATGATGCATTGCTCAGAGGGCAACGAGGTGGTCATCACCCCTGAATACATTTTTGCTACCGATGTGGACAGTGATGACTTGAAACTGATGTTTGTGGTTGCTCGAGAACCTCAGCATGGGGCGGTGAGGAAAGCTGGAGTCTCGGTGGATCGGTTCTCTCAGGGAGACGTTATCTCGGGGGCTGTGACCTACAAACACACAGGTAAGTGCTAGCCTTGTGGCTAGTCTGGGTGAGGGGATGCAAGCCACACGACAGAGTCTTACCTCCACTCCTCGCTGTGGGTTCCGATAATCTAACCGTCTTAATGTTTGCCTCCATTAAAAAAGAAGCCACAGCAGCAGCAGTATCCTGTATCCCATTTTTTAAGTATGGTCACCATATTTAGAAGTATGATCTCAGTAATGTAATGAATTTCAAGGAGTGGACAAAGAGCAGGTGTTATTTCTACTTAGTTCCTGATGCTTCCACATAAGCCCTCAGTGCACCCTGGGGTTGTCCTCATGACTTTGGGTCAATTTGAAGAGGACTTTATTTGACCATCGCAGCTTCTAGATTCATAAATCATAACAGAAATGCCTGTAGTGAGCCCCCTAAGATAGTTATATTATTAATTTAAAAAGTTTACTCATCACCACTAGCTCCTGAGAAGGAACTGGTCTGCTTTTTGAGTTCCTGAAAAGCAAAGATGATGTCTTATGCTTTGGGTAACTTGCCCACAGCGCACGATAGTGGTGGACACAGATTAGCAATACAGTAAATGCTTGTCTATTAGTATCATGCTTACCTTTCTGGCATCACATTATACTGTTACCTAGGTGGCATTTGTTCCCCATGTGAAATGTTAAAATAAAGAAAATATTAAAGCAACATCTGATATCTGCAAGGCACAGTACTAGCCACTGTGGGCTCTAAAGGAGTATAATCCAGATCCTGCTGTGAAGGACTTTTGATTTAAATGGGTAGACAAAACCCATTCCCGTGCAGACATGATGGTGTGAAACATCCACACATCATCACCCCTCCCACATCTTCTGAATTCTGGGTTGGGGGCACTTCCTCAGTAATAACACCATATGCCTCCTCCACCTAACTTTTGTCTTACTCGGTTACAATTTCCTGTTTACTCATCCATATGCCTCCCTAATCTGTAAATTCCATGTGGGAAGTACGATTGGGTATGTTAAGCTAGGTGAGTGGTACAGAAAATAAGAGCTATCAGAATTGAAATCACTTTCTTATTTCAAGAGACATAGAGAGAGAAATACAAGCAGTGAGTGGGAAAGGAACTCAAGGAGCAGAGATTGAGATAGCTAAGGATTAATTCGGAAATGGGAGAAAACATTTTGAAATAATATTTTTCATATGTACTTTGGAAATAATGATTTATTAGGATACCAGTTGTTTCATGGCCAGTTAATTAGTATGGGACATTTCAATCACTTCGCCAGATATTTTTTTTCTTTAAATGGTACCTCCTTATCTTCTTATCTGCATTTAGTCTTAGGAAAACATTCATTGGTTATTTCCTTGCCCTGGGGAGCATAGTCCATGTATTTGATGTCTCTCAATAGTTCACAACTCTGTGCTTCTTTTGGTTTCTCCAATGATCTCAAATAGACCAGCAGAAGAGGGATCCAAACACCAATGATTGTTGTTTTTTTACATAACTTGAACATCTTTGGCAGGCTCACGCAGCATAGAGAAATTAGGAGTGAGATGAATCTGTCTTCTCTTTGAGTGCCTTATTCCAGGTGCAAAACAACAAGCACACATATTTATAAATCGCTTCTGGTGTGATGGCCATGGAAGGGAGTGTTAACTAATTTTTTTTTCAGAAGACCTGGTAGTACATTGGGGCAAATTATTTCAGATAGATGTATTTTTGTTATATTATTAAACTAGAAGAAAAACTGTATTCAAAGGATGTTTTGATATTTGAATATTATGTTTTCTTGTAATGTTCACTCAGTTACTCAATTGGTAGCTACTTAGCACTGTCCTAGGATTAGTATAAAGAACCACAGTAGAACTGTAGGATCTAAAGTTTCAGTGAGTTATGTATAAATCATGTCCTTAGACTATATTCCATTTCAAGGTGCAGCATTCTTTCATCCATGTTGTAGCCTTTTTCATGGCTTAATGTTCGCCTACTTTTCTAGCTCTTTCTATAAATGTACCCTATACTTCCATTATATTGAAATTATAGTTACTGAAGGTATTATGTTTACCTCTTTTCTTTCAAGCTGTCCTTTCTTCCTGGAATGAGTTTTTCATTTCTCTTTCTGACTCCCTTTCCCTGCAGGTCCTCTCTCCCACCTCCCAGTTCTCTGCCTAGTAAACCATTCATCCTTTAATGCTTAGTACAAGCCCAGCTAAGCTTCTGGAAAGACTTCCCTGACTTTCCCTGGTGTGTGTGCCCTGCCTCCACACCATTGTCAGCCAACACTCTCATCTTCCTTCACTCTCAGCACCTTGTACATAATTGGGATGAGATATATGAATTTTCCATTTCATAGATTAAAAAATGGCTTAATAGTGGCAATTTTGAATGGTTCCGCTTAAAACATACACGTATCTGTGATATTCTAACCATATTGCATTTCTTTTTCTACTATTAGACTACATCAGCACCTGACACGTAGTAGGTCCTTTGACATCTGACATTCTTTTGAAATATCTTTTGACATCTTCAAAATGTCTGCCTTTTTCTCTGCTGGAGCACCCAGAACACTAATTGTCACATAGTAGGCATTAAATATATATTTATCAAGTGAGTGATGAATAAATATGCTTTAAGCCAATTTGTTTTTTATATATATGAATAGATGAGAGGGCTCTTTTTTTTTTTAGTTTTCCTAAAGTTGAAGGCTGATTGTTTAATTTTAATTCTCTCAACTTCAACTCTATTTTTCCTTATAATCCAGTTTTCTCATCCTCTAAACATTTGGTTGCTTAATAATATCATCTCTAGATTTTCCTTGTCTTTTTTTCAACGGGGAGAATAATGTCAAGCACAGTACTCTGTAGATTTGACGAACGCGTCTTGTGAAAGAGGCGACATCCCTGATCTTTTGTGTCCTGGTGTCATCAAAACTTCAAACATAATTGCTTCCCTCTTGGCACTTTCAAAGTGATGCATGAGAATTACCAAAAGTACATCTGCAGAACTTTTCTGTCCTCGGATAGTGAGCACTCCTACCTCTGTGCTGTTAGTAACCTAGGAACAGATTGTCCTGTTCACTGATGAACTATCTAATCTTCCTTCTTCCTCTCACTGCCTAAGTTGGAGCCATTTTGAAACCCATAGGTATAAGCCCCAAGGAGTAGAAAGAAAATGAAAATAAACGCCACTTCTTTTCCAGGTGCTGTTGCTATTTTGTTAACATCTTGGCTATTATATAATGAGAAAAATATTGAAACAAATGACAAAAATGTGGATTCTCTTTGTATTTCACCTATGCAGCTTCTTCTATCTCTCATAACTACTATGTGGTTGATGGTTGTTGATTTAAGGTGGTTAATGCAAATGGGCAGACAATTACCAAAGGGACAAGCGTGACTTCTGCTCTCCCTGAGGTTGGTCCTGACACTAAGCAATTATGAGAGGGGAAGGAAACTGTCACTAGTCTAGTTTCGTGTCTCTCCCTTGTTCATTTGTGAACTGTCAGACCCTTGTTAGCCCTGTTTTGCCCCTCCATATGGTGATGGCTGGCTGGCAGGGATTTCACCGGAGGCAACAGATGGGCAAGCATTTTTTGCATTAGTTTCATGACTCTATTTCATTTCATAGTGATAAAATTGAGTTTTACACTTTAGCCACATAAATTCCTTTCTTTGCCATTCTATGCTTGTAGAAGAGGTGTGAGTAGATTTCATCTTGTTATTCTATAGTTTTAAAAAGTCGTGTTTCAGCTATAGCTGTGTCTTCCAGGTGGTGAGATTGGCTTGGTGCCTTGTTTTGACACCATTACGTTGGTGGTTTCGGATGGAGAAGCTGGCCCTTTTGTGGATGGCTGTTGCAACAATGGATCTCAACCATCTGTTCCTCTTCATGAGTCCTTTCCAGTGTATGATCTCAACATCACAGTACATCCAGTGGACAACCAACCACCTTCGATTGCAATAGGTGACAATGCTTTTTCTGTTAAAGTCCTATTATCTCATCTAGTGTCATTCTCATGGTTCATTGAAATAGTGCACTTTACTTGTAGTCAAAATAGAAAATCATCATACAGAATTGCCTCCAATAATAGCCTCAACACAAATTTGTGGAAAATCCCAAATCTAAGAATTTACTTGTTTCAAAATTTGGGTAATTCTGTATGGAGAGAGAATGCAACTGTGTACATGAGAGTGTATGTGTACGTGTGTGTGTTGGGATGAAGATAATGTTGGAATCCTCAAATTTTCTGGTTTTATTTCATGTGGTAAAATATTATTTGCCTGTTGGAGAGAGAGTAATTTATTTTATCCATAATAATTTCTATTAGAACAGAATGAGGGTACCAGAGAGACCATTTATATACATTTAACCTTATTTGCTTTTTAGAAAGTCATCTCTTCATAGGCATTATGTATATGTTCTGTCTCTCAGAAAAAAAATACAAGCATATGTATGAATGTTTTTGTAATTTGCAAACTATCTCCCAAGCAATGTTCTGGAAAGGAAGCATTATCCCTGCAGAATAATTAAGCACCAAGGCATGAAAAAAATGTTCGTTATGAGCAATTCATAATAGCTTGCAGGCAATTAACACTCTGACAAACAGAGGTAACAACTGATCTTGAAGGGTACATAAACTACATTTAGTGGCTTATCATTAAAACAGTTTGGCAATTCTTATTTTCGTTTGTCACTTCTATAGAGACGCAAGGGAAATCAGAGTTCCTTGAGAATGACTAAAGTGCTGTACTGGAGCATTAAGTATTTCTGCTGTCTTTCCATTATTGTGTGACTTGCGAGAAAAAAATGTAATTCCATAAGTCAAATTAAATTCCATCCATTACCCCTGAATATTTTCACTGGAAGGAGAATTATGCCAAAGGAAATGAACATCTCCCATGGAAGTATATTTGCGTATGGGAGGCTTCTCTGAACTGGAATTTCAATCACTCCCTTTGTCCTCACTATTCTGATTAGAGGATTGCACGCTAAATCATAATTGTGTTATAATTTGTATGCAGGTACCATGTTTGTTGTAGACGAAGGCTTCTCAGCAGCCCTTACCATTAACCATTTGTCAGCCACTGACCCGGACACTGCGGCAGACGACTTGGAATTTGTTTTGGTTTCTCCTCCCCAGTTTGGCTACCTTGAAAACACACTCCCTTCTGTGGGTTTTGAAAAAAGCAATATGGGCATAAGCATAGGTAAGTCACAGTTTCATGACCAGCAATAACTTGCCTGTGCTTATGGATCTGATTGGCCAGATCATGCTTAATAACTGGGTAAGGACTTCAAAAATGTTCAAAACACCATATACATTTGAGGAATTATTATTATTATAGCCGATATTTTTGAATATTATTGTTTTTCATTTGAATTTTTTATTTTGAAATTCCCCATGTATGTGAGTTTACTTCAAAATAAATGAAAATTTCACTTACAAAAATACTAATTATGAAAATGAATAATTTCTGGGGATATAATGTACAGCATGGTGACTGTATTGTATTGTATATCTGAAAGTTGCTTTGAGAGTAGAGCTTCAATGTTCTCACCATAACAACAAAATGCTAATTATGTGAGGTGAAGGATGTGTTAACTCACCTTATTGTGGTAAACATTTCACAATATTTGCATGTCTCAAATTATCACATTGTACACCTTAAACTTACACAATGTTGTATGTCAATTATATCTCAATAAACCTGGTGGGGAACAAGATTAATTGCATTAACGGTTATGCAATTTCTCCTGTGACTTAATGCATAACATAGAGCATTTTTCTCTTTTGTTTTAAGGCAATGTCAAAATACCAAAACAGCAGGTCAGTTAATTCCACTCAATCCAATCTGTTGCTTGATATATGTGTCAAGTTGGCAGATGATTGATTGACTCTTGTTTTGCCTTTATATGAAAGAGATAGTCTCTTTCTTATTTAAGCATGGTAGGAACTGCTCGTACAGAAGAAGTGGTTTTAATCAGAAGAAGGTCTCACTGACATTCATTCCAAGTATATGAAGTATAACACATCCTGGTTAGTGGTTATTGCCCTTCTGTTCTCCATGCAAATTTTAATCCTTCGTTATGATTTATGGATATTTGTTTTTATGTTGAGAGTCATTATAGCAGCCCCCAATAGCTGATTCTTAGGTTAACTGCAATGATCCCTTATTTGCTTTACTGAGAAATAGGCTATGGGGTTAAGGATTAAGGACCAGTAGCTTGGAAAAAAATGCTTTTCTTATTTACCTGCTCCATCTTGGTGTGCTCTAGCTTCGTTTCAGTGGAAAGACATGAAGGCTTTGCACATTAACTATGTGCAGTCCAGGCATCTGAGGATAGAACCAACTGCTGACCAGTTCATGGTGTACGTCACAGACGGGAAGCAACGCTCCTTGGAGAAACCATTTTACGTTATAATCAACCCCACAAATGATGAAGCTCCTGACTTTGTAGTGCAGAATATTACTGTAAGAAAGATATCAAAATTTTCATTTCTTTCTTATTTTTTTTGATTTTTATTTTCACCTAGTCCAGTTCACCTAGTGCATTGGTCCAGGTGCACTTAACACATTAAGCTGATGAGGAGTGGGGAAGGCGGTAACCTATGTCACGTAATGCAATCACTTGAAAATATTAACCTAATAATGATGATGGTAATGATAATAATAATTGCCAACATATAGCAAATGCATGGATGCAATTATAGTTGCATATATAAGTAGGATGAGTACTTACTAGGCTGTAGTTACTATTCCAAGCCCTTTATATATATTCATGTTGAATCCTCACAATAGGCTTTTAGGGTGATAGTATTATTATTGCCACTTAGTAACTGAAAAAGTGAGGCATAAAGAGGTTAACTTAGTGGCGTAAGATCACAGAGCTTAGAAGTAAATGGCACATAGGGAGTGGCTTATAGGGGATTTTCACCCAGGCAGTCTAATTCCCGAGCATGCCCTCCTAACCAATGCTATAATTGCGAGGACTCTTAATTCACAAATTATAAGCATCTTTTTTATATAGCTATTTATAAAGATATAGAAATGAAAAAAGATACAGTTGGGACCATTCTTTTTATGCAGTTTTAAAAATGTTTTTATATAATAACATTTGTAAGTTTTATTTAAAAATTTAGATATATAGTTAAAATGGCCCATAATATCACCCCTCAGATAATACCTGTCTTTAAAAATATATATATATGTGGTTAAACAAGTTAGAATGTTAAGAAACATACACAATGAAATGTGAAATTCTCCCTCTTCAACAGCCCCTATCTGTAGTCACTCCCCATCAATTGAGTTTTTAGTAATTCCACAAAAATAATTCGAGCACATGCCAATGATGTGTATGTGTATGTGTGACTTTTCTGTATGTTTTTACTTACAAATCAGGGATCATATTATACTCACTACTCTCTACTTTATTTTTTTTTGGTGAGGAAGATTGGCCCTGAGCTAACATCTATTGCCAGTCTTCCTCTTCTTGCTGAGGAAGATTGGCTCTGAGCTAACATCCATGCCCATCCTCCTCCCTTTTGCATGAGGGACGCCCCAACAGCATGACTTGATGAGCAGTGTGTAGGTCCATGCCTGGGATTCGAATTCGCGGACCTTGGGCTGCCGAAGCAGAGCACGTGAACTCAACCACTATGCCACCAGGCTGGCCCCTCTACTTTACTTGTTTTAAAAACTTAATTATGCATACTGGAAATCTTTTCATATCAGCATATAATTATTTTTAAACAATTCTATTTTTTATATATGATTATTTGATGGATTATTTATTAAATGGATGAGCACAGATTTTGGAGTAAGAGGGATGTGGGTGTTGCTATTTAAGAGTTGTAGGGTCTTGGGTAAGTTATTTCTCTTTATGCTTCTGTTTCCTCATCTGCAAAATGTGTATAAGATCTTCCTTCAGGGGTACCGTGATGATCAAGATGGGCAGGCACATGGTAGACACTTAATAACTAGGTGCCATTTGTATTATTTTTGTTGTGTGTCATCTTTTTTCTGACATTGACCAAAGCAAACATTATCTATTTTGAAACCATTATCTTGCCTTATTTTTCACTAAAAGTCATCAAACTCTTAATGCAAAAGTCTTCATTTGATTTGAATTTTCTACTGAATCTTAAAGGTATGTGGGAGCCACTTCAAAATGAGATGAAGAGCCGGCTCCTGCCTTTCTTCTTCTGTTGTCACACGAGTTTCTCTGGAGAGCAGTTCAGTAATTGTGAGAGAGAAAAAAATCTACAAATGATTCCTTCTATACCTACTTCTATTGCCTTCTATCTATCTAGAGTTGGGGTTTCTGCAATAATTAGGCCACTGGGAAATTGTCCCTTGTTCTTCTCTGAAAGTAATTATGCTTTTTTCCTGTGTGTTCCTTAGAGAAGCTGTTGAAGAATAGCAAATATGGAGCCCCATGTGTTATTGACAGAGTTGATTTTAAGCTTTGAGTGATTTTTTATTTTATTTTTTGAGGAAGATTGGTCCTGTGCTAACATCTGTTGCCAATCTTCCTCTTTTTCTTTTTTCTCCCCAAAGCCCCAATACATAGTTGTATATCATAGTTGTAGAGTTGTAGCTCTTCTATGTGGGACACCACATCAGCATGGCTTGATGAGCGGTGAGTAGGTCCAAACCCAGGATCCGAACCAGCGTACCCTGGGCCGCCGAAGTGGAATGTGCAAACTTGACCACTACGCCACCGGGCTGGCCCCTCAAGTGATTTTTTAAAAGAGTCATATTTATTTTGCTTTCTTGTGAAAAAAAATGTGTTTATTTTGTAGATAGACTTCCATCAAGTTGTGCTGCAACTTGAAAAAAATTTGAGGTTTTAGTTTAAGTTATTATAATCCATTTGAAACCTGTCTACTTGTGAGTTTCTGCATTTTGTGTATATTGAGCTAAATTTTTTATTTATAATCTCAATAAACAATTAAATGTGCCAAAAAGAATACCACATTTTTTCAATAAAATTTCTCAGTCATTTTGTGAATTAATTTACCATGTTATAAATGAGAAATGTTGCCATACAGTGAGTCCAGGAGTCCCAAGCTCTCTGAAGAAGGATAATTAAAACATATTTTAGGTTGCTCTATTAAAATTCTTGGAGAACAAGGCAAGTTACCGTCAAAGATGATTTCATAATTGTATCATTGTGCATTAAATTATGATGCCATCTTAGTCCTTAATAAGTAGGGTCAGATAAAAGAAAACCAGCATCATTTTAGTCCGAGTATCATATGTGGCAAGTGATTCTTGTTTATGACAGTTCATTGAAGAGTGGTTGCAGGAAGGTTCTCTCAATAAGAGAGACTGAAGAAAAAGGGCGTTTTCATAAATCTAAACCCTAGGTATCCTTCAAGGCTAAAATGCCCACTGAGCCATGAAGACATTCTTGGTCTTCTCCACCCTTTGACACTTCTTCTTCATCCATATTTAGTAATGCTAGACATTTTCTTCCTTGCACTATAATAACTGATGGACAGGCCTTCCCAATTCCATCTAATTTTGATTTTTTAGAAAATTTGTATTCCCCACAGCATGTAGGACAATGACATTGCAGATTCCTAGTAAGTACGTGTGAAATTTATATTCTCTTATTATTTACATCTTACTATATTTCAAAATAAGGAACAGAAATATTTCTTTGTTCTCTTTATCCTCACTATGAGAAAAAGAATATCAAGACAGCTAAGTTCCATGTCAAGTTCTAAATGACTAGATCCTACATGAAATGAAAATCATTCAGTTCTCTTTGTGCTTAAAGGATTATGAAACCTGAAGTGGGGGGTGGTGGTGGGGGAAGATAGTTCAGCAAAATTAGAAGTGTGAGGACTGGGGAGAGATAAGGGACCCAGAATTACAATATACACTATGATACATCCAGAAGCATCCTTCTCAATTGTTGGTTGCAATTGAAATACAGAAGTTTCTGCTGCAATGACAAAAATTAAAAACACTAAATACCTCCAGTGTGTATAGCAGATATTTGTGCCATTTCTAAAACAGAAATATAAGAATTGTGACAGCAATGAGAACCAGGGAGTTAAAATAATAGATTGGGATCCGAAGGTGAAGGGTCTAGACTCAGGTTTACAGCTGAACTTCTCTGTGACTTCCAGAAAGCAAGCATCCTGTTGGTTGCTTATATATGTATAAAATCATATATATATAATCATATGTCCTTTGTCCTTCATGGAAATGAATAAAGTGCCTTGAAATCTTCAGAAAAACTGTGAAGGAGATTAATAGATGTCTTTTCGTCTAAGTTCATGGTAAACCAACAATTTCTTTTTAGGACTCATTACACACAAATCTCATAGAAAATTAGAAACAGGATGTCTTGAAATTATTTCTTTTGAGCAGTTTGCCAAAAGAAAGACAAGTTTTATTCTGCACGCCGCTGACTTTTTGGACGTGTTTTTGTTTAGGTGTGTGAGGGTCAGATGCAAGAGCTGGATTCTTCCGTCGTCAATGCTGTTGACCTGGACATTCCCAAGGACCCCTTGCTGTTCAGCGTTACTCATGAACCGCGGCATGGCCTCCTCATCAGTGGGATGTTTAGCAAAGACTTTCCTCAGTATAAGCAGCCCGCCAACCCTGACCAGAAGTATGAACCTGTTCACAACTTTTCCATGGAACTTGTCCAGAATGGTACATCATGTTCCTCTTCTATTTGTTGTTGCTGATTTAATAATTTAACCCAGAAAAGATAATAGTAAATCACAGAAATAGGAAGTGAAGAAATAGCATTCATCTACTTTATTCTTTTATCCCTCAAGGGTTTTCTCTGGGCTCTGGGTTAATGCAGGGCATGAAGCCCCAGCTAGAGATAGTGGGTAATTGAAAAGGAAATAATATATTTTCATTTACTTTTAGGGTATCAATAAAAATAGTATTTGTGATTTTTGGTATTTTAGCTCAGGCTTTTAATGTCATAATAAAAAATTCCTTTTTAAAACTATTGAAATCCAGAAACTAAATTGGAAGAGATTTGTCTGCCAAAATTGCCACATTTGGGACAAATATAGAACCACATATAATAACTCATTATTCTCTAAGGAGATAAATTGCTCTTTAAGGAAATGACACATTGGAATAGAGGCCTGAATTATTTTTTAATTACTCTTTTAAAAAAATCGATCTTATCCCATTTTCTACATATAAAAAATACTTTTAAAAATTTGAGAAAAGCATGTGGTTCTAGAATCTAGAATCACTGCCTACTATCACTCTCCTTCCTGTCTTTACATACTCTATTTCCCCAGCTTGGAGAGGTCCTTTCTTCTCCTACTCTAAGCTAGCCAATACTGTGCCTTCAGAGCCAGTTTACTGTTGACCTCCCCAATGGACCCCACCAGACCTCCAACTCATTGCTTCTCTGTGCTTGTTTCATCTTAGCACTCAACATTTTTCCTTCTGTCTTTTAATTATTCCTTTCCCCAACTAGAGCGTAAGCTCTCTGCCCCAAAGGTTATTTTGCAATAGTTACACAATGTCGTCTCACATTTGAATTTGAAAAGCTAATTCATATATTTCTGTTTTTATCACTTGCAAAGAAATAAATTCTGGAACTTAAATGATATTACCAAATCAGTAACCAAGTGTAGCAAATAATAGAATATATTACTACAAATGTTTTTTTCAAATATAAGTCAAAGGAAAAAAGAATAGTAATTCAAATTTTACTCTCAAAAAGGTCAGAGTTTTAAAAATAACATTCATTGGTTATTATTTAAACAACTAATATATACATATTGTGTAAAGTTTGGACTATATAGTCATTTTGAAGAAAAAATTATAATTGTTCATGTAAATTAATATTTTAGTTAATATTTTAGCGACATTCTCAGAGAATAGATTTTCACCTCTATTTTATTTTTGGCCCATTTTATTTATTTATTTATTTATTTTTTTGTGAGGAATATCAGCCCTGAGCTAACATCCATGCCAATCCTCCTCTTTTTTTGCTGAGGAAGACTGGCCCTGGGCTAACATCCATGCCCATCTTCCTCCACTTTATATGGGACACCGCCACAGCATGGCTTGACAAGCAGTGCATTCGTGCACGCCTGGGATCTGAACCTGGGTGGGCAGCAGCTGAGCGTGCACACTTAACCACCATGCCATGGGGCCAGCCCCATATTTTTGGTCCATTTATAGCTATATTTTTTTAAACTTTAGCATATTCTCACACACATCCCCCCACACAAACATATAGAACTTATAAAACTGCTACGTTATTATGTAATCTGTTTTTTCTTATCAGTTATTATAAGCCTCTTACTTTTAAAATATTAATTGAAAACATAGTTTGTGATAACTAGTGTTTTGTTGTATGGATATACTGTACTGTAATTTTATACATCTATTTTTAAATATCCAGATAGCTTTTCATTTCTTTATATTACAAGTTATATATCAATAAACGTATTTTACGTATATTTATATAACAAATCTTTGGACACACCTCAGTATTTCTTTTGCATAAATTTTTATAATGAGATTACTTGGTAAAAAAAGGTGAGCATTTATAATACTTGTAGGAAACAATTGCCATAGCCACCACATACAATTTCTCTGCATCCTCACCAAAATTTGTTATTGTCTGTCTTTTTTATTATTGCCGTCCTAGTGGGTGTGAAGTAATATCTCATTGTGATTTGGTTTTCCATTTCCCTAATAATGGTGTTGAGCATCTTTTCAGGGGTTTATTGACTATTTGTATATCTTCTTTGGAAAAATGTCTAACTCAAATCCTTTGCCCGTTTTGTAATTGGGTTATTTGTCTTTTATTATTGAGTTGTAAGAGTTCTTAACATATTCTGGGTACTAGACCCTCCTTTATCAGATATTTGATTTGCAAATATTTTCTCCAGTTCTGTGGGTTGTCATTTTGCTCCCTTGGTAGTATCATTTGCAGCACAAAAGTTTTTAACTTTAGTGAAGCCCAAATTATCTATGTTTTTGTCTTGTTTTGATCACTTTTGCTTCTGATGTCTTATTTAAGAAACAATTGCCTAACCCAAAGTCATGAAGAATTACTCCTATGTTTTCTTCTAATGATTTTTCTAGTTTAGCTCTTACATTTAGGTTTATGATCCATTTTGGGTTAATTTTTATCTACAGTGTGAAGTAGAGATCCAACTTCATTCTTTTGCCTGTGGATATCCAGTTGTTCCAGCACTATTTATTGAAAAGACTACTCTTTCCCTATTGAATAGTCTTGGCACCTTTGGTGAAAATCAATTGATCATAAACGTATGGGTTCGTTTCTAGACTCTCTTCTATTGGATTAATTTACATATCTATTCTATGATGGTACCACATTGCCTTGATTATGGTAGCTTTGTAGTAAGTCTTGAAAATGGGAAATATGAGACGTCCACCTTCGTTATTCTTTTTCAAGCCTGTTTTGGCTGTTCTGGGTCTCTTGCATTTCCACATGAATATTAGGTAGGTTTTTAAAAATTAGTTTTATTTTTAAGTTTTGATTCATCTAGAATTTATTTTGGTTATTGGCTGGAGGTAAGGATCTAACTATAACTTTCCCCAAGTAATGAACTAATTTTCTGTTTCATTTCAACACCCTGACACTATGTTCTCGTACAGTTTATTAAATAATATATCCTTTCCTCACTGATTTTAACTAAGACCCTTATCAAATTACTAAAGTACTTAAATAGGAATTTTTAATGAACTAAGAGGACACTTTTACTTCATAAAACTTTAATTTCATCCTATTGCACTGATTAATGAACTCTTGCTGACACCAATGCCTTGGAAATTAAAAGAGATTATCTGTGACATGTTTTGGAATGGTTCAATCACAAGAAAGATTTACTTTCTCTCTTTTTTTCCCCTCTTCCAGGAATGAGGTTGATGTATGCACACGATGACTCAGAGAGCCTTGCTGATGGCTTTACAATCCAGTTGTCAGATGGGAAACATAAGATACTTAAAACCATTTCAGTAGAGGTCACCCCAGTTAATGATGAGAAACCAATGCTGAGCAAGTAAGCTACCTAAAAAGAGTCTCTTTCAGATTCTCTATAAAATTCTGAGCTCTGGAATACTAGATACAAATGTAGTGTGTGTCCCTTATAGAGAAACAAGCCTTAATGGTGCCTGTCTATCACAACTTATAACCCGCTCATGCACGTACAACCATTAGTGCAAATGTTAGTTTAATGTAATCTCTCCTTAACAATTCTCAAATTAGCCCTTTAATTATTTGATTTACCTCTAGAAGTTCTATTTAGGTGTAAGTAATTAAGAATGACTGAACATACAGTATGGAATGAGCAGTCTATTAGACATTTAAACACATGCACACACATGCACATGCATGCACACACACACCAAAGTGAAATTAATATATAGATTAAACTAAAGTGTGATAATATTAACTGCAGACAGTCCTCAATGTGGGTGTGGTCATACTTTTAACTAAGAGTGACTGAGGGAAATACATCAATGCCACTTCTTTCATCATCTTGGTACTTCATTGTCCACCAGTCCTCTACGATGTTCCATATAGATCAGTGCTCCCTGTCAACTGATTTTAAAATGATCATGTTTAAAATAGTTTGAGCTGATATTATTTTTGGGTTTTTTTGGTGAGGAAGATTGACCCTGGGCTAATATCTGTTGCCAATCTTCCTCTTTTTGCTTGAGGAAGATTGACCCTGAGCTAACATCTGCGCCAATCTTCCTCTATTTTGTATGTGCGATGCCACCACAGCATGGTTTGATGACCAGTGTGTAGGTCTGCACCCGGGATCCGGGCCTGTGAACCCAGGGCCGCCGAAGTGGAGGGCGTGAACTTAACCACTACCCCACCAGGCCGGCCCCCGAGCTGATATTATTAATTGCAGACTTTCTCTGTATCTCCCTCTGTAGCTGATCAGAGTTCGATCATAGGGTACAGAGTCTTCATCAATTATATTTCTATAGCTCCAACCATTTCTCTTATTATTGGCAACTGTACAGAACTGTATAAAGCTAGAACTTAGGAAGCCCAACACTTCTCTAGAGTTGGGTATAGAAAAGTGTCTGCTATTATGGGAAATACTGCTGATAGTGTTTTGGAGGATTGCATCTCAGACATCAGTTTGACTAAGAGTATTCAACAAAAATTTCTATTTCTTTCTTCCCTAACTGCAATGTATGGATGAGTATGACTTTGATTTTTAAAAATGAAAATATGAAAGATATCGCAGTGTTATGAAACCTCCTTTCTGATGACCTCACTTTATCTAAGAGGAAGGGAGACCACGAAAACTGGTGTTTGTTAAATGCTTACTGTGTGACCCACACTGTATCGGATTCTTTGACATATATTATTTCCTTAAATCCTCACTAAAATTGTGGGAAGTAGGTATTATCTTCACTGAGAAAACAGACCAGAGAGGTAAAATAACTTACACAAGACACTCATTCGACTCTATCTGATTTACTATTTCTTGCCGCGTTATTGCCATTAAACTTCCTGGGATATCTTCATCTACAGAATCACTAAATCTCTTCATCTACAGAATCACTAAATCTCCTTCAACTCTGCTTGAAAATCCCTCCTTTTTCTTTGTTTTCTTCTTTCTTTCTCTTCTGTGGAGAGGTAGTTATATTCCCCCTTCTTTCCCTTTCCTATGTGTCCTTGGGTATATCACCTCTTGCGTCCTCCCAGAACACGCTCCATTGTTTTTTCCCTCCTGTATCTTCAGTCTCTCCCTTTTCATTCCTTCTGCTAACAAGACAAACAGGATATAGTTAGTGATTGAGAGAGCAAATTCCTGAACCAGACTTCTTTGGTTCAGCCACTTACTGGTAGTGTGACCTTGAACGTGTTACTTAACCTCTCTCTACCTCCTTGTCAATTTCTTTGTAAAAGTGGATAATAATGATATTCTCTTCATAGGGATGTTGCAGGGATTAAATGAATTAAAATATGTAAAAGACTTGAAAGACTGGCTAGTACATAAGTGCTTTAAGTGTTAGTTATTATCGTCATTGCAAGCAGGCATCCTCATTCTAAAATTATGAAGATGACCCAGTCCCTCATTCATTTCACTGCCAAACTATTTGGAGAAGTAGCTTATACTTGCTTCCTCCATTTCTGCCCACTGTCTCCAACCTCCACCACTGTATTAAAGCTGCTCCCTCAAAAGTTACCCTTGGCTTTCCCACCAAATCTAATGGCTCTTCCCACCTTGCTGGACCCTATTACAGTGTTTGACACCATTTCTTTGATATTCCTTTTGGTTGCTGTAGTAGGTGCTTTTGGTTCCCTAGGTGACATCCCCTCAGCCCACCTCTGATTGTAGTTGTGGTGGAACACGCCATGCACACTGTCAGTGCCCCACTGCAAGGGCCCATAGTGCTCTATTTTTCTGCCTCAGGGCTTTCTCTGAAGCAGCAGTGGCTCATCAGCGCCTGTCCAGGCACAGCAGGAAACACCCTGACAGCAGCCTTCACCTTATGGGAGCTAGTGGCTAAGATAAATGTTCCAGCCTCCCATCCTTCAGAAGCACAATTAGAGGTATATTCTGCGTGGTTCTTCAAAGGATCCTTCAAATCCTTCAAAGTAGGATTGAGCCCCATCACAGTAAAAACACCCGTTGTTGCCTTTTCCTTCTTTCTTCTCTCATTCCTCACTCCATCTCTTCTGTTCCTAAAATCACTTCCCAAATAAATTACCTTCCCCAAAGTTCTTGCCCCAGGGTCCCTTACATACTTTCTTCTCTCGGCTTCTCTGACATTTAATTCTGACCCTTTCTTCCTACCAAACTCCTTATCTTCTTCATCATATTGGCTGCCTGTTTTGATTAATCTGCTTCTGTTAATGGCACCACTAGTCTCCATAAGCCCCCAACCGACTGACTCAATAGCCTTCTAGAACACTGGGATGAATATTCTCCAGTAAAAAGGTGGGCAGAAGTCACCTCCTACTGCCAGGGAAGATCTCAGTCCTGAGTGAGCAAGAAACTCACCAGGTAAAAGAGGTTAGAACTGAAGTGTTTGGGCTTTGGCTTCTCAGCAGAAGAGTGGAAGGCTGTTGAGAGTGATGCCAGTTGATGCTACTCAGATGTCTCATCTGAATCCCAACGAAACTTCCCAGTTTTTCTCAGGAACAAAGCTGTCAATTTGGACAGCGTTAGCCTGTGTGTGATGACCAAAACGAGAGCTAGAAACACAGGTGGAAAGAGATCCCTTCTTTACTTTGTTGAGACCAGGGAAAATGGCTATATTGGCTGTGAAAGCAGCAGGACCATAAAGGACCTACAAAACCACAGCAGCATCTATGGCAGAAGCAGCAGCTACTGGCTGTCCCAGCCCTCTCTTCAAGATGCCGGGCGCTGACCTGGCAGCTGCGGTACTTGGAGAAGAGGAATTGCTTTGAAGAGAACACTAGCTACCCAGAACATCACCAGAGAGAGGGAGAGTAATGCAGAGGGCCACAGATTACCTAAATACCACCAAACTCATGATGCTATGTCGTAAAGGGTACCAGAACACCTGTGGATGAATCATTTAATCTCTTTAAGGAAGTTTCTATCTGCAAAATTAAAATGATAATACCTGGCCCACTTACTTCATGAAGCTGTTGTATCAAATGAAATATTGGAAACAAAATCATTTTATAAAATAAATTATAACATAAAATTGTATACATGTAAACAATTAGAGGTATGTAATTACCTCATACTATATTCATTGTTGCTGACTAATTGTCTTTTAGGACTTTCATATGGAAAGTGAAATGAGAGCCTATTTCATGAGTCTGACTCATCATTTTCAGTACTTTGGATATTGAATATCATTCCCTAATTGCTGAAGATTGGGAACTGTAATAGTCATTATGAGTGTCCCCTGCTAAAGCAATATCTTCTATTTTCATATCAACCCTGACATCTTCCTTTTTATAGGAAGGCTGAAATTGCAATGAATATGGGTGAAACTCGTATTATTTCTAGTGCTGTTCTTTCAGCCATAGACGAAGACTCACCTAGGGAGAAGATTTACTATTTATTTGAAAGACTTCCCCAAAATGGGCAACTTCAGCTTAAGGTTAGTGGCCTTTTTACTTTTATTTTTCAAAATGAATGTAACAGGTGTAAATTTTCTCAATGCACAGATTTCTATAACTGAAATTATAAAATGGCTATTATTTTCCAATAGCCATATTTTATCCAGAAGTAGAAAATTTACTTTTCCTAGTTTGGGGTGAACTCATACTACAGTCTTGCACCGCATAATGACATTTCGGTCAATAAGTGACCACATATACGATGGTGGTCCCATAAGATAAGTACCATACAGCCTAGGTGTGTAGTAGGCTATACCATCTAGTTCTGTGTAAGTACCATAGTGGAGGAAGAAATTTTCCTCTACCCTTCTAGGTTCTTCTGGCTGGTCTAAGAATTAAATTGACATGAGACAGATTAACAGCAAGAAAACAAAAAAAGTTTAATAACATGTATACACAGGAGAAGTCTAGGAAAACTGAGTAACTCGCCAAAATGGCTAAAGCCCTCACCTTAAATACCATCCTCAGCTAAAGACAAAAGATGTCGGAAATGGAGAGAGTCAGGCACTTCAAGGGGAAGGAAGGCAACTCACAGGGAGGTGAAAAGGAGCAAACACTTGGAAAACAAGTGTTTTTTTGGCCACACAGAAACAGAAGACCACAGACAGGAGCCAAACAAACAGGCTTTTCTAGGTTCCTCCCTGTCTACCCTCTAGTTCATGTTATGCTAAGGTGATAGCTCACTTCCTGAGACAGGTTTTTTAATCTGAATTCTTTTAGGCAGTTAAGGGAGAGGGCACAAGAAAAACTTTCTAAGTCTTTTGTGTCTGAAAAATTATCAGTCTAATATAATCCTCATGTTAAAAAGGCACATTTTGCGGCAGCAAATTTTGTTCCCCTTCAGTACACTCTATGATGTTCACAAGATGACGAAATCACCTAACAACACATCTCGCAGAATATATCCCCATCATTAAATGACTCAATTCAGGATAAATTCAATCAATATTAAGGCTGTTCACTGCTCCCTCCCTCCTGGGGTTGTACCTAGACTTGGGGGGAAGGAGTTACTGGGGTAAAGCAAGTTGTCTAGTTTTATATGAGAATCAGGCATCCTTTGAGATATGTATTTTTAAATATCTGTTTTTAAATTTTAAAAAATAGACTTTAGTTTTTAGAGCAGTTGTGGGTATCCACAAACTGCTTCTAAAGTTTGTATGGAGAGGCAAAATACCCAGAGTAGCAGACACAATATTGAAGGAGAACAAAGTGGAAGAACTGACACTACCTGACTTCAAGACTTACTCTAAGGCTACAGTAATCCAGACAGTGTGGGTTTGGTGAAAGAATAGACAAAGAGGTCAATGGAACAGAATAGAAAGCCCAGAAATAGACCCACACAAATATAGTCAACTGATCTTTGACAAAGGAGCAGAGGCAGTACAATGGAGACAAGATAGTCTTTTAACAAATGGTGCTCACCAGTCTGATTCAGACTGTGTGCATAATGCCCAAGGATTAGCCCAACACAAATTATAGATCAGTCACTTGAGAAAGTCACTTGAGTAATCCGTCAAAATGTTTGATTGGTGGATTAAAGCTAGCAACAACCACCACCAGCCATCCCCAATGTGATTACTTGACTGCATGCTTAACTTTTAATGTAATGTAGACACAGTCCCAGAAAAGCAGTGAGGATTCGTTGTGTGTGGAACAGCTTGATTGTCTTAGAATGTAGGCACCATAGAGAATCAGAGTGAAGAGCAATCACTGATTTAAATTGAGGTACAGCTGTGTCCTTATTTCATTTCAAAGAGTAATGAAGCAGAAATGCAGTGAGAGCTCACACATTTGGGTGGCATGGGAACTGAAGTGTTTTGGGTATGTGAAAATCCAGATGGGTCCACGTTCCCAGGATGGCACCACATAGTTTTCTCCAAGCCCCCTAGGGGTTCTCCAAGTCGTCTAAGACCAGGGACCAGGACTCCAGACCTCCTAGACTTTCTCAAGTGTTCTTGTTTTCTCGTTTACTTTTCTTAGTTTTCCCCACCTTGAGTGTGGCTCTCATTTTCTTCCTCTTTTGGGGCTTGCAAATGATTTTGTCAAGTCAGAGCTCACACTTAGGGGTGCAAGAGGGGGCATTAGATAGAAAAGAGAGAGAGCAAAAGATATGTTCTTCTGTATTCACTTTCTGGGAAAAGACTGCAAAGGAAAGAAGTTAAATAGAATTGCAGACTATCCAGTTTAAAACCTGAAAGAGAATCTGTTTTAAAAATTAAATTTGCAAATAGATCTTATGACAGAAACAATGAGCTTAATTATTACAATATAATTAACTTTTACCCAGTGAGCACTGGGGCAGAACATACCTCTGTACACACATCAGATGGGCCACAATATTAAAGAGGAGGAAACTTTATCAAATAGAATGACATAAAGGGAGATGGTGACACAATGAGAGGAGAGGAGGGCAAAACATTTTTGCCAGGAAGTGGGAGTCTGTGGAATAATGTATCAAGGGAAATAAAAAACAAATGATTTAAATTTCTGTTTTAGTCTCTTAAACCCGACAGGAAAAACACAAGATAATATCATACAGTAAATTTTTAAGATGCCATTTTTCTTGAGTTATGTCAAATGACTTTTACAAGCTATTCTTAGGGAAAGCTATGTATCTGGAGAGAATAACAGAATTATGAATCAGATACAGATCTATTATTATTATATTTTATAATACTCTCAGTTGTCAGCTCTCTCAGCATAAGAACCTCTTTTAACTGAAAATGACACAATTTCGGCATTGAGTTCTGTACAGAACATTATCCTTAACTAATGTTGGCTTGTGTTTAGAAGATTCTGGTAATAAATAATCTATGATATTTGCAGTTATGTTTTTTGCTGACTCAGGATATAAGTGTAGCGAGTGAGAGGGATCTTGATAATTTGCTTGGGGCTTTAGTAAGGCTGGAAAATGTATGGGGAGTAAACACATTCATTCTATTTTTATCTACTTCCGACAAGCCTAGTGACAAATCAGTTTGAAAAAATAGGTTTGATTAGTTGTGCAATGCTATGAACGAAAAAAAAAAGGAAACCCCAAATGAAACGCATTTAATTTTTAAAGAATCTATTCCAGCAGCTCGATTACCCACCTGCTCTCATTAATTGGAATATTTAATCAGCCATGATTGCTTATGATAAATACCTTGGAAGTAGCACTGCTATTGAATTGCTACATAACTTTGTCAAAAATCCTTTGATTGAAGCTAGTTTTTTCCCAGGGTCTTAAATTGTTTTAATATATTTCTTTGAAAGGAAAAAATAAGGTAAAATGGCAAAAAAAATTGAATCTGGAGTTTCCCTGAAATATCATTTATATTGGAAGTTTTCAGGTGATATGGAAAATGTCTACTAACACAGCTTGGGGGAAAAAAACAAAACACGGGCAGCTGACTAATTCTGGCACCTTTCAGATAGGGAGGGACTGGGTCCCCCTCTACCCTGGCATGAAATGCACTCAGGAGGAAGTGGATCTGAACTTGCTGAGATACACACACACCGGGGCAATGGATTCCCAGAACCAGGACAGCTTCACCTTCTACCTCTGGGATGGCGACAACAGGTCACCTGCATTTGACTGTCACATCATCATCAAGGATATGGGAAAAGGTAAAAGTATTCCTACAAAGATTTATTGGGATCAACTTTTATAACCAAAAGTGAGCTGGTGGAAGCATTCAAAGGTTTTCCCTCCCTCCCTCCCTCCCTCCCTCCCTCCTTTCCTCCTTCCCTCCTTCCCTCCTTCCTTCCTTCCTTCCTTCCTTCCTTCCTTCCTTCCTTCTTTCCTCCCTTTCTCCTTCCCTTCTTTCCTTCCATCATTTATGATTCAGTCCTTTGGCTCCTCACCTGCTTTGTCTGGGATCTGTGACGTTCACGAGAGTAGCTAATCCATTTGTTATTTTCAGTATTTCATAAAGCATATTGGAAATTCAGCCTTTCCCACCATATGGCTGCACAGGTTCCTTTAACTGTCAGGTTTTTTGCTTTATGTAAAATTTTACCAAATCTATGTGATAACTCTAGTTTTATCTTCAGGAAGTGAATTATTGCTTGAAAATGGAGTTTCAAAGGAAAAATATTTCCAATACAATAACAATCAAGGAAATAAAAACAAATGCATTTTAAAATACAAAAATAATAAAAAGGAACTTGGTTATGGAAAAGGTTGGAATTTGTTGCTCTTTTCACTTTGGAAGTGCTAATACGTACTCTTTAGGGACAAGGGAGAACACCATAAGATAATAAGCTTCTCTTGAATTAATTAAGCAGACTATTTGCATAATAGGACTCAGCAGAGTATAAATGGTGGAAGGAGGAGAGTGAAAAAAATACTAGAAAGAAACCTCAGCAAGGGAAAGTGTAAGCCCTTGATGCCCAGCTGTCACTATCCCATACTTTTGCTTAGAGCTTATGTGAGGAGAGTAAAGATCGAATCTCATTCATCTACAAAGTCCACAATCTATATATTCTCAGGACCAAGCATAATCTTAGATCCTCAGTACATGCTTGGTTAACCAACTGCCTCCTTTTCTGGCCTTGGCTGGCAGGAAGCTCAAAGCCAAATTGGCTGCTTAAGTGCAGTAAAAACGTGACTTCATGTATGTGGCAAAATTACAATTGTCCTGAATTTTTTAAAACAAATTTTAAGTTGGCTTGATTGATTTTGAGATGTTTATTTGGGGTTGTATAATAATATATTTTATTTGCTTGTTTCTTGGTTATAAAAATATTATCATATATATAAAATTTATATATATATAAATAAAAATAATATATTTATTTGCTTGTTTCTTGGTTATAAAAATATTATCATATATATAAAATTTATATATATATAAATAAAAATAATATATTTATTTGCTTGTTTCTTGGTGTTTCTTGAAGATGTCTCATAAGTGATTCTCAGATAAGTTAGATGTTACCGTACACCTTTATTTCTCTCTGCAAAAGTAGGGCTCTGCTCATCATAAGTATATGCCTAGGCAAAATGTAATACAAGTAAATATATCAAGGCAGACAGCTAACAGATTAGGGCAGACTATCTTCTCATAGCCTGAGCACAGTGCACTCCCTGGTGGGTAGAGGAGAGTTCTGTTCCACACAACCATCTGGGGAATCTTTCTAGCTAGAGAATCCTTTATCTCTGCAGGACTTGGAGTCACTCCAGAAGTGACATGTGGAGGATTTCATGGGCTAGGCTTGGAGGTAAGGTACCTGTCTTCTACACATCCTGGTGGCTGAATCACAGTCACATGCCACATTAAAAGGGCTGAGCAATAGACACTCTGTGGTGCGCTGAGGAAGAAAAGGAAATGAGGCTGGTCTCTGCTACAATTGACGTACAATTATTTTCTAAAAGGATTTGTGACAACTTACATCAAGTAGCTAGGTTAACCTATTAACGTTTTCAGAAGTTCCAAGTTTCTTCTCTTTGTTTCTTTTTACATTGTTGTGTTTTATATCTGTACAGTGTTGTATCCTATTTTTTCTTTTTTACTTAGAATGGTTTTCTCAGGTTGCAGTATAACTTTATAAGCATAATTTTTCATCTCTAAATAAAGCTACGCTGAATTGCTAGACTAAATCATATCCCTAATATTAAGCACTTGGACTATTTTCATTTGGGAGTTGTTATAAAGAACATTAGGCCTTCCAATTGTGCTGTGTCTTCTGATTTGCACAGTGGCTAAAATAATACAGAGATCTTTGAGAGAAGTTTAGAAGGACATCGTCTATAGTTGACCCCCATCCATGCTTTGCCGTTACAGTGCTGAAAAACGGTAGTGAGGCAAAACCCAGATACTCTCCCTCCCCTTGGACCCATCTTCTGCTCCTGGTGAAACCTCTTGTGGGTGATTTCTGTTTCCCCAGCCTTGTTCATTCTCCTTACTTCTTTGATGTATTCATCTTGACTTCCTCTGAAGCATCTGGGGCTCAGGTTTTGATTTCAAGTTAGGATGGTCATTGATTCTACATTAGACTTAAGTTGCAGAGCATTTTGAGTTAAAAGCATAGTATACCAAAAAGACCAATTTTATCACCTAAAACAGGGTTTCTCAATCTTGACACTATTGACTTTTGGGGGTGGATAATTCCTTGTTGTAGTGGACTTTCTTGTGTATTGTAGGACATTTAGCAGCACCTCGGGCCTCTACCACTAGAAGCCAGTAGCAGCCCCTAGTTATGACAACCAAAAATATCTCCAGACACCACCAAATGTCTCCTGGGGTGGGTGGGCAAAATCACCCCTCATTGAAAACCGCTAGTCTAGAATTATACTTCATTGATATTTTATTTTCATTTTTTTGTTTCTTCATGGGACTGAATATCTTTCCAAAATTTTATTGACCATCTGTATTTTTTAATTAAGAAATGGCTTGGCATTTACTTCACACATATCTCCTTTTGGGTATTTACCCTTTTCATGTTGATTTATAAGAGCTCCCTATATATTAAAGAGAGGAAGCAAAATAATACGATGTTTGAGTTTGTGCTCTTGAGTCAGATGGCTTGAGTACAAATTCCACCACCACCTTTTATTAACTGTGTGATCATAAACAAATTAGTTAGCATGTCTACCCATTATTTTCCTCATTTATGACCTGGACAATATGATAATACCCTACCTCACAGGTGTGAAGGTGTGAGAGTCCTCAGCCCTGTGCCTGGCATAAAGTAGAAGCTTTATGTTTTAGTTATGATCATTTTTTAATGAACCTCAGGCGATCCAAACTGGATTATAACCCTTAGTTTGTGAAACACTGCATCATTGGTCCTCATGTGATCCATTTCCACTTCGCTCATCCATACATTCTTTTTAAAACACATAATAAACACCTGTGCAACCACCATACAACTTGAGGACCGGAATATTAACAATAACGAACATCTACCTCTGTGCCCTTCCCAACCTCCAGAGAGAGCCACCATCCTGAATTTTGTGTTCATTTTCTTACTTTCGTTTATGGTTTTCTGGGGCTTCTTAACAAATGTTAATAAGCTATATCTGTGTTGTTGCATGTAGCTGTTGTTCATTTTGCTACTGTATAAAATTTGGTTTATGAATAGACCACAGTTTGTTTATATATTCACGTTTTGGGAAGGCATTTGGGTTGTTGCCAGTGTTTTCAATTACAAACAGTGCTGCGATGGCCATTCTGGCACATGTCTCCTGGGTGCCAGGGCACATGTTTCTCTCCAGTACACAGCTGGAGTGGAATCACTGGGTCAAGGCATATGTGAATACTCAACTCTTTACAAAATCATGCCAAATTGTGCACCGATTTATTCTCCTACCAGAATCACATGCAAGATTATCCTGATCTACATTCTCTTCAACACTTGGTATCATCATACTTTTACATTTTTGCCAATCAAAGGGCTATGAGATGGCAATTTATTGTGATCTTGATTTGTCTTTCCATGATTATTAATGAGTTGAACATCTTTTTGCATCTTTATTGGCCATATGTGTTTCCCCTTCTGTGTAATATCTGCTCATGTCTTTTGTCTAATTCTTGTATTTATCATAGTTATATAAACCTTTCTAAGCCATATTAGTTTTGATTTCTGCTTGGTTTGGCCTTTGCTTTTTACCTTTACCTTAGACGTTTCATTTTTTTTAAATGTGATTCTTGACCACAACCTCTTCTGCCACGCAGGTGATATTGTCGTCCTTGCGAAACCACTGGTGGTGTCTCAAGGTGACAGAGGTGTCTTGACGACCACCACTCTCCTTGCTGTGGACGGAACAGACAAGCCTGAGGAACTGCTCTACGTCATCACCTCCCCACCACGACATGGCCAGGTCGAATACATCCACTATCCTGGAGTCCCCATCACAAGCTTCAGCCAAATGGACATAGCAGGACAGACAGTCTGCTACGTCCATAAGAGCAAGACAGCTGTCTCCAGCGACACATTCAGGTGAGGCCAAGGAAACTTTTCAGAATCCCTTCCCTGGGTTAATGCTCAGAAAGACAAAAGGAGGGGAAACGTGGGTCCTTTTCCAGCTCTGGTATAGCTATGATCTTCTTCTACTGCCTAGCTGTATGAAAGGTGAAGGCACACAATTAAAATGACAGCAGCAAGGCAAGAAATTAGGGCTTGTTGTTTTAAAATAAACACATAAGCAGATCTAAATGCAAGCTGTTCCATGAGGAGGTGTGTGAAGACCTAAGCATCCTAGCTAAAGAGAGACACAGAAAAGTAATTTACCTCTTTTTTTGAGTAGGTTTTTCTATCTGAGGAAAAGGTATTTACTAGTAAACATTTGGCATAAGCAGACACTGCCTTTTGATACAATGTGTTCCAGTAACTATATCATAAATCATGTTGTCATAAAGTGGATCATGTTTCCCCATAGAAACAATGTTATAATTGGGGCTGTGCACCTGTTCAAAGATTCTGTATCAAATAAATCATTGGAATGAATAACAATCTGGTGAAAAGGCAAAGATACAACATTAATGAAAGTCTACATTCATTTAAAATATTGAAATCTGTATCCAGTCACATAAAGCAGGGGAAACTCTAGAGACTCTATCATCTAGCAGTTCTCAAAGCTGGCTGAACTCAAGGTCCTTGAGAGGAATACAGATTCCTGGAGCTGGGATGAGAACCAGGAAATACTGACTAGCCTTTGGGGGAACCATGGTACACACTCGACTCTGAGTTTTACTAATTAAGAAGGAGGCCTTGAGAGCACTGGTCATCTGCCATACACTCAGGGCTTCTGGATAGTCTTCACCATGTCAGAATACAACCTTCAAAAAAGCACTATAAAATAACATAAATGTAGCATGCTCCTGTATTATTCAGTGAGTGCCCATAAACTATCAAGTGTATCGATACACTCATGTTCAAACGCCACTCTCTATCATACATTTTATTTCAATATGTCTGCTATAGTATGTCTAAATTCAATATGTCTGCTATGATAAGCACTGTTTAAAAGTCAGTAAAGATGATTTCGCTTGCCTTTTTAGCATTTAGAATGATGATTTGGGAAGATGGTTTGAATTGAACTTTTAAACAAACAAAAAAATCAGGGGTCGTTTGAACTAATATCTCCTTTTTTCGGTTGACAAGTGTCCTTAACAAGCAGATAATCATTTGATTATCATTTGGTTGATCAATATCTTAATGACCAATTCAGTGCTTGAGTGTTGCTAGGCGTTAACCAAAACATGAGATGTGGGGATTCCTTGTCATGGTGGTTCTTTGGCTAGAGAAGTGGGAAAGTGTAGTTGGTGAGGCACAGGCTTGGGGTCACTTACAGCCTCCATTACTCGCTACTCTGTGGCCTTTGTCATGTCACACATCCTCCTGTGCTTCTGTGTCCTCTTCTGGGAAAAGGAAGGATGCTCACAGTACCTGCCTCACAGGTTGTTGGGAGGTTTAAATGAGCTTATGCACGTAAAGTACTTAAAACAATATGTAGCACATAAGAAGAATGAAATAAGTATTAGCTGCCATTATTATTACTACTATAACGTTATTATTGCTGTTATCATTATTTATTATATTCTTTCTTTGGCCCCACTTTTCCCTCTGGTCTTTACACCACCAAGCATAATCTTGAAGGAGGAAAAAAATCACAAAGAAGAACAAAGATTGTTCTTTTTTTCCCATTCACTAACAGAGGCTGGGTGCTTCTTGGCTTAATCCATGTATATGAGATTCTAGGCTTTTAATTTTATACCCATTTCTAGGCCTTCTTCCTGCTGTCTATCCCCACTTCCCCCAGTCAATGCCTGCAGGAGAGTCTGCTGAAGACATTAATGACTGTATTGGAGAAACGAGCGACTCTGCTGGCCAATGACTGAACAATGAAGCCAATGAGTGAGCATTTTGTAAAGATGTTCAGAAATGAAGCTCAGGTATCAATCAGATGGTAGAGATGAGCTGAGAATAAAAAACAACATCTCTGTACATGAGGACTGGTCATACTATAAAAGTTTCCTAATTCGTATCCATAAAGAGTCATACTAGATGGCATTTTAGAAATTACTTATCCTAGAAATTTTCAAATCTCTAGATTCTCAGGAGAGTTACTTGGGAGATTTATAAAAATACGAATTCTTGGGCCTCGCCCCAGAGAGGCGACTTTGCTAAGTCCAGTCTTGGGCCCAGGTTCTCTATTTTTAAAACCTTTCCAGGTGATTCTGATGCAGTCAGGACTAGCAATCATTGGCCTGGTCCAGTCCATTGTTCCAAGTATGTTGTAAGGAGCTTTGAGGATTTACAGGAACCCTATTGGGGCCTTTTAGAGACAGAAAATGGGGTCCTCGCCCCAATTTACTCATAGAGCTTTGTTTCATTTTGGTTTTTGAGGGTTTGTTTTTTGGTTTGTTTTATGCACTGGGCTTCTGGGCAAGGTTTTCTTTTAGCACAGAGCCTGTGGCTCTATTTTCTGAAGTGAGTGATTTGTACCAACGGTGATACAAAGATGCAACATGATGTCAGCTGATGGAGGAAGAGAGCCATAAATGACAGGGAGTCAGGACTGAGAAACTGCTCCCTTTTGGTTCTCTCAATCCTTCTGATTGTTTCAAGAAGGAAGTCTCAGACTGGCGCTAATATGTCCTTAACAGCTCTTCAGTATTAACTGTTTTTCCTTTCTAACAAGGAGTACAGACCTCAGGTTCCAGGCCATTGGGTGACAATATCTAGCTAGAATGAAAAACATCTTTTTCTAGTATTTATTTTTGTAGTATTTATGGTGATGAAGTTTTTGGTAGTTAAAAATTTCAGCTTTTAGTAGTTAAAAGGCTTCCTTTTAAATACATTTATTTAAGTAAGAGAGCAGGTTGCTATAAAGCAAAATAGTAAGTAATAAGAGTTCAGTTAGTACAGACTATGGCAGAACTTAGGAAGGCAGTGTTCAAATGACTCAAGACTAGGAAACAGGTCGACAGGGAGAAAATAAACAAACAACAGAGGTTGAAAAGTATTGATTTAGTCCTGTCCCTTCATTTACATGTAGAAAAACTAGTATTGCTTGAACACCTGCAATGCATCAGAGAGTGTGCTAGACCTTTTTCTTGTATACCATTTCCCTTAAGCCTTACACCACCACCTTGAGAGAGATGGTTTGTTCCCATTTTATGCATGAGAAAACCAAGATTCCAAGAGGTGAAGAAAGTCGCCTAAACTGACATAACTGAATCAGAGCTGAATTTGGGCTGAGATCTCATTCAGGAGAGTTCTTTCCATTATACCTCATTGTACCAAAAATTTGTGGAGAATAGGCACTTGTGTGAAGGAACCTCCTCAGTGTGTCATTCTGATGTTTGGCCAGCAGTGTTACATATTTATAATGGAAGAGCCCAGCATCTGCCCAAAACCTCGTTTAATCTTGTCATTTCGCTAGCCCAATCATGGACTGCTGTGTTGTTTGTCAAGTGGCGCTATACCAAAGCTGAAAGCCTGTTTTAATGAAAGTGTGATCACGGTGCTTTTTAAAAAGTAAATATATGCAACCAATCTAATCACCTAAATTTATGTTGCTTGCTGTTAAATCTGGCAAGGAATTTGGCTGGGTAGAGGAGATAAATTCCGTGGCAGAGGATTTTTCCCCCTTCTCTTTTTAATGTAAGATATGGCAGCATTAATTAAACGGGGGAGTTTAATGGTCAGATTTTACCTTCTGCAAAAATATTTTGTGAATCATAAATTTCTCCTGCATTGTTTGGTGCTGCTGGCCTGGAAGAAAGATTTGGCAGCACATTCTAGGACAGATGACACCAAGTGATTAGCAAGCTGACTTCAGCTGCTGGCAGCCGGGTACTAAAAGAACATGCTAATGCCCTCCATTTTGACATGCCGGCTGGACTTTTTTTTTTTTTTTCCTGAGGAACTGGCTCTATTTATGATTCCATTTTTATCTTTTAAATGCCATGACAGATGGCAGATTCTTCAGCCAATTCTATTGCCAGGAAATGCAGAAAGCTTGAAAGCACCATGGTAATGGTGAAATCAGACCAGGCAAGCACCCCAGACAAATCTGAGAGTCATCCCCCACATTTCCTGAGAACAGTGGTCCTCTTGGCTCTGTCTCTTCTCAGGGGGGCGTAATAAAGGAAATTAAACAAAATGGACCCACAGAAGGGGCTGCTGCCACCAGCTTCTTAACCTTGGAATGGATGCCATCAGAGCAATGGCACTGTTACTTTAAAACCTGAGAATGTATTTGGAGGGCTTCTTTGTGGGGGAGGGGGAGCATTTGGAAGATCATCTGGTCAACCTTTGCAGATATGAACTGCACTGACCTTGGTGCACTTGTTCTGCTAGGCTTATTTTGACAGGGAAGCCAACCATGACCATGCACCCTCTCTCTCTCTCTGACAATGTTTCTCCGCCTGTGAGTAGTCTGCATTGTTGCTTGTGAAAGTGGAATGATGTGTTTGATCCAGTCATGTATAGAAATTGCATCCTTTTCACCACTGGCCTATTAGCTTTTGGTCAGTGCAGACAGCTGCTTCGGCGTCCCAGCTGGGAACACTGGCCTCAGTAAACATATTTCTTGCTCTTATATGGTCCCTGGCCTGCTCGCCCTCATTCCCATCTGTCTGATGGCAGGCTGCCCATTTCCAACGTGGTCAGATCGCCATCATCAGGCAGGGAGGGGTTCAAGATGGACAGCCTGGATCATAAGGCAACTTCAGTGCCCTCACAGAGGTCACGCATGCGTATCAATGCGGCCGTCCTGAGACTGAGCTTGGAGGACCCCATGAGGCATTTTCGGAATTCAGTCTCCAGAGAGGAAGTGGGAATCAGATGCGCAAGATGGTCGCCACTGATTGAGCCCCTGTCAGTCACCGGAGCTCCCACTTCACCTCCTTGCTCCTGATACCCGTCTCTCCCTTCTTTCCGCTTCCTTCTCCGCTGATATTTGACATGCCTTCAATGAGGCATGATGTCTTTAATTCCACAATTAATGCTAATACTAAAAATACATGTTCTTTGGCTTAAACTTGTGCTAAACTATAAATGGCTGGTTTAAAACTCTCCACAAGAGCACATTTTGATTTAGCGATCTGGGAGGGAATAGACAGAAACTCTATTTGTGAAAGAGGGTAAAATGGGACACGTGAAACGTGTTTCTGGAGGGATTAAGTAAAAAATGGAGAAATCGGAGGCACTGAGGGAACGCCTAGACTTCCCCTTGTTTTATCGTGGGTCAGATGATAGGCACCACAGAGGAAACAAGAAAAAGAACAGGAAAACAATGGAATAAAGGCACAATTCCATGAAAAGCTTTCCCTGAGAAATAGAGCATGATTTTTATACCTAAAAATGCATATCACTTGACCTTTGAAATTGTCAAGGTGACTAACAAAAGTTGAAGAACACATACATATGTTTCTGTGTGTGCTTCTTTTTTCTTTTAAAAAATAAATAATTTTGCAAATACTTCATGATCTAACAGTGAAATTGCCCTATTGCTTAGAATATATTTATCAAAATTTCAGCTATACAAAAGGAAAACTGATTGTTTTGTTTTAAGGAAACTGTATAATTTTTATCAATCTACAATTCTAAAGTTAATTCAACATCCTTATTCAAACTGTAAAAATAATGCTGTAGGAAAAAACCAGATTATATTCTTTACAAATTGAGGTGCATGAAATGTCAAAAATTTGCTTTGTTTGTAGTATTTCACTTAGCACTTTTAACTTTTTGGACATAGAGTCCTTTTACTATGCATCACATCATATTTTCCTAGTACACAGTCTTGTCAACTAGGTAATTAGAAAGCTCAAAAATTGTAGCCTAGCCTTCAAAGCAAAATCTGTACTTAGCCAAATTCATCTCCCTTTACTTTGGTCCAGCTGCTCTTCTCCCAGAGTCCTTTGCCTCAGGCAGGCTGGTCTTCTCATTGTGCTCACACACCCCAGTTTCAGATTTCATGTTCAAAAGCAAAGCATCAATCTTCAAACCCTGAAGGACAAGATGTATTTTGCAAATAAAGAACTTGTCAGTCAAATTTGTCAGGTTAGTAAAATAAATATAAACCCCATATCTTCTTTAGTTCAAAAAAAGAACCTCCAAAGAAAATTGTCGTATAATTTAATGTTATATTCCATTAAAACATTTCTAGAGATTTTTACATCCATGGAATATAAGAGTGTATCCATCTTCCATGAATATTTCAAGCAACTACGGTACATGGAGAAAAACTAATAGACACAATGCCATGATTATTTTGAAGTTCCTTTCTTTGGTCTACAGGGAATTTGTCAATTCCATTTGATAGTAGTGATTTATTAACTTTTTGGAGTTTTCATAGTGCATTTTGTTTGCTTAATTTCACGATACACTCAACTCTCTTTGGAATAAAAATTACACATTGAAATGTTCTAAAAGTCATTTAAATTAGTTTTACTTTGAGATTGGTGGTGGTGGGTGGAATGTGATTTAGTGATCAGTATAATCAGAAGCACATTATGATGTCACAAACCCAAGATTGAGAGAGAGATTTTGCTTACCTTGAATTTGTATCATTTCAGCTTTCTCTTTATGGTTCTGCAGTGGTGTGCAGGGACCACCCCTCTTTCCTAGTGGATTGCTAAGCCAGCATTTACTTAAAAAAAACTGCAAGAGCAGAAGGTGTGGGGTCAAAAGATCTGGCTTCTAGTCCAGCTCTGTCTCCTAGCTGCTCTACGATCTCCCACCACGTTTCCAAACCTTTTTGCTATAATTTTCTTTAAGGCAGGGAAGTAATCCTTGTCTAGTGTAACTCCTACATATCTTGTAAGGGGCAATGTAGAAGCACAAGGAAAATGTAAGTGATTAGAGCATCACATGATATTTTAGAGTTAGATGATACTTAGTGATCATCTGGCCCACCTTTCACTTTACAGAAGAGTGATAATGAGCCCCAGAAAGGGGAGATGAGTTAGGCACCATTACAAGGCTCAGTATTGTGACCTGCCTTTAGGAAATTTATCATGAAAATACATGAATAAAGTAAATTAGCCAAATTCAGCCCTTGGGTTGGCCCCCAATTATCAGTCTTCAAGGTTTAGCTTATCAAGTGCCCACCAAAAAAATACAATTGCAAAATTATAAATATATAAATTGAGTATACTCTTCAAACTCACATCGTGGATCTAATTTGATGTGAAATTCCGAGTTAGGGCGAGAAATTACACTAAGCACTGACAAACCTGAGAATATCCTGGCAGAATTCGCCTGCTCCGTCACATGAGTCTACCATCAATGTGGTTGAGAAAGTACTTTTGGGGGTAGAATGGTCAATTTGTGTGTTACCTGGTGACTGGTTTAACACACAGAATTGTGTTCTCCTGAAAGATCTGCCCTTGAGTTTTCGTTTGAGTCTCAACACGACATGTCCTTTAGTAAAGGTGTGTCTTGTTATCATTTCATTCCAGTAGATGGTGACACAAGAACCCATGCTGAAGGCTGCCTTGCCTCTCTTTGCCAGATTCACAGTCAGCAATGGACTGCAGACCAAGCCCGGGGTGTTTGAGATCACACTGGAGGCTGTGGACAGAGCCTTACCCGTGGTGACCAGGAACAAGGGGCTGAGACTGGCCGAAGGGGCCACAGGCCTGCTTTCCCCTGACCTCCTTCAGCTGACCGACCCTGACACTCCGGTGCAGAACCTCACCTTCCTTTTGGCCCAGCTCCCACAACATGGCCAGCTCTACCTGCGGGGGACAGTGCTGCTTCGACACAGTTTCACTCAGCAGGATGTGGACAGCAGGAATGTCGCCTATCAGCACTTGGGAGGGGACTCTCAGACTGACTGCTTTACGTTTGTGGCCACAGATGGGACAAACCAAGGCTTCGTTGTGGATGGGAGAGTGTGGCAAGAACCTGTCTCATTCACTATCCAGGCAAGTATGCCAAACACACAGTTCATTGCCAGAGGCGTGCAGAAGACGACAAGAACCATTTCCTTATTTCTTTCCTTCTTTCACTCAGATATGTACTGTGCTCTGTCTATAGCATGTCAGGCGCGAAGCAAGGCACCCAGCGTGTTAATATGAACAAAATGGATGTGGTCCCTGCATACGGGCTAATGACTGACTGTAAAAGTCAGTGGTAGTACAGAAGGGAACAAGACCGTGGGCCCTGCAGTCAGACACACCCGGCAACTTCTGCTTTGCCATATATTAGCTGTGTGACGTTAAGATAATTCTTTAATCTGATTCTACTTTTCCTTCTTTGAAAATCATGCCTTACAGCACTGTGGTGAGAATTAAATAAGATTAGGTATTCAAGACACTAGCATAATATACCTGAAGTATATTAGCTAGTCAATATCTGATAACTATAATAACATATCTAACTATACTCTATTATAATATCTAACTATACTGGTATTATGATGATGCTTATTGGTCCATGTCATCTATTGGCATTTTGATGATTTTCAATTAAACATGTGAAAACTTACAAGGCAGCAGCAATATTATACATGTAATAATGATGAGGAAAATAATTGTAGCAGCTACAATTTTTGGAGTGTTAACTGTAGTTCAGACCCACTTTACATAAATCTCATTTAAGTCTCATGAAAATCCTATGACGTAAGTTTTACTATCTCCATTTTATAGATGTTCAGAAGGTCAGAAGTTAAATAATTTGTTCAAATGCACATAAAGACCTCAAGTCTTTCTGATCCCAAATTCTACGTCCTTTCTATGGCACCACACTGCCACATTTGTGTTGACTATTATGATGATTCTTGGAGGGCAAAATGTGTTTTTCTTTTTTTAGTCAAAACACATCAAGTACGCTCTGGCTCTCAAAGTCTGGAATCCACTCTCCTTGGATATAATTCACCCTGTTCTACACACTTCCACCAACAGCAGAAAAGATATAAATCTGTCTCTTATTTCAAGATATGTTCTGATTATGTAAAATAATCATAATTTTCCCCTGCTCTTTAGTCTCTGTATTAGTCACAGTTCTCCAGAGAAGTAGAACCAATAGGATTTATTTAAATATATGTATACAGTCATGCACCACTTAACAATGGGTATATGTTCTGAGAAATGTGTCGTTAGATGATTTTGTCATTGTATGAACATCGTAGAGTGTACTTACACAAACCTAGATGGTATAGCCTACTACACGCCTAGGCTATATATACTAAATTCACGGGACTACCATTGTATAGGTGGTCCATTGTTGACTGAAATGTGGTTATGCGGCACATGACTATATATATATATAGAGAGAGAGAGGTTTATTTTACAGGAATTGGCTCATGCAATGGTGGGGTCTGACAAGTCCAAAATCCGCATAGGAGGCCAGCAGCCTATAAATTCCAGCAGGAGTTGACGTTACAGTCTTGAGTCCAATGACAGTCTGGAGGCAGAATTCCTTCCTCTTAAGGGACCTCAGTCTTTTCTCTTAAGGCCTTCAACTAATTAGATGAAGCCCATCCACATTATGGAGGATAACCAACTTTACTCAAAGTCTACTGATTTAAATGTTAATCACGTCTAAAAAATGCCTTCACAGCAACATCTAGCCGGACGTTTGACCAAACAACTGGGCATCGCAACCCAGCTAAAGGTGACGTATAAAATTAACCATCACAGTCTCTGTCTAAGGCGGGATCTGAGTAGAAATGTGGGGAGTCATGATAACATCAAGTGGGTACCAGATGAATCTTTGACACTAGGGAGGTCCAGAAAATGTAATGCAACTAAGATGCACTAAGAGAAGAGAGAAGGTATTGATATCATTGGTACAGTAGGTAAGAAGTAACTGGTACATAGTAAAAATTATTGTGTTATTTTTTTATTATATGTTGCAATTTTTATTAGTCCCCTCCCACTCTTCAGTCTATTAATATCTTTTCCTGACTCCTGACTCCCCCTTCTAGGTAGAGAAATGTCACTGTGCTGTCCAACCAGGGACAATTTTATGGGTCTCTTTGGTTGCAGATTTGTAGGAGATATCAACTCTAAGTACGGGCATAAGAGTTCCTTCCTATACTCCAGAGTAGAGAAGGAAAAGGGGGTAGAGGTTAGAGAAAGTATCAGAACTTCAATCAGGTCTCTCTCAACACAAATCCTCAACTTAGAGAGCATGGTTATTGTAAGAGAGTTATCTTTTGGAAGTTGTAGAATTTACTGATAGGAAAATGTGGAATACCTGTTGTCAAAGTTCACAAGGTTTTCTTTGCCAAAAAAAAAGAAAATCATTGTGTGTAAAAACGTTACAAAGCCAGCGCTGATGGCCTAGTGGTTAAAGTTTGGTATGCTCCACTTTGGCGGCCCAGATTCAGTTCCCAGTTGTGGAACCACACCCCCCTACCGTCAGTAGCCATGCTGTGGTGGTGGCTCACATAGAAGAACCAGACGAACTTACAACTGTACACAACTATGCACTGGGGCTTTGGGGAGAAAAAAAGAAGAAAAAGAGGGGAAGATTGGCAATGGATGTTAGCTTAAGGAGAATCTTTCCCTGCAAAAAAAATAACCTTGCAAAGAAAGCCTCAAACTTTCTCCTGTAATTCCCCCAAACTCCCTGGTCTCTCTGAGCAGAGAGGCCAGCAGTTCAGGAAAGATGGCCCCTTTAGTCTCTTGCCTTCAGGAGCTTTTTCTGGCAAGACAATACGATGACCACCACTGAGTGATGAACTGGTCCAATATAAGTCTCCCAAGCATGAGTGTACTGCTCCTATGGCCTCAACCTGGGTAACCAACGGCAAAGCTACTAGATGGAACAAGCCAAAACACAGGTGCATTTTACTGATACCAGAAGGCACTAATCCAACATTCATTCTGTAGGAAATCATGTCTGTCTGACCAAGATACTGCAATCTTGCTACAATGATTCCTGTAATCTTCCTTAAAAGGAGACCAGGCTGCAAGTAAGGGAGAAAGGACCAGCATCACAGCTTTCTGGTTTAGGCGTGTCTGAGATGATTTTCAGTAAATCCAACACAAGTTATCTTAAAGACATAGCCTTCTTTTTCAAAACAGTTGTCTTGTACTCCAATATTTTAAAATGCTTCTGGTATACTGAGTCAGAACAATTGCTTTTTTTTTTTTTAATTTTTTAATTTTTTTATTATTTTTTGCGAGGAAGATCAGCCCTGAGCTAACATCCATGCTAATCCTCCTCTTTTTTGCTGAGGAAGATCGGCTCTGAGCTAGCATCTATTGCCAATCCTCTTCCTTTTCTCCCCCCAAAGCCCTGGTAGATAGTTGTATGACATAGTTGCACATCCTTCTAGTTGCTGTATGTGGGACGTGCCCTCAGCATGGCTGGAGAAGCGGTGCGTCAGTGCATGCCCGGGATCCAAACCCAGGCCGCCAGTAGCGGAGCGTGCGCACTTAACCGCTAAGCCACAGGGCTGACCCAGAAGAATTGCTTTTGAGGAAACTAGAAGTTTAATAAAACTAGGATACATTTTAGCACAAGTATGACCAAAGACACAACAGGGAACCATATAACCAAAGTTTAAATATTAACATTTTTTTAAAACAAATGATGGCAGCAGGCATTTATTCCTTTTATAACACTTTTGTTTTTAAGGAAAATATAGCATTAAAAAAAAACACCCACCTACATTCAGCTATTTATCAACTTTGAGGCTTTCTTACATGGCTTGGAGTATTTTTATTTTTCCTCTCCTGCCGTTCACCATCCCTCCTGCTGGCCACCATGATTAGCCACTCAAAGATAACCGTCATTGGCGGCTTCCTTCCATTCTTTTATTCTGCACAATAAAAAACTGGGATGATATTGTATGTACTACTATGTAGATTGCCTGTCTCTACTCTTCATTATGTTATGAAAATTTCCTCGTGTCATTAAATCTTCCTTGAAAACATAATTTTTTTTTCTTTTTACTGAGGAAGATTAGCCCTGAGTTAACATCTGTGGCAGTCTTCCTCTATTTTGTATGTGGATGACCGTCACGGCATGGCTGGTGAGTGTTGTAGGTCTGCATCCGGGATCCAAACCCACGACCCTGAGCTGCTGAAGTGGAGTGCGCCAAACTTAACCACTAGGCCATGGGGCCAGCCCCAATAGCATAATTTCTAAAGGCTGCATAGCACTCAGTCTCAGGTAGAGAGGGTTTATAAATCCCCTGTTGGACTTTTATGTTTTATGGAATTTTTTGTTAATTGCTGTTACAAATTATATTTTAGTGAACATCCATATATGCATGTTTGTGTACACATCTAATTATTTATGTAGGATATACTCAAAAAAGTGAAAGTTTTGGATCAAAGTATACACACATTTTTAATATACATATTTGGCAATTTTCTCTCCAGAAAATTCTCACTAATTTGCACTCCTAGCAGCAAAATATAAAAATGTCTGTTTCTCCAAACATTAATCAACATGATTTATGATTATGTTTGTTAATACAAAAGAACCTTGCCAACTTGAGAGGAAAAAAATTTGGTTGTTAGAAAATTCCATACAGAAATACACAAAGGAGTAATGGTAATTTTTCCCCACCCTAAGACAAATGAACAGATTTGTGTGGATACTCCCAGAATTTTGTCTACGTCTATATGAACATATATATGTATGTGTTTTGAGCAAAAATGGTAGTATAGTAGCATCCTAGTCTGCAACTTGCTGTTTGTTTTTTTTTTTTTACCAGTTAACACTAAGTTGTGGAAATTTTTCATTATCAATTCATCCTACTTATTCTTTTTAATAGCTGCATTGTAGTTTATTATATCATCATGTACAAAAAATACACATGGTCCTTTCATTGACATTAATTCTTTGCTAGGGTGGACTAAGATTTACAATAGGATCATTTTTGGGTAAATGAAGTTAAGAATTGAGTGTTAGGAGGGAGAGGAATGAAGGTGGTGTTCTGGTACCTGTTTTTAGCATCAGTGGTGAATTGTGCTAATCCATCCAACTGCTCCATCCCTACCCTACAACGGTCGATTGCAGGAGGGACCTGAATGAGGCCCTTGGTAGTGTTTCAACCTGTACTCCTCTTCCCACTCATGAATAATTGACTACCCACCATCTTTACAAAATGAGTTCACCTGGCTAGTTACCTGATTCTCATCCTCAATGAAACAAATTCACAAATACCTGTAAAGAATCACCTTTCACTTTTTTCTTGCCAAGGTATTTTTATTTTTCTCCAACATTTTTGCCATTTGAACAAAGACGTGCTTAAAAAATGTTCTATGTATTTGCAAACCCTTACAAGTCTGTTTCTGTAAATCATCAAACACCGGAAAAATGGGGAAATCCTTCTGTGAGGCTAACCCTAAGTTTGCAATACAATTCTTGGGTCAGTTTTAATGTATTCGTTCAACAAATATTCCTTGAGCTTCGTATGGTTCAGGCACTGTGCCAGGTGCAGGGGGGAATAGACGGGGGGAAAAAGATATGATGTCCGCCCCCAGGGAGCTATGTCCTAATGGGGGAGTCAGACAATGGACAAATAAAGCTGGGTCAAGGTTACAATGGCAAGTTGGCCTCTGTTCCAGGCACTATGATATTTGTTGAGGATATTGTGAACAAGACAGTCCGTAGCAGAAATTGACAAATGAGGAAGATAAGGAATCTGAAATTCTGGAGACTTTGTTCTTGTTGAACCATTAAGACCGAATGTGACGTGGGGACGAGAAGCCTTTGTATAACGTTGTATGTAATTATTGATGATCCAGGTGAACCAGTGGGACAAAACAGCCCCCCACATCACACGCTTGCATTCCCCTTCTCAAGTGGGGCTCCTGAAGAATGGCTGCTATGGGATTTACATCACTTCCCGAGTGTTGAAGGCATCAGATCCTGACACCGATGATGATCAGATCATCTTTAAGATTTTACGAGGCCCCCAACACGGACATCTGGAGAACGCAGCAACAGGTACCGCCTTCCTTAATCCTTGTAATTGCTCATTTCAAAATATCCAGTGGCTGGCAATGCTAGAGAGTAATTTAATTAAGTGCAGGCCCATTTGGTAAACACTCCCCAGGGCTTCCTGATAGATGCGGTTTATAAATCAATATCGGTGCTAAAGAGGATATGCCGCTGAGCTCTCCTAAATTCATCACGAGTGGGAGAACCAAATACTGATACACAGCTGCCTATTGTTCACAGCATTCTTCTTCAACAGCCAGATTGTGATATATTCAGAGGAACACACAGTGTCAGGACCAAATTCATATTTGTGACTCGTTTATTTTCTATCATGAATTCTAAATGATGAGAGTTCATTTAAAAATTGTTTTTATTTTCTGTTGTATTGGTTTTTCTGAATTGTATACTATTTCTACTTTATGAAGACAATGATCAAACTATATTACTAACCAGGATGGCACAGAATTACAGATTTTATTACTGTATCTTCCTACTCTTTCTTCCTCTATTTTCACATTTTCTTTAAAGCACAAGATTTCTGAGACAAAGTAATTTTAAAGCCTAATTTAAGTTTATTAAATTTGAGTTTTAAGATACTTGCAATAATGTTAATTTCTTTAAAAACTACACTTTGGCTGTTTTTAAAGCTGTGTTTAAAATAAAATAGCCATATGATTTTCTCGGCTCTTTTTTAATATTTTATTTGATTTCTCATGAAATTCATTGATTTCTTTTCTGTAGGTGAATTTATCCATGAGAAGTTTAGCCAAAAGGACTTAAACAGTAAGACCATTCTTTACATCATAAACCCATCTTTGGAAGTAAATTCAGATATCATGGAATTTCAAATCATGGACCCCACAGGGAACTCAGCTGCTCCTCAAATGTAAATTATTTTGCGTATTTAATTCTCTTGCATATCATGTCCAGAATATACCTGATTAGGAAAGTGAAGTGTTCTTTTTCAAACAGGATCTAAGAGGATAAACTGACAGACTATTTTAGAAGCTCATGGAATTTACTTTGGAGAGGGATTTTTCTATTACTGCCTAATGATGGGAAAGCCAGTAGCTTTACAGATTACAGAAACGTTAAAAAGTTCAGGTGTATAGTGTTGGGTCTTTGATTTTGTGCATGTAAATGCATAGACTTTGACACACAGAGAGGCTTTTTTTTTTTTTTTAATAATTTTACTCATTTATTTTTCCCCCAAAGCCCCAGTGGATGGTTGTATGTCATAGCTGCACATCCTTCTAGTTGCTGTATTTGGGACGCAGCCCCAGCATGGCCAGAGAAGCAGTGCGTGGGTGCACGCCCGGGATCTGAACCCGGGCCACCAGCAGCGGAGCGCACGCAGTTAACCGCTAAGCCACGACCAGCCTGAGGGGCTTCTGTCTTGACGATTCACTAGCATCCAGGCCTGAGCTTGCAGGCTCGTGTACAAATCCTGCAGCAAGAGGCCACTCTAGGACTGTTAGTAACCATCATCTTCTAAAATACCTAGAGCCAGGAAGAAGGAGGTAGTCAGGAAGGGTTAGCAAAACATCTTCTCTTTCCCTCACAGAAAACAAAGGAAACAAAATGATTACTGGTGACTGCCTTTGTAAGTTAATAAGCCTATCATAGGTAAGATGAAAAACATGTAAGGAGGAAAATAGACTTGGGGAGGTATTAAGTGACGCTTAGAAGTTTTGTAAAGTGTATGTACCCTCAGAATAACAAGATTAACACAATTAACAGACCGTAGTAATTTCACTCACTGGGTCCCTATTCTAGACTTTTATTGAATGTAGACCTTGAATAATTTACTGGCTATCAGATGATCACAGAAAGGTTAATCATAGTTGTGCTGTGCTCCTTGTGCTGTGTTTTTTCTTTGCTTTTAAATTTGATACCTTTGCTTTTAAATTTGATACCTTTCCCAGTCAACTCAAAGAAAAGTTGTACATTTATCCTAGTTTTTGTATTCACCATATCCTAGTCAAACTATACACCATAAGTGAGTACAGCCCCTTTATGGGCCTTTTATGACAGAATAATGGACAAAGGAAGAAAAGAAAACTGAGAAATCCTCCACTGCACTCTTCATTCTTGCTTTTTCTTTCCAATCCTGAATTGTAATCCCAACACTTGCCAGCAGAGGTCTCTGTAGTCATTGTTAGAAAAACTGGCATCCTTCTCTTAACAAAACACCTTCCGGGGGCCCACCTCCACTGCTCTGAGAAAGTGTTATACCTGGCCCAGATTTATTACCTCCACAGATTTTTATTGAGTGGCTACTATATGCCAAGTTCAGAGTACTAGAAGCTAGGAAGAAGGTGTGAGCAAGGGAGACCTGGCCACTGACATTAAAATATAACCATGAGATTATAAAACTAAAACGGATGACCACTACTCATGAAACTCCTGTTGCCTAAGAGAAATGATTCTTTAAAATTACGGTATTTATAGAAAACACATTAACTCCTTGCAATTTCAGATAAACATCTTTTAATTTTCAAGAAAATGTAAAAAAAAAAAAATCCTGCTCCAAAAATATTAATAAATTGATTTTACTTGCTTTTTAATAGTTCGACTAAAAAACACAAGACTATTGATCAGACTTGCTACTGGCCCAATGCTGACCGCTAGTTCCCCATATGTGAACACAGCCTAGCTGATAGAGAATTTTTTTTCTCAGCAATGGCACTAGATTGATTTTGTTTCATTTACATGCCCTTTTCATTCCTCGTTATTACCAAGGACATTGCTTTTGAACATGATTTATGTTTTTAAATAATCCTCACATTCATAGGAGAATCATAGAAGAATTTATAACCTTCCTTGAGGCTATTTTAAATAGGCTCCTGCTTGTGTTGGTTATCAATTTTCATGAACCTGTGCTGAAGATGTTTCTAATACAGCTTGAAATGATTGGAACTGATGGAACAAAATGATGCAAAATATGCCTACCAAGGGTTAGTCCAAAAATAATTTTTATTTGATTCTGACATGTATTATTTTCTTCAGAGCCGGCAGAGGGAGGTAGAAATTACTCAGCATTTATCTTCATAATTTTTAAATGGTATAGTTGTCCCCAGCCTCATTTGTAAGTAGATGTTTTTGGAACAAGAAGCACATTTTTTCAGTAAGAAACGATGTTATGAATAACATAGCCTTCCCAAGACAGCCAGCAAGAACTTAGTTATATATTCTATATAAATCACAGGCATGTGAATATAATTGTTTTCTGCTCTTTTTCATTGCTCTTCATCTAATCATCACAACTATCTATGAGTTAGGTACCATCCTAATCCAGAATTTACAGATGAGGAAACTGAGGTGCAGACATAGGAAGTGACTTTTCCAAGCTCCTGCAGCTAATTAGTGAAGGAGCTAGGATTCAGGCCCATGGTTTTCCTACTGCACTAAGGAACTTCTTGCCCACTGTTAACAACTGTGCTAAAACTGGCCTAAAGGGAAAGAAGCAGCAGACTTATCTCCCTACTTTCCCTCCAGATATTGGCCACCGAGGCAGCAAGAATGGAGAAATACTTACTCTTCAAAGACCATAAGTTTTAGTTGTTTTTTTGAAATGTAAATTACAGGTATTAATATTAGTGTGCACCCCATGTCTAACACACTGAGAATTATGATACAGATAGTAAACAATAAACCACTAGGTTTAGAGCCAAAGAACAGGGTTTGAGCCTTGGCTCTGCCATTGACCTAGGAGATGGTTCAAGCCTTAGTTATCTTATCTGTCAAATGGGGGCAGGACCAAGATTTGTTTAGAGAAACAAATGAGGTAAAATATACAAAAGCGTCTTGTATATTTAAAGTCCTTAACAAATGTAACTCGTGGTAGTGATTACTATTGTCGTTCAGTCACGTGGGTACAAAGAGTGACTGTTTGAAGAAGTATTCCGGAGACATTCGGTGGCCAGCTAAAGCCCATCTCTAATTAGAAATTGATTCTGGGATGATTCACAAAGTGAACCATCAATATGCTTGTCAATCAATAAGCTAAATGCTGTGTAACTTTGTGTTCTTGTTTGGCTTAGACAGAGTTCATAGATTAATGTATTAATAATATTATTAGTATTCCGCATATTTGAAGGAGTGGAAACCTTCTGTAATAAAGCTACAGGGAGTGTTGGGTGCAATCTGGAGCAGAAAGGAGGCTCTTCCAAAGAACAAGAAAGACCCGTGTTCACTGGGAATGTCCCAGAATCCTGATTGCTAGTAAGTGTTTGCTACGGCAGCTCTCTATAGAATGTCAACCTTGAAGGGTCAATAGATATTCCATTAGAAAAGGGGTTGGGAAATCTTGATTTAATCAAGTTATTGCTAGCCAGCCAGCTCGCAAGCTGTTTAGCTGCGTCACGTCCCCGAATCATGGAGACGCTTGTATGGATGGGGAATCTCTGAGAGAGGGACATAGTGTGCAGCGTATCTCAACCTAATTTGACTATTGAACAACCACCACCTCGCCCCAGGATAGCTCATGGAACAAGTTGTTCATGGAATGCATTTGGGACATGTGTTACTGTGGATGGAAATTATTTTATAACACTGAAATCCATGGAAATTTGCATAAAGATTTAGATTTGGCTAAGTGCCTACATTTCAGTGTGCTAGGTGCTTTTATACATGTTCATATATGTTGTCTAATTTAATCTGCAAAATAGAATCCTCTGAGGGTGATAAGGAAATCAGGCTCAAAGCAATTAAGTAATTGACCAGAAGTCACTAAGTGAATGAGTGGCAGAGCCCAAAATGAACCCTGACCTCCCAACCTCAAAGTGAGTGCTCATCTGATTGGCTCCTGCCTCAGCATGACTCACTCACAAGCTCATCTCTGTTTCTCCGGTCCAGCTTGAATCTCAGGATGATCTGCAGAAATCCCAAAGTCACACAGGACCCACATCATTCATCAAAAACACCTTTGCAGACCGCAGAATGTAGCCAACTTCTGACCAAGGCAGTTTCTTAACACATCTTCTATGTTGACCTCTTTCTGGTACCCGCTGAAAAAAAAAGTGAACTTCAAAAGAAACGTTGACTGGGGCTGGAGTTCTTCATAACTCAGTGGCTGTGTTTCCAGCTGTTGCATGATTCCAAGCTCTCTGATTCTTCTCCGCCCCCCGCTACCCTCATTCTAGCCATTGTATTATTCATTCTTGGCCTTAAAAGAGAAGAGACAAAAGAAATCAAAAAGAACAGGAATTTCTAACAAGCGAACTTTGCAATGTTTTAGCAACTTTTATGAAACACCTTGTAGGGGAAGAGGTTGAATCTGTTGGCTAGGTAAAGCTTTCCCGTTACCTGCAAGCCAGAAGTTAAAAGTATTTGTCTCCAGACTAGGTCTCAGAAAGGTCAGAGGAAGGAAGGGGAAATAGCACTTATTAAGCACCCACTGTGTACAGGTGCTTTGTACATATTAATCAATTTTAATTTTCATCATTTGACGTGAGTATGATTCTCCTCATTTTAAAGGTAATGAAAACTGAGGCCCAGAGAGACTAACTGACCATAATCACACACTAATAAGTGGTTGCAAGATGTGTCTGACTTCAAAGCACTTGTTTTGGGGACTCACTCTGCTGCCTCCTGGCTCAACACTGTTTCCCCATTATCATGAGAGAAAGACAAAATGAAAACACAGGTGTTCATAGCATTAGATTATGGAGCTTAATAGCATCCTCTTTGAATTGATAAGCCTTAAATTGAATACTTGGAAAAATATTTTTTTAACATTTCAATTTTCTTAAGTCATATGCTACTTGATTATAAATGATCTAGTTATAAGAATAATTTTGTCATAATTTTAGCTCCTATAAAAACTTTCGCTGAGAAGCTCAAAATACTTAATGAGTATTCATTAAGGTTCATTTAACCCTTTGAAGTACAGACTCACCATTATTACACTTTGGGAAGTGAGGGAACGGAGGCCTACAGAGGCTAAGCACCTTTGTCACACACTCTTGTTAACCTAGTTAATGTCCCAAATCCCCAACTGGAGTTTTAATCCCAAGTGTTTCTTTCAGGTCATTGTTCCTTCATATAAATGAATCAAGTAGCCACAAAATAAAATATCAAAAAGTATATATTTTTGACTCTACCTCAACACTATTGACATTTGGGGCAGATAATCCTTTGTCATGGGGCAGGGCTGGGGGATGGGTGGGGTGGATGTCCCGTGCCTTGCAGGATGCAGCATCCCTGGCCTCTACTCACTAGATGCCGGTATCACCCACCTCCCAATTGTGACAATCAAAGCTGTCTCTAGACATAGCCAAATGTTGAGAACCATGCAAGTGCCTTAGAAAATAGTATATATGTATGGTACATATGTGTGTTAAGAAGTCATGCTTTATGGTAGAATGTTCTTTTATCAATGCCGTCTTTCTCTCTACTCTAGTCGAATAATAGCCAAAGAATCCAGGGCTAGAAAGTCAAGGCTAGAAAGAACATGTAAGGATCATCTAGCCTAGCATTTTTTCAAATTTTATGTAATTCAAATTGTGTGTGTGTAATTTCAAATTGTGTAAATTCATATAATGTCAATAGGACTGGGGAGAAAAAAAGTTTCGGTGGCCAGCTTAGCTTGGGAAACAGTGGGCTAAACAAGATTCATCAGTCATTTAACAAATATTTATTGAGCACTTACCATGTCCTATCACTCTACAAGAGACTTGGGAAGACATCAGGGAACCAAAGACCCCTGCTTACTCGGAGCATACATAGTATCTAAGTAAATTAAACAGTATATGATCCGTGATACATACTTTGGAATATGAAAAAGTTGGTCAGGATAAGGGAGATCACAGATGCTGGACTTTGGGGATGGATTGCAACTTTAAATTGGGTGTTTAAACTGCTTTTCCTGTGCCTGACCTGGAGTTAGTGAATGGCAGAGGGACTAGAAACATCATGACTTCTAATCCAGTTTAATTTCCACTACTCCGTCCTACATCTTCCACTCACATGGTGGTTGTTGGAAACCACAATTTAGTTTTCACATTAAATCAAATATTCTATAGCAGTGAGTACCCCCAAAATCACCTAAGGAAGTGTTTCTCAACTGGGGATGAGTTTCCCCCCAAGGGACATTTGGAAATGTCTGGAAACAGTGTTTTTTGTTTTTCCTGTTTTGTTTTGTTTTGTTTTGTTTTGTGAGGAAGATCAGCCCTGAGCTAACATCCATGCCAATCCTCCTCTTTTTGCTGAGGAATACTGGCCCTGAGCTAACATCCGTGCTGATCTTCCTCCACTTGATGCAGGATGCTGCCACAGCATGGCCTGACAAATGGTGCGACGGTGCGCGCCTGGGATCCGAACCTGGGCCGCCAGCAGTGGAGTGCACGCACTTAACCGTCACGCCATGGGGCCGGCCCTGGAAATAGTTTTGATTGTCATAACTGGAGGGCAGTGGTGCAACTGCATCTGGTGGGTCGAGACCAGGGATGCTGCTAAACATCGTATAATGCACAGGACAGCCTCCCACAGCAAAGAATTATCTGGTCTCAAATGTCGACAGTGTCAATGTTCAGAAACCTGACTTAGGGGTTTAAGGAGTTCTCACCTCCTGCCAAATGACTTGAAACGATTGCCATATGAGTTTTGCACAGTGTCCGTAAACTTCATTTCTGACCTTGAATAAGCTGTACTCAACGGTAATAAGAGAAAGGAGGGATCATTAAAATGTGAAGAGTTGAACCAACCCTTGTCTACATGACACCTACACATCCAGAACGTTCCAAATTTCTCTCATGGGCTCCTGCATCTGGTTATCTACATGATGCCAAGCATACAGCTGTGTGGCTTCTTGCAGGGAGAATTCCCAAATGATTGACTACATCTCTTACTTTTCTTCCAGGTGTTTGTGTAGAGTTTAAGCAACCACAGTCTCAGTGTAGAAAGATGTTCTCAAATACGATACTGCAAAAAACAAAAAACACATTCAAAACATGCGTTGCAAATATCCTGTAGGTATGGAAGTGCTTTGCAATTTGAATATTTTTCTGGAGATCATATAGCCTGGCTTAAATTTCATGGCTTTTCAATAGATCTTTATTATTTGTAGTGAATAGTTTTAAGAAAATAAAATAGAACGTTGTGTAATGACAACCTTAACCTCTAAGCATTATGGAGCATTCTAATGGTGTATCAGGGAAATGCATGCACTTTCCCAAACACCAAGACCCTTTATGCTTTGAAGCTGAACAGCACTCTGCATGGTCCCCTTATGGATCTAGATAGGCAATCAGATTGCATTTAGCTTTAGGCTGTGAGGTCACCTGGATCTGCGGAGTGACATTGATGAATTTTTGCTTGTCAGGGTCAGCATTTGCAATGGATGGATTCTCGGAAGACTGGACATTGAAACTCATTTGAACCTCACTGAGACTAAGCTGAAATCCATCCATATTTATCTATTTCACTCATTCCCACCACTCTTCTTTCCTTCTTGTTTCTTCTTTCTGTCTTTTCCCCTAACCCCTCTTGCTGTTTTTTCTTTTCCTTTCTCATTTAGCTGGATCCTTCAGGAATTTTTTGCAACATGTTATTTCTATTGGCATTTATAATGTCCTCGTTGCTTGTTATCTTGTGATTCTTTAAGCATAGTCTTTTATTTCTTTATTTCTTGATCTGTTTCATGCCAAATTTGAATTCAGTTCCATCAAAGACCCATGAGGGTCCCGGTATTATTTAACATAAGGATCTTGTTTTCATGTCAAATTTTTATGAAGCCCAGCATGCCTGTAACAATAAATTTCATATCTATTGATTGAATAAAGATCTGTGTTCATATAGATTCATGAACCTCTGCAATAATTCCATGTTCCCACACTACCGTTGTCCCACTGATCCACGGTCCTTAGAGTAGGAGACAGTGCTATTGAGTTTATTTTGCTAGTGAACTTAATCTATAGGATGTAACTGTGACACATGATTGGTGCAAGAACAAAAAGTGGTTATTAGAGGATAAACTTATTCTCTAATATGAGTGGTCCCAGGAAAGTCTGGAGAGCCCTGTGAAATTTGTGAACTCCATGCTCCACATGGTGGCACCCAGAATTTCTGGTTCTGCAAGGAAAAAAAATTGTAAAAAATAATTTAAGAATCTAGAAGAAAGAGCCTGAATCCAATTGGAAGTTTGGGAATATAGGCAACCACTGAGGGTTTTGTAAATGTAGAGTGAAAGGGAAATGAGTAAAACAGAAGCAATGGAAGTGTGTTAAATGATCATAGTGAAGATGGCTTGTATCTTTTATATTGCTGAAGGTTACAAGGGGTAAAAGAGATTAGAATACATTTGGAGAAAAATGTTTAGGTGAAACATCTCAAGTTTTCTCACCTCAAAAAGGGAAATATTTCAGGGTAAAGATAAAATTGTATTCCTTTCCTTGAGCTCAAACAGCAAGAGTCATGAGGAACTTCAATTGGGAAGAAGAATGGTCCAGGAGGAATGGAACATTTGACTTCAGATTGATGCTGGGAATTTCATCTCTGCTCTCTATTAGCTTTGCCATAGCTTTTTGCCTTTGAGCTAGTTATTTAACTTCTCTTAGGCTCGTTTTCTTTTCTAAAAGAAGAAAGAAAAAGTTCCTCTCCATATTATGAGAATTAAAGAAGACAGTTTCCATCAAATATTGGGCTCACTAAATATATTGTGGGAAAAAGACCACCCTGTGTTTATCAGGGTTACTCAGTTGTATAGCTGCATTCAAGCTACATAACAGACAGCCCTTTTATATGCACAGAAGAAGGAACAGATAGTGGTTATAAAACACATGTACATTTTAATTCCTAGGCACGTCCTCAAAGATACCTTGTTATTAAACTGAACCCAAGTTCAGAGAAGATCTGTGTCTGGAACAGTTCTTGTTGCACTGATGAAGAAAGCCAAAGGATCAGAGAGAAAATTTCATATCAATGTCCTTTCCAAAATAAATATCTCCTTGAACTTCACAACTGCCGGTTCTTTTCCCTTCAGAACACTCAAGTTCGAGTGCCTTTTTTGTCATTAATAACTGTGGGACCTCTGACAGTCTTTTAACCTTTGTTTCTGCACTTGTAAAATGGAATTCTAATACTGGCTCTGTCGACCTCACAGGCTTGCTGTAAGCATCAAATGAGATAATGTTAGTAAAAGTTCTTTCTGAACTAAAATGTACCAAACAAGTGTAAGGAATTTTTAGCATTGGTCAATGAACCACCTCTGTCACCATGGTGTGGACCAGTGGTTCAGTCTCTTACCCAGCAAAGAATCCCTACAGGCATTTACTCTGCATTTCTTATGATCTTCTCTTTTCTTTTCCTTTCACGCACAGTTTGGAACTGAAGTGGTCTCATATTGCATGGTCACAGACTGAATATGAGATCTGTGAGAATGTGGGCATGTTGCCCTTAGAAATTACGAGAAGGGGATATTCCATGGACTCAGCCTTTGTGAGTGTGAAGGTAATATCTCTATAATGTAAGTTGTCAAGCTAAAACTTAGGTTGCTGGTTGGTGCCTTTGATTATTTGCTTAGAAAAAATCAGGGTAACCAAGGAAATTTCAAACTGCAGGAGTGTCACACTATTCTAGAGATTCTAAGTACAAAATCTCCTTGTCCCTCTATCCTTTATCCAGCTTCATTGGCTCCTAGATATGATATTTCTAATCTATTTTTAGTTTTTAAATCTGGTCATTGAGTCTTGAAGTTTGATTTCCCAGGGAATTATATCCTACCTAGTGAACTTAGGCCAAACTCTGCTTTGGAAAGAAAAGTTGTATGCAAAGCATTCTGTGAGATACCCAGAGCAAATTTCAGTCCCCAAATGATCCACCAGGATCATTCCTGTGGTCTCAGTGGATGAGGAAAATCAGATGACAAACCTACGTTAAGAGTTGCCCAAGTCATGCGAAATTAAGAGTGCATATATCAATCCAGGCACCCTGAAATACAAGGAATATTCAGGAATCACTTCTGGATCAGTCAACTTGCTATTCCTTTCCGTTGGCATGGACCATGGAGCATAACCTATGGCTTCTAGAATTGAAAGAATTTTTAGGAGTCACTATCACAGTAGTACTTCGAGAGAATGAGAGCGTGAAAAGCTTTTACATACTAATAATGATGGTGAATGAGCCTGAAAGACTCCCCACCTCAGTCTACTAAAAAAGGCACTGATATTAGTTTCTGGAAATAATGGCATCTCAGTTAAGTCTCAATTACAATAATAAATTCAAATCACCCTCAGAGCCTTGTGCACCTAAATTCTAACATATCCAGACTCAGTATTGATCTTTCTAGTGGGCATAGGCTCTTTTCCCTAGATCTGTGGGTGCTTTATTGTTATTAAAACATCAGACAACGTGGTATGCTCTGTAATTTTCCAGCAGATTGTTTATGGAAAAAGAAAGAATCTGCCTGGATGGTTTTCCAATAATCATCTGGTCCCCCATAGAAAGCACCATATGCTCAAGTCTGGCATTTTGGGCCACACTACCACTCACCTTGCCAGGTAGAAAGAACATACGTGGTGTGACATGGAACCCTTTGTCTACTTAAGCTGAATGCACACTGTGAACCTGCCAGCTGAGTGTGCAGGGCTTCATCAAACAGCCCTAAGTCCTTCAGGGACGACTCTACCCACAGCATACCCTGCCGCTTCATTCCAGAACTTATTGGCTGCTTGACTGGGAGCAGGAAAAAGAGAGTACTTTCATGCGTGTTGTTTGCCCTGGTTTGAATCATGCGCCTTCACCAGATTGATTTCTCCAACCACCTTGCCTCAGATTATTCCTTTTCTGTAAACTCATAAGATTCTGTAAACTCAGTGGTGGTAAATCCTAGGTAATTGCATGTGCAAGAGCCATGCGGGGAATGTAACTTCCAGCATATGGTGGATTCAGGTGTACAATGGGCTTCCTTTTCACAATGAAAGGCTGTTCAGGAGGAGCCTTGGCATTGTAGACAAAGAGCAAACGGAAGCTTAGGAAGTAACACCCTTCTTCAGCAACATGTCTCCACAGCAGACCCATTAGCAGATGTTAGGGCCTTTGATTAAAAAGGGACATAATGTCTGAGGCTATAGAAATAGGAACTTTTAAGTTTTTAATTGTGCACTTCATTCCTTCGTATGAAGGTGATGAAATATACTAACCCACTTTCCTGACCATCTGAAATGTAAAAAAACGTGCAAAGTACCCACTGCCTATTGTGCTTACACGGGGTTCTCACTCCATGACCTCTTTTTCAAACCAGCCAAGGACACTATTCTTAACATATATTTAGGCTTCTCCTGGGGAAAGTTAAGGCCATGACTTCACAGCCCTTAAATCGCCTCTGGTTTTTAGCCCTGGGGGTGGGGATCTGAGGATCAGTCAATAGTCTCTTTAGACTAGAGCGATTCTTCCATTCTTCCTTCCTTCCTTCCTTCTTTCCTTCCTTCCTTCCTTCCTTCCTGCCTTTCGTTTTTTACAACTTACTTGATGGAGCCCCTAAAGCCCCTGGTTCTGGGTGTGGATTGCCTTTGTGGGGCTGTTCACCAGGTCTGTAATTCCCACAAAGCTCTCCTTCATTTCTGTGAGGAGGGATGGTTTCATCCAGACAGGAAAATGGGCCAGACTTGTTTTAGTTCATCTAGTCTAAAGGCTTTCAGTGCCATGGAGCTCACAGGATACCTCAAAGCTGGCTGACAGATCATCTCACAGGTTGTCAGGAGGACCTGCTGTTGCCTCTCCTCCCCCTCCTCCCCCTCCTCCCTCTCTCTTTCTTCTGAGGCACCATTTTAAAACTAGGTTGGGGTAGAGGGAAGGCAATGAAATAAATGATACTTGTAACAAAGAGAAAAATATTGTTTAAAATTCATGTTACTTTCTCCAATAACTGAATCATTTATAAAGGAGAAGCAAAAGAAAAAAAGTTTTATGTTTACTTCTTTTGATACTAGTCTAGAAAAAAGTTAACTTTAAGGCAGATCCGTGTAGCCTGGATCTAAAATGATTTGTTATAATAAAAAAACTACTTTATGTTAAAAACAGATTTAAGAGCATGAGTTTAGTCTGGTATGAGACTAGACTAGATGTTTCTCTATCATAGAACATTTATTTTTATTAAAAAAAGACATTTTTTTCCCTTAAGGTCAACCAAGTGTCAGCTACAGTTGGAAAAGATTTCACCCTGAGTCCATCTAAACTGATTCAGTTTGACCCAGGTACGTTTTGTGTCTACAGTTTGTTTCATGTCTTGTAAGAAAGTCTGGAGATTGTGGAGAAGCCAGAATATAATGCAACTTTAGCCAACTAGAAACTCCTCAGGGAACTGTATTACCCCCCTCCAAGACAGATCAGTTTGGACTTGAGGTTTTGCCCCTCATATTTTATTACAAGTGAATATTTATTTAAAAAGAGAAGAAAGATCATAACAAATAACAAATATCAAAGCAAACATCCAAAAAATCCAGAAAAAAATAATGCCGTTTAAAAAAGTATTTAAGGGCCTGACACAAAGCTGAAACAATTTAATTGCCTCATATTTTGATGGCAAATTTCAGAATGTTATATTCATCTGGATTCCTAAAGGGCATTTTTTTTTTTTTTTGTGAGGAAGGTCAGCCCTGAGCTAACATCCACGCCAATCCTCCTCTTTTCGCTGAGGAAGACTGGCCCTGAGCTAACATCTATTGCCAATCTTCCTCCTTTTTTTCCCCCCTTTTTCTCCCCAAAGCCTCCGTAGATAGTTGTATGTCATAGTTGCACATCCTGCTAGTTGCTGTATGTGGGACGCCGCCTCAGCATGGCTGGACAAGCAGTGCGTTGGTGCGCGCCCGGGATCCAAACCCAGGCCGCCAATAGTGGAGTGCGTGCACTTAACCGCTAAGCCATGGGGCCAGCCCCTCTAAAGGGCATTTCTAAATAATCTGTCTTGGAATAGGTTTATATGAGGAGATTCCAGGGGAAATTATGATTTAATTAGCACATATTTTGTTTAAATCTGTGGAATAATTTTGTTAGGTACAAAAGGGAATATTAAAGTGTGATGCCTGCTCTCAAGGATGTTCAATTGTGTGGGAAATAAGAGACACGAAAACTCACTACTAGTATATTGGGACTCAAAGGATGAGCCATTGCTCTTGCTAAGGAAAATCCTAGAACACTTGCCAGGAGAAGTGGTATTCTGAGCAGGTAGAAAAAGAAGAAGGGGCCTTCAGGCTGAAAGACCAACACAGTTTTGGGGAACTGAGACTAAAGCACCAAGGCTAAGCCATGCCTTCTTTTCCTGGCTTCTGTAGATGGGGGCAAGTAGCTCTGCCTCACTGCACTGCATGGTTTTCTCTTTCCCTCTGGTCTGGGGTGGACCTGGATCACCTGTCCAGGGGCAAATAGAAAAGGCCTTGAGAAGCAGCCAGGGCTTTGGCTTTGTGCTCTCCTACAGAGGAGGTGTTCTGCGCTCTGAGAACGCTCCACCAAGTCAAAACTCTTGCCATGGTCTGCCACTGACACATGATGTTTCAGCAGAGGCAAAACAAAAAGTCCTAAATACCATCGCTACTCCAGAATCGACAATCTTAATATTAAACAGAGAAAAGAAATGCCTTTCTGCAGTTCACCACAAGTAGTATGATGTGTGGTAACTATTAGTTTGCTAGGGCTGCCCTGACGAAGTATCACAAACTGGGTAGCTTAAAAACAGAAGTTTCTTTTCTCACAGTTCTGGAGGCTAGAAGTTCAAGATCAAGGTGTTGGCAAGGTTGATTCCTCCTGAGGGCTGTGAAAGAGAATCTGTTCCAGGCCTCTCTACCATGCCCTGGTGGTTTGCTGGAATCTCTGGTGTTCCTTGGCTTCTGCCATATCACCTGATCTCCACCTTCATCTCTACAAGGTGTTCTCCCTGTGTGTGCATCTGTGTCCAAACTTCCCCTTTTTATAAGGACACCAAATTAAGGGCCCGCTCTGCTCTAGCGTGACTTCATCTTTAATTACATCTGTAATGACCTTATTTCCAAATAAGGTCACATTCTAAGGTAATGGGAGCTGGGACTTCAACATATGGATTTTTGAGCAACACAATTCAAGCTACAACAATGAGCCTTACATTTGACATGCAACAACCCAGATATTGTTATTGGCCTCCTTCCTGTGATATTTAAGTTTCTGACTTGCATAAGTTTGCTCCTCAGGCTGACCACAGTTTGTGAGAACCATTCCCATTGTGTGTTTGATATCTACCCTCAGGTTGCTGCAGGCTCATGTGTTCTGGTCAACCCCAAGATGAAAGGATTTGATGCGTTTGCCCTATGCTCCTTTTGTACTTCATGTTAAGGCTGTTCCAACCTTTCCACTTTTGGAGAGCGAAGAGTCTTTGTCAGATGTCATCTTTATTATTTGAGGTCTGTTTGTCACAAGATCAGGAGTGATTTTGGCCTTCAGTAGATTTTTGAGCCGCCCACCAGGTGCTCTGTTTGGACTGATAGGAACCAGAATGTATCTCAATGGAGGAGTCTCTGAAATCCAGCTCTTGGAGATTCCACTGGATAAGATAAATGCTCATTTGTCTAGGGAGTTTACATGCTGTTTTGAGTAGATACTGATGACTTCTGGGGGCTCCAAATAGTCATGATTTTAGAGATTATTTAGACATTTTAAGAAAAAAAATAAACATATCCTATAAATTAAAAAGAAACAACACTTGACTGTTCATTGTTTTGGAACTTATTAGCCAGAAATAGTTTCATAAGCTGAAATCTTACTTTAGAGAATTTTAAAGTTCCCCATGTCCACAGGTCCTGTAAATGTTTATTTACTTCCATATTGTTTACCTTGCCTCTTTTGGGTCTGGTGTCCCCAATCCCATCCCTTCCCCTTTTGCCCTTTAAAAACAGCAGCTTCCACGATTGGCGAAGAAATAGAGTGAGAAATCAAAGACGGTGGGGTGTTATAAGGTTTGAGAACTCTTGGGAGGGAGCTGGAGAGAAACTGAGTGGCTTTCCAGTCTAGTGAGCTATGCTCAAGTAAACTTGCCTACAGCCTTTGCACCAAACTGAAAACTAATCTTGAGTACTTTGCATTCAGCTATTGTGACTAATCTTGAGTTGAAGTGTAAATATTCTTAAGAAAATGATTGTTTTCCTTTAAAATATGTGTTCTTGAAAGGTTTGCTGCATTCTTAATTGAGACTTCATTATTCCTAAGAGTCAAAATGTTTTCCAAAGGAACAGATCTCTAATGTGGCACTTACTAAAAAACATTGAGAAAATGTCTTTCAACAGTAAAATAGCTTTGCAGGAAAATATCCAGGAACTGACCTACTCTGTAAAGTGGGGTATGTCTGCATAAAATGACACCTTCTCTCTCCTCTTCAGCACCTTTTTTTTAATGGGAACAGGGGGTCAGTTCAAGCCTTCTGAAATTGCTTATAATCTCAGTGATTTAACAAATACTTTGCACCTTGAAAGTGGGAGAGGAAGGAAAAAGAAAAACCAAGAAAGTTCTTACTTCCAATCTTATTAACCTTAAAAAGTTGGTCCTATGTGCACACCTGGTAAAGCATAGAAGCAAAGTGGAGGGGCCGGCCCCGTGGCTTAGCAGTTAAGTGCGCACGCTCCGATGCTGGCGGCCAGGGTTCGGATCCCGGGCGCGCACTGAGGCACTGCTTCTCCGGCCGTGCTGAGGCCGCGTGCCACATACAGCAACTAGAAGGATGTGCAGCTATGACATACAACTATCTACTGGGGCTTTGGGGGGAAAAAATAAATAAAGTAAAATTATAAAAAAAAAAAAAAGTTGAAATGCAGGCGAACAAATCAGAAGCACTTAAATGAAACTTGGAATAGATTTCCTCTAATCATCTGGTTCTACTCCATAAGGTCTGACAAAAACTTTAAGGTTTTTTTGTGGGGAGGAAGGGGTACTATAATTTTTTAAAAAATGATTCTTAAACTAAGAGAGCAATTGGTTGGGGCTTGGAAATATTTTTTTGTATTGGATTTTTATTTGAATAATGCTTAACTTTATGGGCTTTGAGAGTCAAAACAGTTCTCCGAATATTAAAAATCTGAGTATTCATATGTTTCCTTCATTTTTCAGCCTCTTATCTCTTCTTGCCAGTTTTATCACACCAGCTGCCTATGTGGTCTCCCAACTTCTAGCCTCTCTGCCTATCTGCCTGCACCCCTCAATCTTCCCACATAACACTCTCAGTTTCATTTTTCTAAGACATCCGTTTTCAAAAGCCTTCCCTGTTGCCTATGGTTTAAAGTCTGAATCTGGCCACCTAGTATCCAGGGCTTTCCGCAGTCTTGCTACAAACTGCTAGTGCATCCTTATCACCTTCTACTCACTGACGTGACCTCTCTATTCCAGCCAGCTAGTCTGTTCAGACTTCCTTGGTCAAGACCTCTGCTTCACTATCTTTCTGCCTTTGCTCACGTGGTGGTTTTTCCCATTTCCTCCCTCCAAATCTTTCCAGCTCTGGAGCCAACATACATATAGTATTCACCATCTATTCTGTATCTTTTGGCAGCTAATCATACATAGCCTTGAATAATTGACTTCTGGTATTGACATCTTGTCTCTTCAAGGAGGTTTTAAATTCCTTTATATCAGGGCTTGTTTGTGTTACACCCATGGTATTCTCCACAGCATCATAAAGCAAAGGTAAGTACATAATAGATACAGAATATATATTTTGATGGATTGATTCATCCATCCATGAGATGGGAATTATATACTATTTTGTATTAGATGCTTCAACTTCTCTATTTGCAAAGACTACAAAAGTAATTGATTTGAGAACTCAATTAATACTGAAAGCTTAACAAATTAGCCTATTTTTAAAAAAATAAGATTATTTCAAATACACTTAATTTTTTCCCTCTAAGTACAACCACAAGTAGGATAAGTGAACAGTTTCATCTTTCCATTGGATTCTGTTGGGAATCATGCGAGTTTGATTAGATCATGAAATCTATATGTGACATACTTTCAAGATGGAGGCCATCATAGAGATGGCACAACCGAGAGGCATAAATCTTTAGAAAAGAATCTGCAAGGAGAAAAGAATCCAGATTTTCAGAAGAGAAGACTAGAAAAAAAATAAACTGAACTTCTTTTATAGAGAGTTTTACAGGAACAAAATCACTCAAATAGCCAATGAGTAAATGAGAAAGAGTCAAGTTTTCAAAACTTTGCCCTAGAAGGTTCAATTATAAGTTGATCATCTTTTTTCCCCTTCAACTTGAGCCTTCTTTCTCCACTAAACAGTACTTTCTTTTCTTCCTGCCACCGTTTTCTCTTCTAAATAAACTCAGGGAAGTGTCCTGTAATCTACATCATGGAAACTGGTCAGTATTAGACAATCTCAGAAGTTTCTTCCAGCTTTAATATTTTGTGTTTCTGGGGTTGCTCTGCCTACCATCTTAGCGGTGACAGGATGGCTGGGGATATGTAACATCAAAACGGCTTTTTGGGGACGGCCTGGTGGCGTAGTGGTTGGGTTCACGTGCTCCGCTTCTGTGGCCCAGGATTTGCGGGTTTGGATCCCGGGTGTGGACCTATGCACCGCTTATCAAGCCGTGCTGTGGAGGCGTCCCACATGTAAAGTAGAGCTGGATGGGCACGGATGTTAGCCCAGGGCCAATCTTCCTCAGTTAAAAGAGGATTGGCAACAGATGTTAGCTCAGGGCTAATCTTCCTCACCAAAAACAAAACAAAACAAAACAAAACAAAAACTGTTTTGTTAAGTTTACCAAGTTACTGTGAACCAAGCTTGATTGTAACTCCATGAACAGAGGCAGACGGAAAGAGAAAACAAATTGGCTCAATCTATTTCTAGAACCCCCAGCCCATAAATTCTCTCTAGGAGGATATCAAACTGCTGAGTATTACATCATCAGAAAAAGCATTTTCAGCCTAGAAGGATCTCAGGAAGCCGATGGATGCAGCTGTCTTTAGAAATCAATCATGTCAAGGGTTCCAGGAATAGCATGAAGTACCATCCAATAATCACTTTTAACTGTCTACATCAACCTCTTAAGGTTTTTGAAACTTAAGGTTTTAAGATTGCAGTACTTGTTTATTCTTAAGAAGTGAAGGGGCAGGTTGGGAAAAAATTAAGTCTTGGATCTCAGCTACTAACCATTTTTTTGTTCATCCCTTCCTTGCAAAATGCAGCTTACTTTTTTGTTACAGTGTTTGCGTTTAAAAGGATTCGTCATTGTCCAGGAGCAAATGTGGTCTTTTAATATTATTTGGGAGAACAGCACGACATCAGTGGGTTGGTAGCAGTACAATAGCTCACTCGGGCTACTGCAGTCTGGCTGTAGACATGTTAATTAATATATTTCTCTGACACCTAGGTGATTGAAATGGCAATTAAAGAGTAATTAAAATGTTTACTTCTTGTAGGAATGTCAACTAAGATGTGGAATATAGCAATTACCTATGACGGATTAGAGGAAGATGATGAGGTCTTTGAAGTAATTCTGAACTCCCCTGTGAATGCGGTTCTTGGCACAAAGACAAAAACTGCAGTGAAAATTTTGGACTCAAAAGGAGGTATTCTTTTGATCCTCATCTTGAAATCAGGAGCGGTCCTGGCACTGTAGCTGCTTGCTTTCAACAGCCAACGTGTTTGATAACGCCTTCAAATCAAAATGCTTAATTTCTTCTCAAGAAAGCAGCTTCCATGATGATGTAGGGCCTTTATCCTGGTTTCTGCTTCATGTGGCTTTCCTCCTGCTAAGAACTATCGTTTGAGAAAAGCAACAAGTCATTGCCGTAGTTTTTTTTTCCTACCCGTTTGTTGTTCTCACCAAGGGGGAAACAACGTTGGTGAGACTCTATCGACAATTATTTTCCCCTGGAGTTTGTAGGGCTATAATTACCTTCCTCTGTTAAAGAGAGCTCTTAATGCCTAAAATCTGAGCCCCCACTGTAGTGTGACCACGAAATTTTTAATAGAGGAAAGAATTGGAGAAAAATAGATGTGAAAGATGCAGCTGGCTTGGGGATTCAGGACCAGCTGGAGAATATTAATGAATAACCTTGGGTTGCAGAGCCAAATAGGTCCTGGATAGTATATGCTCAAGAACAACCTGTGAACTAAAGAAAGATTAACCAAAGTCCTTGGTGCTCTGATTTTTTTTTCTGCCAAACACCCTCTACTTCTCTGTCTAGCATTTGACAAGTGTCTAGTGACCATGCTCGGTCTTACACCCCTGTTTTTACACCTGTCATGTCCTACGGTTCATGTGTTTTCCTTACCTGAAATCTATTATCTCCTCTTCTCTTTCTCATCCTATAATAAAAATAAACATTATTCTCTTTCCTTTATAATACATTTCTACAACATCTCTCTCTACCACCTTTCTTCACCAAATTCATTTCTTTTTCAGTAGAATTTTCTGGTCACATGAAGTACGTAAAATACACGAAGTACACACTTTACACATGAAGTATAAAATATCCAGACAAAGGTTTTGGGTATAGATTTTTTTCGTACTAATTGGCAATGTTTCCAATAGAAGTAGCTCTATTAGGATTGACTGGATCTTTGTTCTATAACAGTTGAATGCTAATTTTTATAACTGTTACTTGATTTCACCGACATCTTAAAAAAATTCCAGGTTCTACCTCTTGGCGACTGGGGAAAGGATGAACACCTTGAAGTGTTTGTGGAATGATACTTGATCAGTGAATAAACCTGACACATGGAAGAGAGTACTATAACACGAAGGGAAGTGAGGCTGTTTCCCAAGTAGATGGTGTGATTATAAAATCATGACCATGATTTTCACTTGTGGTTTGTGAAATCAATTTCATGACTCCATAATCACCCTGTAGATGTGCAGAAGGGTACAGCTTTCCTGGATGGAAACTGATGAAGAGTAAAGGAGTTTCTGGCAAATGGTAAAAAGGCAACATCTGGTGGGAAAACCATCCATCTAAGTTTAATGACAAGCTGCTCCAGGGGCTGTGTCGATGTGATCACTTATCTGTTTGCGTAAAATGAACTGACCTGCCATCTTGCATGCCTCCAGGACGGTGCCATCCTTCATATTCCTTCAACCCAAACAAGCACAGTGAATGGGAGAAGGGCAGTTCGCACCTGCTGTCCCTGGGGTCTTCCTCCCCGCCTACTTCTGGTTCCTCTCATCTGGAAAGAAGACCCTTGCCATTTTCCAAGCAGCTAACAGTCACCAGAGGAGACACCCTGCGGGGCATTGATTCTACAGATCCTTCTGGAATGAAGCTTAGGACCCGAGGGAATGGCAAAACAGTAAGGATGGGGACCGTCTGGAATTTGGTGTGTGGATGGAATACATATTAAAAGAATCAAAAGATATTAATAAGTATTCTGGATCACTGAAGAGGCTGTTTTGATTCTCATAGTGAGTGAGGGCCTTGGTTCCTTGCACAATCATGCAGTGCCTTTTGTATACGAATATCATAATGCTGCCCCACTTCATTAATTGTATTAAGTGAAGTGATAGATATACCGACTCCTCTATATGATTTCTACTTTGGTTCCTTAATGAGATCTTACTGGAAGAGTTTTAAACTATTGCTAATTATTAGTCACACCAATTTTGTTCATATTTTGTTCTCTGTTGATTTCAGGTCCATCCATTCTTTATTTATAGAAATGGAACAGACATCATCTATCACGTAAGCATAGTCTGAGAGCGTTGCTAAATATCTTGTATTTATGGATGCAAAATATTTAGTGAAACTATTTTTTATCTTTTATATTTACATATTTCTCTTAAAACCTTGTTTTGATATTTGTTTTAGAGGATTGGGTAATCAGAACATAAACCTTTTTATTTTTTTGCTTTGATTCAATTTTTGAATTGCTCATGTTTACAACAAACGTTTTTGTTTGCTCTCTTGGTGTTGGTTTTTTCTTTATTGCTGTTTGTTGATTTCCTTAAGTACCATGGAATGGTGTCCCTGAAAGTGGAGGATGACAGTTCCCCAACTTACAAAAGGAAGGCCAAAGTATCCGTTATTAGTCAGCCGCCACAGACAGGCAAAGTGGCAGAACTGCCACAAGCAGATAAGGTGGAATCCACAACTAGCTCACACTCCCCCAGACAGGTATGAAAATCTTTTTACTTCCTATTCACCTTACCACAAGCTGTTTGCTGGGCCACAAAGCAGCCTTGAAGCTTGGGGATAGTTTACTCAACACAAATACCACGCAACAAATGAAGACCTAAAGGAGGTAAGGGTGTGATCAACTTACATGAAGTCAAATCTAAATTGCCTTTCCTTCCCATAGGACCAGTTGCCCTCATTTCCCAAGAACTGCACACTAGAGTTAGAGGGACTCTTCCACTTCGAGGAAAGCCTCCAAAAGCTGTATAAGTGCAATGGAGTCGCCTGGAAAGCATGGAGCCCTCAAACCAAGGTGGGACCCAGGCTGAGCAGCCAAGTACCTTTACTTGCTGTATGCCCTATGATAAGCTAGTAGAGAGGGAACAATCTGGCAAGTCAGGCTACGTCTGCCTGCCCTTGTTACATGTTGAAGGCAAAGAGGAAAAAATGGCCCAAGTGCTGTTTTAAAAATGACAAAATACACTAGTTATATCAATACAATTTAAGAAGATGTTTACTTATTTTGTTTAATTATCATAATGTCAAAGGTGTAAAATTGAAACGTTGCCAACTTTGGTAGTGTTTTCTGTAAGAAGTCATAGCATTTCTCAAGATGGAAAATCAGGATTAGGGCTGACCTCCTCTCTGGTGACAAAACTACTCTATTCATCTTAGGGGACTCATAGGACTCTTTTTGGTGAGAACAGACTCTAGATTGTAAAGACCATTCCACTGTGAACACAGACAACTATTTTTCAGGAGGTGGAATACAAATCCTGCCCAGCTGGGTGGCACCATCACTCAGGCTACTGCCACTCCTTGATCACAGAGCCGAAAGTCACCTGGAACACAGCTGCCCGAGCTTGCAGGGAACAGTAAGAAACCTTGTTTCACATTTGGTTGATATTTTCTTTTCTACTGTTTTTCTATTTTCTCATGGAACTGTAGGGTTCCTTCATTCATTCAAGTGTTGTGTCTAAAAGCTACCTGGCTTTGTTTTAGGGGCCTTGGGGAGTTCTGTAGTTCAGAATGGATTTGAGACTGACCTTGATAATGTATTTTGACTTAGCTCTTTTATGTAAAACTGTACCATTGCCACAATTCAATTTTTTAGCTTCTCTACCTCAATCTTTTGGAGAAAATCAGAAGGAGCTTTTCTGAGTCAGCAGCATTACAGGTTCTATCAATTTTTTATTATTAAATAGGAATTCCTGCCCACTGATTTGAAAATATGTAGCAATGAAAGGTCTTGTAGCATCAGACCTATGACAATGTAAGAGGCATTGATGGTTATGAAACCAGACAAGTTGGACAAAGGGTCATTGGGTAATGGAGCACTCAGTGAAGGATGACTTGTGGTCAAATAATGACAACAAAGTTTATCTAGTCCAGAAGGACTTTAAAAATGCATATATAACTATCCTTGACCCTCCTTTGTGCCTACCTGGATATTATCCAAAACAGTGCAATTAGACTAATATGTCCCATGGCTGGAAATTGAGACTAGAGAAGTCCCTGGTGAATATCAGTCAGATCTTGCAGTTCATCAAATTTAAAGTTATGCTCGTCTAACAACACTATTAAGAAAATGAAAGGGCAAATCACATTTGGGAAAAGCTAATCTCCAATCCTACGTCTGATAAAGGTCTCAAATCCAGAAAATACAAATGATCTGACAAATCAATAACAAAAAGACAACCTGATAAAAAATAGCAAACAACTTGGAGACTTCACAAGAAAAGACGTATAACTGGTGAATAAGTTTATGAAAAGGTACTCACCATCATTAGACTTCACGTCCACTAGAATAGTAAAATCACAAAGACTGACAAGACCTAATGTTGTAGAGCAAGTGGAATTGTCATGTATTGCTGGTGGAGGTGTAAAATGGTATAACTACATTGAAGAACTGTCTGGCAGTTTCTTATAAAGTTCCATACATCTACGCAGTGACCTAGCAATTCTACTCCTAGGTATTTACCCAACAGAAATGAAAATAAATGTTAAAAAAAGACATTCACAAAAATTTCATAGCAACCTTTTTCATAGTAACAATAGTTTGGGTCATTTGTCTTTTCTTATTGATTAATAGGGGTTCTTTTTATTTTCTCCATCAACAAGGGAATAGATAAATTTTCTTTTTTGAAGAAACCTACTACTGAAACCTCCAACAATGTAGATAAATCTCACAAACATTATGTAGAAAGAAAGCAACCCAACATAAAAGGATACATATTGTATGATTTTATTTATATTAATAGCAAAAACTAATCTATTAGTTGGTGTTAGAAATAAAAAAACAATCTCTGACAAGGATCAAGGGGTGACTAGAAAATAGCATGAGGTGAGGTTCTAGAGTGGTGGAACTGTTCTATGTCTTGCTCCATGTGGTTGTTACCTGGATATATACAATTGTCAAAATTCATCAGATTGAATACCTAAAAAATTATGCATTTTATTGTATGTAAATTAAACTTAGACTTTTAAAAAGCTAATAAAATCTTTTAAAAGTATATTTAAAAACTGGGCAAATCAACCACACTTTTCTTCACTGATGTATTTCATGTTCCAAGTATAAGTAAAGGTACCATTGAGGTTAGTCAGTGGCTTTCAGGTTTTTGTTGATGAGTTGATGATAGAAGATAAGTTAAAATATTTTTTGAAGTCTTATAAAATAGCATTGTTTAAATACATATACTCCCATAATGCTGTATGTTAAAGAACAATTAAGACATTCTTCCACCAAAATAACGAGATGTCCTACTTTTATTTAAAATTTGTCTTGATGCATTGAAATCTCAGGTGGGAATAGTGGTATAGGTCTTTTTTCCTCCTTGAGGAAAGAGCTTTGATGTGGAATCAAAAGCTCTCTGAACTACAAGGAGAAGATTGCAACATGCTACAAAGGAGAAGATAAGGTTTCTCTACTGAAAAAAGTGAGGGCAAAAGCAGAAGTGTAGTTATATTCTAGCCAAGGTTATCAAGATAAAATCATTGCTGGGATTTGTTGGTGAAATGTAGATGAACAGAGCAACAGAACACCCAAACCTCGAGTTTTGGAAGCAGCCTTATTGTTCATCTTCCAGTGCTTTGCCAATGACAGTGCAAGTAACTCTGCTGGCCTATAACGAAGTTTCACTTGGTCGTTAATGTTATGAGAAAAATAAGGGCAACGTGTATTGAGTGATATCATTCCATCCATTCATTAATGTTGGTGTAGGGTCACCAAGTGTCTTTTCTTAGAAGGACTGTTCTTTATTCTGAGATTATGGTCTTCTAGCTTTTTGGTGTCAAAATCATTTCTTAGGAAATAATAGCAACTTTTAGTAGTATTATTGATGTCTTCATGTTGACAATCAGTCCCCCAATATCTTATTTTATTTTATTTTATTGATCCATCTAATTGCAGCTGGGTTTTAATGGTGGGTACAAAGAGTGGTAAGACTAGTTATAAAGGGGTTCTTCATATATCTGTTAATACCACACAGTTCACTCATTCTGATAATAAACTTAAAGCCCAAATTAATTTAAAAGCCTAGTTAATTCCTTATGCATTTGACCTAAGATTTTATCTGCAACTTGGTTGGAAGCACCTTCACGCCATGACCCTTTTACACTAGCCTGACCTAGTTCTACATGGCTCCTTGTCAATAATGCCTTACTTTTACCTTACACTTTATAATTTACAGAATGCTTTCACATATGTTAGCTTATTTGATCCTGCCATCACTTCTGTGAGGAAGCAGATACTATTATCTACATTTTACAGATAAAACAAAGAGATTTGGGGAAGCATAATCACTTGCCCCTGGTCATACAGGCAAGTAAATGGAAGAGATAGGATTTAATTTTCCATTATATTCTCCAAAATAGCTCCATAAGTATAGGGGATGTCTCATCTCATGTGTATTGACAAGTACACCTGTTTTAACTTTGTGTTGGGCTAACCTAAAGTAGGTTTTCAAAATTATGTGTTAACAATCTTTTATCTTTCATGGCAAAGACATATTAAGATTTAGATTAAATTATAGATTCTAAGTTTCCTTTGGATGGAATCAAACTAATCTTTCAGGGCCAACCTAAGGTGCAATCAAGTTCCAAGTTTATAGATTCATTCATTCAACAAATATTTATTGAGCGCTTATTGTACTGGAAATGTCTAGACCAGACCACACTTTTAAGTGTTATTCCCCAGTATTGGCCACACAACCCAATGACTAAATCATTCCTCATTCACCAATGAGCTTCAGAAAAATAGACACCATAGCTGTCCAGATCCAGCTGTCCGCTACGGCAAGTCTTTAAACCCTACGTTTTGCTTCAGTAAGGTTATCATACAATCCTGATAATTCCTTCCCATATCCCTTTCCCACAAAGCCCTAACAAGAATGTGCAAGTTGCTGAATTTAAATTGCAGAATTTAGCTTTCATTGAGTTGATGTCTTACTATAGGTCCAAATTAAAAAGGTAAATATTATATGTTGGAGGCAATATTTATTCATTGCATATATAAGAACATAAATGGTATTTAGAAATAGTATAAATAGAAAAATACTTTGTTCTGGACTATTATAAAATCTATTATAATAGTGATAAAATTTTCCATCTCACCTGTTATTTCAAGGGGATTAGTGATCATATCTAAAAGATCGAACGTGATAAGCAGGTTCAGACTTATTTGTTCATATTATTTTGAAGTTATTTTGATTAACTCTGGTCTTGGGGAATTGTTTTAAGCTGTAGAACCATGACTTCTTTTTAGATGTAAAACTGAAAAAGCTTTCAGAACAAGAGCTAGTTTTTAGGGACAACTTGAGTTTTTCCATCATAGTTTAGAAAGTGACTATGTATCAGTAATATAAACTCTTTCAAATTACACATTATCTGTTTACCACAATGGTCCAGAAATGAAAACATCTATCAAATACCATTTCTGATGGTATTCCAGGGTGTGTAAGAGCGGTAAAGAAAATATATATGGTGTAAGATTTAAAAAATATCATAAAATGCTTCTAATTTTAAAATTTTAATTGGAAGAAGGGATGTGAACATTTGATCTGATTGCATTTATGTGATACTTCAATATGCAACTTATTTCAAAAGGACAGCAAGAATCATTACCCCAAGAACAGTTAATACTAGTTACAGGCATTTCAGAAAATGTCTAGCAGCAGATTAAAAGCAAACTAAAAGCAAAATCAAAGATCTCCATATTCCTTTGGATCAGTCATTCCAAGAGCAGTATTTTTGAGTGGTGAGGCTACCTACTCAGTATAAGTTTTCTCTGCATCCCATGCCCTCTCCTACCATTCCCTGTGTTTTCATTCGTCCTATGGCCCCTCTGCCTCTTCACCCCTTAGTTTTCGGCTTCGTTTTGTCCTCTTCTTCTCCAGCTCCTTTGGCTTGAAAAATGGATATTCCTCTGGGGATTATCAATTCCGTCTGTGATGTACAATTCATAGTTGCAATATTTTATAACCTGGATATTTACCTTCTCATGAAGTGTTTTAGGAGATGGTTTTAGATTCTATAATTAGAATTAACATGCACGTAGTGTGTTTTTGATTTGGTCTCAGGGACCATTATTTGATTCTGGGCTATGTTTCCTCTGGCTCCCTTGCTACCTGAAGTTCCTTGACAGAGGGTCCTTTACAGCACCCACATTTCAAGAAGAACAGCAAATTTTACTTTATCCCTTGTCCCTAATCAGATTGCTCAACTCAATCTTTATCTCCAATCTCTTTTCCTCTCCCTTGGTGTTTTATTATTTTTTTAACCTAGAGGAGCTAGACTTGTAGATTAGGTATTTCTTGAATTTACATGTTGTAATCTCATCTGCTCATTTCCTTAGGCAGTCATTGTACATTTGGTAATTCTATTATTATAGATCATTATCTATGAAACCATTCTGTTTTCCCACAGGAGTGTCTGGAGCCCCTGCTGGCCTATCCTTAAAGGGTTACTCTGAAATATATCTATACTTAATTAAAAAGTTTCAAAGAAGTAGATGTTTATTTCTGTAACTAGAAAAATCAAGTTTTCTGTTTTTAATACCACACTTTGAATGCCTTCAAATTTCTGAGCTGTCAAAAGATTCATATTTGTATGTGTGTGTGTCTCTATATTTTATTTTTATATCTATATCTATTTATATTTATATCTATATAGATATAAAAATAAATACACACACTGTATTTTATTTGTATATGGACATAAAAGAAAAGAAATGGTATTTTTGTAAAATAATCAACTGCCTACAAATACCTAAGTATTTCTTTTGTAAATAGCTATGGTCTAACATTTTACCTATCCTAAACACAGCTCTTTTCCCATCTTGCTCTTTTTGGACTTTTTGCTTCTCGGAGAGTCAAACATGAAATAAAGCTTGTACTTGACCAGCTAAAATGGATTTTACAAAGTCTGTTCTAAAGATAGTTTCAAGAATCTTAAAGCAGGAGGAGATGTTCAATATCCTTGAATAAAACCCGTTACTTTCTGATGATGAAGTTGAGGCTGTCAAGTTGTACTGTAGGGGAATTAGGGGCAGAGCAGGAAGAGGAACCCAGGTCTCCCACGCTCTGTCCATACACCATAGTTACTGGGGCAGCCCCTCAAGCCCTCCCTCAGCCTACATTTAACACACATTTGATATTCTGTGTTCTAAGCCCCCAGCACATTAGAATTACCATATTGGATAGGAGCAGGAGGGGAGAAGATGAGCTATCATATCTGCTGTAACTGTCAGACAGGAGCTGACAGTAAATAATGAGGTCAAAGCCAAGTCACAAACCCAAATCCAGGTGCCCGAGGCCATTCAGAGAAGAGGTAAAGAGACTTTCGTGTCTTAGAAGGCCTGGAAGTTGCCACTGCATTATAGAACAGTCAAGTACTGTATTAGCAGGAAAAATCATTAAGAAATGGATAAATTATGTTCACCATATGTGATCTGGAAAAGCAGAGAAATGGATCTGAAGTTTGAAAAGACATAGGCAAAATGAATAAAATTCAATTCAACAGTTGTCTAAATTTATGCAAATATTACTAATTTTGTTTCCTACTTTTTTTAATATCAGTGGATATTAACCAGGCCAGAAGATCACAGTGACTTCCTTTGTTTCTTGTTTGAAACTTTCTGTGTTAAAAAAGGAAGAAGCAAAGAAAAAAATAATTACCTCTTTATTTTTTAAAGCATTTTTAAAGAGCTTTTAATGAGCATTGCTGGGGAATTAGAGAAAATCAAACATTGTTTATGGGAATAATTCAGCTAGCTGTAAAAATAATTCATAAAGAATTCTATTTTGGAGGAAAATATTTATATATGTTTGTAAGAACAAGTGCTTCAACTTCTACACAACATACGAAGGTTTGACAGTGAGGCCATGCTCTTTTCACTGAGTATGATGAAAGGGTCACAATTATTGGGGTATTGGACCCAACATACCAAGCTCAAAATGTAGGCCTCAAGTAACTTTATCTGAATAGTTTGGGTTACCTTTCTGATCAAATTATCTGGATAATTGCCAAGTTAATGCTGTTTAGAAATAAACTTCCTATGATAAGAGTAATATTTTGGTGTTAAGTAATTAATCTCTACAAGTAGGCAGTTGCTGACTTTCCAAAAGATGTTTAAAACCTATTGAATTTGTGCTTTAATGCCCAGATATTATAATAAAATATCACTTTCTTTGCTGTCACCTACCCCTCACCTGCATTAAAGTTAAAAACTAGAGTATTAAGATCTTGGAAAGTTCTTTCCACATATCTACCTTTTTCTGTTTTAAACTGATTTTGATTTGCATTATGCATTTCATATCAGCAGAAATGTTAAACTCCTTATCACTGATGCTCTCATTTCTGTTTGTTTGCATGTAGTCACCTGGGCACCCTTGTAACTGTCCTCTCCAGGCAGCATATGCGATGGCTCTGGAGCCTCAGTGGAAGAAAGTCCTTTTGGATAGGCAAGTATCTGTGTTGCCCTGAGGAGGGAGGCAAGAACATGAAGAGAGTGTCTTCCTCCCATGGGCCAAATGATTGTGGTTTACAATAACAAGCAACGGTTAGAGGGTAGACAGTCCATTTTTTAAAACTCATCTTAAAACTTTTGACACAATACTTTCATTTTGAGACATCTATCTCAAAGAAATCATAAGAGATGTGGTCAGATTTATAAGTAAGAGAATTCAACAAATGGTATTTCTAACAGTAAAAAATTAGAAGTAGCTGTAAATAGAGGATGGTTAAATAAATTATAGTATAGCTATATGAAGCTATATGAAATATATAGCTATATGTAATGCTTTGTAAGGCATTAAATATTAAAGGCATGGCAAAATGCCTTGTTTATTAATTCATTCAATAAATATATGTTAGATGCATATTATATATAAAATATGCAATGTATTGGCATTTGTGGCAAGGTGCTAAGTAAAAAAGCAAAGTCCACAGCCATATGAATCATGAAATAATTTAGAATAAAAAATTTATATACATGTGATATATATAACACATATATATACATGTACATTTATATAGAAAGAAATATGCCAAAGAATTAGAAATATTTTATCTCCAGTGAGAATTATAGGTGATCTTAATTTTATCGCTTGTTTTCTGAAGTTGTTATATTTTCTACAATTTTAACAATAATACAAGTCTTTTCAAGCCACTTTAGAAGTAGAATTCTCAGGGCACGTCAAAGTCAATGTTGTCACCATCTCTCCTTAAAGGTATTGTGTTTCAAGGGACTATAATAAACCCACTCTTGGCTTTCCAAATCTCTGTAATACTCAATGAGTCTCTGAATTTTGACATTATCTGCGAGTATTAAGTTAAGGCTGGAGGATCAGTTTTCTCTACTTCCGCAATGACTGATTTCAAAGCTCTATCTCCACAAGGTTCGATTTCATGGCATAGCATCACCTGCTCAATAATTCAAGGAATCCATCCAGAAGGAGACAGTTTATTTTTAACCAAAAGTACTTCATTTTATTCTGCTCAAAAATCTTGACTAAGACTTAGTGGAGAGAAGGGAACATGCTATGAAACTAAGACTGTTTTCACAGTCAAATTTGGTTTGTGAGATGTCAGGTCACGCTATTGCAAAGATTCTTTTCTCATTTTATTCTTATTTCTATTATGAAAGAGAGTGAGGGAGAGGAATACTTCTTTAAGAAAAATTACAAGAGCTTTACAACATTAAAGTATAATTTGCAAAAATTGCCAGTGGGAGTAGAGAGACAAGTTGAAAAGCGCTGTTTATTGGGATTGTAGCAGATTGAAAAAAATTTTAAGCTCCAGACTAAAAATAATACATAGTAAGTTACTTTCAAATATGAAAACCAAGACATTTAAATAATGAAGAATAGACAAGAGCATATCTGTCTCCCTGTGATAGGAGTTCTGCCTGCTGGATAATATGAATAATAACAGCTGCTGTTTATTAAACACTTAAATATGCATGAGCTTTACATGGATTATTTTATTTAATTCTCATAACAGCCCTAGATATACTATTTTTATGCCCATTTCTTAGATGAAGAAACTAAGACTCAGCATGGTTAAGAAACCTGCCCCCAAATGCTCAATTAGCAAGTGGTGGAGCTAGGGTTTGAGTTCGGATCTGCCTGACCCCAATGCCTTATGCTCTTGAGTGTGTCTTATAGGATTCCCGGTTCCTAATCTGGGTTTGAGAACCTAGGCCTATATTTGCATGTGATCGCTGAGTTTAGAACAATAGCTTGATATGATATCCAAGTGTAAATGTGATAAAATCGTCTGATGTATTGTTTTGGTTCACATTAGGTTTGAATGACAGAGTGCATGCTGGCCGCTGGGAGTGGATCAGCGGTGAACCTGTCACCTTCACCAACTGGAGAAGAAGACCCCCTCAACATTCAAAGTCTGGAAAGAACTGTGTTTTGGTTCAAAGACAAGGGAAATGGCAAACAAAGGACTGTAGGAAGGGCAAACCTCACAATTATGTGTGCTCCAGGAAACTCTAAATGTAGCTAGCCTTACAGATGCCCACTCGAGATTTCTCACCTATTTATTTACAGGATTTGTGCATATTGCTCAACAGAAAACAAGGTGTCGTAACTGACTTGGTACATTTTTTTTTATCATAGTGTATGAGTGATTTTATCTGGTAAAAGGGAGCATAGATGAATAGTTCCAGGAAGATTGATAAATGAATATTTCTAATGGGAAGACATACAATTCTTGCATCTCGATACCTTTCAAAATAAGTGCCTGAAATATTGTAAGGTGGAAGATTTGCCTATTCCAGAAGATGCCCACCCGGACTCCACTCCAAATCTCAGTCAGCACTGATTTCATGGTCCTTGGATTTTTTTGTCTCAAAACCTCAAACACGTCCATTCGGAAATCTTGAGCGTCTACCACTTCAGTCTGAAGCTAACCCTACCAGCTCATTAAATCAAGGCTGAACTGCAAAGGGTTGCCTTGTCCCTTTGGAACCCTTTTAAATGTGAAGCCTGAGATAAGAGGCTGTGGATAAAAAGGAGAATTCTCTGTGGTGAAAAGGAAGGCTTTAGAGGGAAGAACCCTGCAGAAGGAAGCTCATCCGTAAATCTCTAGTGCAGGTAAGGATTCAGGGGCTGCCTGTACTTCAGAGGTCTACCCATCACTACTCATGAGACAGATTTCCTTTTTCCCATAAGAATGTTAGCATTGTATGATTCCAAAGCTAATGATTGGGTTGCCCTGGCCTTACAGTCGTGAGAAATTTGAAGTAACGTGAGCCTCTCTCTTCATTTGTGCTTATAGTACTGACTAGCATTTCTCAAGGACATTTGGAATTACGAGTATATATGAATGATGGTTAATGTATGGAAGAAAAATACTGCTTCCTCAGGAGTGTCCCAAGGAACTATGCTGAAGAACAAAGAAAAATAATACTGAAAATAGCCACTGAAAGCCTGTATTCTCAGAATGGATTTTGATACAATTTTGAGTCCTTAAATCTTTAATATTTGTGTACTTGCCCTGTTAACTTGATTCTCTAATGTAAAGGTACCTGATTAATTTATAATGTCAGCTGAGTGAAACATTTTTGGAGCAGTAAAGTATGTTTGCAGCCTTACAAGAACTCCCTTCTGAAATCAAGGTTTCATTACAGGAAATGAGAAATTTATTTCTGAAACGTTTACTCAGAATTTTCCTCTTTTCTTCTGAAAAGAGGAATCACTGGAAAATATGGTTGTGCCACATGTGACTTGCTATATGAACACCAGTGTAACTTCAGAATCAAAATGGCGCTACCAGTACACCAAAGCTTTGGTGCAAGTTTTATCATCATAATATCTCGAGTGAAACTACAAAAGACTGAAGAAATTCAAAAACATGGCAAGCTTGTTTATTTCTGCTCACTTATCAAGATTTTGATTAATAGAAATATTTACAAAGAGAGGTTGGGGTAAGATTTAGCCTCTACTTCTTACTTAAATTTACACATCATTGTGGAGTCAGGAGGATCCTAACCTTAGATGTCACAAGTAGGCTCTGGACTGGTACGATGTACAGGTCTCCTGTATGACACAAGCAGTCTCTGATGTTAAATCAAAAGATGCAAAACCCATCGTCTGTAGCAGCGCCAATCCCTTCTGATTTGCTGGCTCTGCAGTGTGGAAATGTGGAATGCCGGATAAAGAAGAGTTGTTTACCTAAGAGGTTGCATCCTAGGTGGGAAAGTATAAGTTCAAGGAATGAGGAATTCGAGGGTCCCTCCTATCTACTGGGATTCTAGAACTGTATTAACTATTTAAAACTGGAAATCCAGAACCATGGCAACTAGAACCCAGTCAGCATGGTAGATTTTATTATAGATTTCTGCAATGACAAGGGTATTTAAGTGTAATGGCAAATGGTAGCACAAAGAGAGAATGTTTTGACTTTTATAGCAACTAGAAATACTAGAAGATTTAAAAATATTCCTGATCATGAAAGCATTCATCAAGTGGTAAAATCCAAGTAATTGAAAGAAGATGCAAATAAAAATGCAGGCAAGTTTGGATGCTGGCCAGTGTTTATCAAGACCTTCATTTCTTTCTCATGATTGGGCTTTGACTCGGGGGAAAAGAAGTAAATGATTGGCGTGGTTCTCTCGACCTTCTGTCATCCTTCAGGTTCTAGTCAGAGTGGGAAGGAAGGAAATGGAGTCATGGGTAGAATGGGAATGGGAGATTATAGGAGATGGAAGGAGAGCGGAGGGAAGAGTTGAGAAGGAAGAGTTGGGGACTTATGGTAGCTGAGAGGGAGAGGAGCAGAAAGGAGGACCTGAATGCCACCTGGCTCTTCTCCCCAGACTTGAATACCGACTCAGGAAAAGTCCCACTTTATCCAAGGGCATCAACCCAGCTAAATAGTGTGTAGTTTTTCAGAATCTTCTGATGTTCGATCTTTAACAAATATACATCATATATTTGCTAGAAATAAACTTAAAAAACATTTAATAATAATTTCAGCTCCTTCCAAGGAGTGGTGAAAATGAACCAGGTGACATTTATTTACATTTCTGTTTTTGCTAATTTTTAATACAGCCGTAAAGAATATGCACATATTTTCATTAACACTATGGTTCTGTGTAATTTAAACCATAAACTGGTGCTGATTAATTTCTGCAACAAAGCAGCATATTAAATGTACTGTATCTAGTGTTGTATGAAAATTAATAAAATAAACTTATTTCTAGTTCTAAGGTTCTGTTCTTTTGGTTTTTAACATCTTATATTTTTCCTGGGAACACATGGGTTTTGGGTTTTAATGGTTCTACCATTGTAAGAAGGGATGGAGAAGAAAACTCAACATGTCTTTTTTATCTTTACAGTTTAGATCAGCCTTTAGTTACATGGCTTTTATCCATCCACCCACCGACCCATCCATCCATCCATACACCATTCATTCAACAAATATTGAATATGGAGTGCCAACCCTGCACCTGACAATGTTCCAGATCTGGAGATATTGTAGTGAATGAGATAGGAGAATAAAAGTATAAATGCATAGTGCATATATGCCAATTTCATGTAGGTTTTTTTTAAGCGTGGAGCTTTTTATGGGGGAAGAAGTCACAGTGGAAATCATTCACTACATTGTCCCTTTTCAGAATTGGAGGAAAACACACACTGATGCAAACAGTTCAGGCTGTCTTTTGTTGTATTTCTCTCCTGATTAAGAAACTGGTGTTAACTTCCTGAGTTTATAATCAGGTCAAAGTGTTATTGATAGCAGCTGTCCCAGATTTCCTGTCTCCAAATCAAGTTAGGAACTAAAGTTTTCAAATCTAGCTAATTGATTTTGCAACTCATTTTTTTTTTGAAAAGACAAGCAGTATGTATCTCTGTGTCTTTGAGATTCCTGGAGTAACAGGAATAAAAAAGAGACCTTTGATATCATCTCATCTAATATCTTTATGGTACAGCAGAAGACACCAAACTCCTCAGAAGTTAAAGTGGGGAGAAATCAGCACTGGAACTAAGGTCTTCCAAATTGTAGGCTGAATCTCCTCTAATTATTCCACATATCTGTTACCGCTCTGAGCAAAGGGTTTTATTATATTCAAGTAAAATGTCTGAATGATGAGTATGATAAAATCCACCATATACTTGCAAATATTATTGTAAGTGAAAGAAGACGGGCACACAAGGCCACATATTGAATGATTCCGTTTATATGAAATGTCCAGAATAGGCAAATCTGTAAAGACAGAAAGTAGATTAGTGGTTGCCAGGGGGTAGGGAGAAGGGGAAATTGGGACTAATTACTAATAGGTACAGGGTTTCTTTTTGAGGGGATAAAAATGTTCTGGAATTAGATTGTAATGATGGTTGCACAACATAGTAAATATACTAAAAACCACTGAAGTGTATACTTTTAAATGGTGAATTTATGTTATAGGAAGTACACCTCAACAAAAAAAATGCTATTAAAAATCACCATATAAAAATTTATTTTAGAAAGCTATAAATGAGTTGATGTATTTGCTGTGTGTTTGTCTGACTCATCCAAGATACTTTTTGCAGTCTTTGCCCCATGTCTCACCCAGGCTTTTGTTTATTTGTTTAAATAATTCGTTAAGGGAAAGAGAATGCTGATTGGATATATTTTTAAATTTATGGTACTGTTTTATTGGTCTTTCTCCTCTTTCTCCCCATCAATCTCGGGAGAACTGTTACCTATGGCAGAATGTGTCTGGATGTCTGTAATGTCCAGAATGCCATGATTTTCTTAAAGTTAATTTTACAAGTCTTTAGAACAGGGTTGTGCAGGAAATGAATATACTATCCTCATAAGTTACACATGTAACTGTTCATTTTGAACAGTTTTTATAGGTCTTATATTCTGCTAGGCAATAAAGTTTAGTTTATCTTAAGACAGAAAGGAACAAAAATCAACCAACACTTCCATTAAAAGCCTTATGGTAACCCCACAATACTTTTTCCAAGCAATGAAGTATGAGTTCGCCTTTTGCTTCTTTCCCCATCTATATTTTTGCTTCCCAAAGGCAGTAAATCCCAACTTACCCTACAGAAGAAAAATGGAAAAAGATACACCATCCTAAAACTAGTCAAAAGAAAGCTGGAGTGGCTATATTAATATCTGAGTAGATTTTAGAGCATAGAATATTACCAAGGATAAAAAAGGTTATTTTATAGTTTGAGGAGGTCAATACATCAAGAGGACATAATAATCCTAAACATTTGTGCATCTAATAACAAGGTTTAAAAATACATAAAGCAAAAACTGATAGAACTGCAGGGAGAAATAGACAAATCTGTAATTACAGTCAGAAATATTAATACTACCCCTTCTCAATAATTGATAGAACAAGTAGGCAGAAAATCAGTAAGGATATAGAAGTGTGGACATTGTTAACCGAATTAACCGAACTGACTTTTTTTTTTTTTTTTTT